TTCTTGGCTTTCCAGCCTCCTTCAGTCCTTGGATATTATTTTTCAGGCTTCTTAATTTACTGTCTTATTAATGTATCATTCACTCTCTCTCCCAGATGATTAATAAAGAGATTATATAAGGCTTGTGTGGCTTATATAGGCTTATATAAGGCTGATCCCTCTAGTATTCTTCCAGACAGCTCTCAGCTACACACTTTGATGTTTGGCCTGTGGTTTGTTTGTATTTATTCTCTATATTTTTTTTAGTTACCCTTCAATCTAGACTGGTTTAAATGGACTTTAAAGCAAAATTTTGTGGGAATGCGGCATCAGATGTTTTAGTCAAATTATATCCGTGCCAAGCACGTGGAGGATTTTGTCATTTATAATAATAGAAGGAAGGGTACGGTTCCCCAGCTTCCAACTCGATGTTTTGTTTGCTCTGGACTGTCCTTTAGAAAATCCTCATGTAAGTTTTCCAGCAGCAAGTTAAAATCTTTGGTTCCGAGCGTGGTCTCCAGTGCTGGCACAGCATGGTGTGTTCTGCAAACTGCCTTGGGTGATGACATTTGCACTGGGAAACTTGAGGAAACTTGGTTGTCTTTCGCTGATAAAAATCATTCAGTTTTGGGAGGTTGTTTTTTACAGTGTTTTATGATTTTATTTTTACTTTAGGGAAGTATAAAGTTGTATTTTGGGGATCACACATGAGTGGAAAGCAGGGGTGGTGTTCCTGCACTGCACAGCCTGAACTGTGCTAAGCAGAGCTCCCCCCTGGGAGCTTGCGGGTTTTAACTGGACAAAGATTTGATGTGGTGGTTTTCTGGTGACACTGTGTCTCCTGAGATGTGGCACTGCTGACATTCAGCAGCTGGCCCTGCTTGTCTCACCCTGTGCCACAAGAGATCTGTTACCCTCGGGCTGAGTCCTGGTCCTGCTGATGGAGACAGAAGAGCAGCAATGGGTGTGGAGCATCTCTCACTTCTCGAACGGTGTCTCCCATGTGACAGAACATGAGGGACCACCCTGTGGCTTGCTTGGGTCTGAAGGAAGGTTCTTGGCATCCAGAAGTCCCTTGTGGATGATAGTTGGGTGGAGAAACTGGACTGGGTGGGTGGTTGAGAAGAGGAATATCATGCAGGAAGAGCTACATCTCCCGGTGGTTTGTCTGACATCCTTCCCCTGTGCAAGAGGGGCACAGTGTTCTGAGCCACCCTCTCCTCCCCAGACTGGGTGTAACTGGGTGATACAATGGGGTAAGGCAGGTGGCAGCTGGTTCTAGAGCAGGGATATGATAAATCTGAGGCTGAGCCTTGCTGTTTTATCTTTTCCAGAGGAGGTCATGCTGGCAGAGGAAGACAAGAACGCAGAAGAGAAATCTCCTCTGGACGGTAGGTCCCTTTGCTGTGCCGTTTTCCTCCTGTGATACATGAGAGGTTCAGCTGCTGGACAGTGCCACGGCCTTCCACTGTGCCCAGGAGGGTGTGAGGAACACACTCTTGCATGCCCTTGGCAGAGATGGGGCTGCAGAGTCCCTTTGCCCGTATCGGGTGCTTTCGAGGTTGCAGGTGGATGATGAGCAGTTATGTGACACCGCCCTGGGGTGGGGATCTGCCCTTGGGGTCGGTCCCTACGCTGCCTGTGGGACCACAGGGACGCCCGTCAGCCTGTCCAAGCGGGGCTGGCCGTGTCCCACATGGGGATTAGGCTGCAGAGCGGATGCCAGAGGAGGAACGCGCTGACCAGGAGAAGGCAGGGCTCCAAACCGAGGTTTTCCAAACGGATTTGACAAAGAGACTAAGACCCCTGTTAGCTGTAAGCAGTAAGACATAACAGGGTGTGGTGATCCTACCTTCCAACGAGTGACCCAGGCTGGAGGGACCGAGCCGAGCGAGGCCACAGGACCTGCCCTCCCTGTGCCTCCGAGAGCGATGAGCTCGTAGGAACGCGCCAGCCAGTCAAAGTTCAGTTAAAGATTCTTCCCTCTCCCTTTTCTGACCATCTTTCGTCCTCCCATGTCTCCTCCTCCTTTCCCCTCCCCCTCCCTCTTCCCTCCTCTTTTTTTTTCTCCTCCCATTCACTGTCAGGGAGGGCCGCCTCGGAAGGGCCGATCCACCAAGGCACGGCACCGGCAGAGACTAGCAGCGGCAGCAGCTACAACAGTGAGTGGATTGCAAATCACCAGGGGCTCAGGCGGCACAGCGGGGCAGCCTCACCCCACAGCCCCCCGTGCCCAGGTCACCGGGGGTGTCTCCCCGGGTGGTTTTGCACCCCTTTGCTCCGGCTCCTTCGGGGCGGTGGGCGCCCGGCTGCTGGTCCGCCTTGGCCAGCCTGGTGACCTGCACCTGGGGAGGACTCGGGGATGGATGGAAGAGCTGGGGCTGCAGGAGGTCAGGGCTCGAGGTGTGCCTGGCCAGTCTTCGTGTGTGTGTGTGGGTCGTGTGTACGCTGGGGGAGTTCGTCCAGCACGTGGGTGCAGCTCTTAGCCCTGAGCGTCTGGAAGAGTAGCCCGGAAAGCCGAGTGGTGTGAGCAAACTAGAGGTGGGGACAAGTCAAGACCCAGGGATATTAAGGCTCCTTCTATCCTGCTAAACTAAAGGAGCCCGGCAACATTCCCAGCCTTAAAGCAACTGGTGTGGAGCAGCCCATGTCTATGCTGGTAAATCCTCTTAGTCTCCAAAACAGAGGACTGTTGCATCCAAGGTGCCTGCAGAGATGGCACACTGCTAAACACAAGTAGGAGTTATCTGGGGGAGAAGATAAAGAAGCTGCTCAATTCATGCCAGGGAGTGTTGTAAAATTTTACTCCCAGTGCAGGTTATGTTCCAGTGCTGGGAATGGGCCTGGACATGCTGGAGTGTACTGGGACAGATGGAGCCTGGAAGACCCAAAAGCTGGTATTGCTGGGACTGAGGATTCAGCCTAGAGCTGGGTGGGCAAGAAAGGTGCAAAAGTGGTTATTTGCCAAAAAAAACCCTGGATCCAGATCACAGGCTCAGAGCATCCTCTTCTCCTCGAGCCTCTCAAACCAGGGTGATGCTCTGGGTGTTTGGAAGTGACCAAAGAACCAACCCTTGCCTTGGCCGTGGAGGAAGCAGCACATCCATTTCTGTGTCAGGGAAATCCATGTGAAGAGTGAGGGGATCTTGTCTAGGAGACTCCAGTGGCTCCGAGTGTGTGGGTTTGCTGTGTGTGCCTTCTGACCAGTCTGTATCACCACACCGTGGGGTGTCTTACTGCTGCTAGAAAATGGTGCTTAGTTACTGTATGTCTTGAACCTGTTACCAAACTGTATCAACGTATCTTTTTCTGCCAGTTCTCGAGGTTCTGCAGGTAGGTGGTCATGGCACCGGCGTCCTCACTGTTCCTGCCTCACCCCTCGTGCACTGGCTGGACAGTGCAGAGTTCTCCCAGCCTTTTAGGCTGCTAGTCTCTGTCCCTTTCGGAATAAAAACACTGTAGGGATGTCTGCCCTCCCCACAAAAGATGCTGTTGGGAGAAGTGTGTTTTCAAAGAATTACAGCAGCCCCAGAGGGCAGGGATTGTACACTGGGTGCTATTAAGAGGCTGCTCCCTGATTTGTGGCAGTTGCTTCTCTCTGAGCATTTCTGCTCCTCCAGGCACTGCTCGGTGCTTAAACCGAGCCCGTGAATGCTGACTCCTTAATGGTGCCCACTGTAAACAGCATTAATGGCTTTAATGGATGGAAGCACTCATCTCCTCACCCACTGGGGCTCACAAAGATCCAGTGACCCTGGCCAGCCTTTCTGCTGTGCTAAAAGCTCCAGCAGCTGCAGTGACTCCCCCACCCTCCTGCATCTGCAGGAGGGGTGAGCGTGAGCGCGCAGCCCCGTTCCTGGCAGACCTTCAAGATTTGGAAGGTCAAACAGCTAAAGGACCCTGAAGCACTGGGCCCTGCAAGGTTGTGGGTTGTCCGATTTGCTCCGGCTTGCCCTCTTGTGAGAGCTCTAAGCTGGCATTGGGAAGGAAATGCTGGCCCTGGAGAGTGAAGGGAGGGGGAGAGAGAATCCACTCTGCATCCTCACGGGGCATTTTCTCTTTAATTTGCACACAGTGTTGAAAAGAGCCGCAATAAAGAAGAGCAAAAACGACCTGATTCATGCAGAAGAAGGTGAGGACCATTTCACAGACATTTGCTCCGTTGGTGAGTACTGGCTTCGCATTGCCCCAGGTTCAGATCTCCACCCAAACCTGCCCATGCCATGTTTCCTCTGAGAGGCTCCTTTGCTCCAGAAGCTGCGGTTTCAAGAAGGAGAAGTCCCCTCGACTTCCCAAAGCAAAGGGCTCCGTGGCTTCACCCTCTGCCCTGCGCTGCCTGGCTCAGCTCTTGCATGCTGCACCTTTCCAAGAGCCCTGCCCGGCGCTTGGAGAATCCCTGCTGTGCCACCCATCCCGGGATTCTGCTTGGAGCACGCTTGTTCATGCTAATGAACCCCAAATCTGTCCAAGGACACTGCTAAGGCTCTTTGTTGGAGGAACTGGACACAGTCCCATCTGCCAATGATGCACAGGGATGGGTTTGCAGCCTTTGCTGTGTGAGTTACTACTGGGAAACGCTGGGCAGTGGCCCCAGTTCCCTCATTTTTGCCTTAGGAGAAGATCTTAAAGCAATTCTCTACGTTTTTCAAGCCAGATGTGGAGATACACACCAGTGTGCACCCAATCACCCCCACACCTCCAGTGCATCCTGCCCTGTGGGGCATTTGGGGTCTTCATCTCTGCAGACCAGGATGTGGCCAGGCTACGGAGGTGCTGCCTGTCCTGCAGTTCCCAGAGCTGATTCCCTCCCGAGATACAGACAGGTGGAGAGGCAGGAGGCAGGTCTGGGGCTGGCAGGGCTTGGCAGGCTCTGAGCACACAGCCCCCAGCTCAGGGAGCTGTTTGGACACCAGCAGAGATGCCTCTCAGCCGTGGGCTGCTCCTCCCCGGCTGGGGGCACATCTCCTGCCTGCTCTGCACTTGGGTATTTTGCTTCTCCCTGGCCCTGTTGTTTGAGTCTGGACATGGTTTTGCTGCTGGAGGAGCAGATGTTCTCATTATCTTCCAAAGGAATATCCTGGCAGCCCAGTTCCCACGAAGCAGCAAATCCTGGGTGCACAAGAGCAGCGGCACAAACAGTTCATTTGAGAGTCTGTGTCTGCAGAGTTCTGAAAGCACGAGTGCCTCAACTGCCCTTTGGAAAGCTGGCATTAAGGTTTTAAGGGATTAGAGCTTCTGCTGGGATTTCTTTTCCCCTTTAAATCAAGACCCCGTTGCAGGAATTGAATGTTGCTTGGCATGTTCCTGACACCATCACCCACAGTCCCCCAGGCTGCAGGTTTTGTGCCTAAACTGCTGACACTTCTGCGAGAGGCTCGTTGCTGAAAGAGGGCAAAAATGCAGCCCCCGTGTGCATTTTTGGGTTGGTTTGGTTATTTTTTCCCCCCCAGGATCCCTGCATGGATAACAAGGAACGGTCATTTTTGGAACATTTGTCCGTGGTTGCAATAATTATGAGCTCTTTGCATTCCCATCCAAGTCCCTCCAGGCTCTGGGCACCCATGCCACGCCAACAGATCTTGGAATTCAGGCATTTCAGGTGGCAACGGATGACGGAGCATCTGGGCTCGTGAATAATCTGCTGCAGAGCTGGGAACTGTCTCGGGAGCATATGGCAGGGAAAATAACAGCAGTGCTTCACCCACTTGGGAAAAGTGTTTTTGATTTTGATTCATGGAACGAGACAGAGAAGGAGAGATGGATGAAGCAGCTCCTTCGCGGGCTCCTGAAGAGGCTGAGGCTCTGCAGAACACAAACAATCACAGCACATGGGCAATTATGCATAAAGAATATGTTTTTTTGAGCAAAGGGGTTTTTTGGCTGGTTTTCTGTGGTGTCTTCTGGTGGGAGCAGAAGGAGGGTGGAAGAACTAACAGCATCATTCCTGAGTGCCAGGGGAAGGTGCAGACCAGGGGGAGAGGCTTTGACAGGGCTCTCTCTGCCCGTTGGCACTTGAATTCCAACACAAGCACCTCAATAATTGCATTATAAAGCTCTGTAGTGCTGAACACTTCCCAGTGTGTTCTCTGGAGCTGTTCTTAGCATTTGTTCTTTTCTCTCCTCCCAACTCCCAGCCTCTCATTCCACACTAATAAGTGTGCAGCTGCTCTCTCTGCCTTCCCACCCTCCACACTGTCCCAGACACAGGACACTTGTCTGGATTCCCAGACAGCAAAGCCCAGAGAAGTGGATATTTTCTATGTTCAGCTTAAATACAAACTGGTTTTCTTCTCTGAAAGATCAGTAGAGGAGATGAGACTATTCCCTTGCAAATCTGGGAGTACAGAGTGGCTTGAATATCTGAGAGCTCTTCACCTGCTGAACAGTGCAGCCTAAATCCTAAACTGGAGCTCTTTTTGTTGTCTTAAAGCAATGGAGGAGCACTGTGATTTATGTTTTAAACTGCCAAAGGCAGGATTAGCAAACTAACAGAACAGCACACCCAGCTTTTCTGCAAGGAGTTTGTTCAGAGCCCAGCCAAGGCCAGCTCTGTGTGTTGGTGGGTGGCCAGAAACGGGCCATGGAGTGGAGAGCTCACGTTCCACTGGGGAGACATCACACTCCTGTGGAGCTGTGAGGCTTGGAGGACCCGCTGCTGTCACATCTGGATGCTTCATCCTTCCTATGGGTGTTGTGTTTGATGTTATTGCAGCACGAAACAGGGCGAGATTCCCGCCCCTTCCAAGTGCTGAAATGTAGGTGCTCACACCCCAAGATTTGGCTGTTGCAGCCAGAACACTTTGTTCCTGTAGCTCAGCCATCTCCATGTAAATCATCTGCTTGGTCCAAGGCAGGCCCATGTGTCCTGCTCAGCCCTACCTGCAGGGATGCTCCATCCCACGATGGGGAAGGGCAACAGTGTATTATCCTGCCACAAATCATCTTGAAAAAAGGTCCTGAGGGCCAGCAGAGCGTGACACAACTAGTGGAGAGCAACAATCATGATTTTCCCTGCTTGTGACCATTGCAGAGGAACCCCAATGGCTCCATGTGTTTATTCCTAACCTGTGCTGATTTCTCCTGCTCAGCACTGGACAGAGGTTGCCCTTTCATCCTTCATTTGAAGAGCAGAAAGAATTTCTTCCATCAGCTTCCTATTGTTCAAACATTTGACTCCTTTCCAGAGTTTCAGACCAGAGTGGAAATGCATCAGATTTAGGCAGAGTTGGTACAAATGAGTAGCTGCACCCAAAATCTGATGCAGGGAGGCAGATTGAGGCCTCTGCTCAGGAAATACAGGCAGCTGGAGAGTGAAATAAGGAGACTTCATTCCATTCAGCAGGAAGGGCTGGTCTTTGGAGCAGGGGAAACAGGGACCAGCTTTCCTGTTGCCAGCTCCCAGCTCCATGAGGATGTGCTCCACACCACGGGCAGAACCACCACTGGGCCCGGTGCTTCCTGTCCTTCCAGCCCAGGTGACGAGTTTAACTGGGGCAATCAGGATGGTTCCAAAGGTTTGGAAGCCCAGTTTCTTTAGATAGTGGAGCTGGGCACTGATTCATTGACTCATGGAGTTTTAAAACCCCAACCTTCATCCCTCATGGCACCATCCCAAGCCAGATGCCCTCGCTCAGCCCGTGGCCAGCGTGCCCAGCTTTCTGCTCAGCCGTGTTCCCGGTGCTTGGCAGAGGCTCTGTGTGCCCAGGAGATGCCCTCCAGCCTTTTGCCTGCCAGGGTGGGGTGTGGTGACTCTTCTCTCTGTCCCAGGGTCTCCTTTTGCCCGCGCCAGTTTGAAGAGCGGGAAGAACGAGAGCTCGTCCTACTTCAGGAGGAAAGAGAAGATGTTCCGGTTCTTCATCCGGCGCATGGTGAAGGCTCAGAGCTTCTACTGGATTGTCCTGTGTGTGGTGGCTCTCAACACCCTCTGTGTGGCCATGGTGCACTATGACCAGCCGGAGAAGCTCACCACTGCCCTCTGTGAGTACTGGAAACTCCACCTTTCCCCTGAGGAAATCCACATTTTTGGTCACTCGGTGCCGCTCGTGCACCCCCGGGAGCTCTGGGGTTCAGCTTCCTGAGGGTCACCTCAGCACAGGCTCAGAAATGCTTTAGTCAGTGGTTCTGGTAATTCATAAGTCACAGAATCGTGGAATGGTTTGGGTTGGAAGGGATCTTAAAGATCATCTCATTCCAACCCATGGGCAGGGACACCTTCCACTAGCCCAGGTTGCTCCAAGCCCCGTCCAGCCTGGCCTTGGACACTTCCAGGGATGGAGCAGCCACAGCTTCTCTGGGCAACCTGTGCCAGGGCCTCCCCACCCTCACAGGGAAGGATTCCTTCCCAATATCCCATCTAACACTGCCCTCTGGCAGTGGGAAGCCGTTCCCCCTTGTCCTGTCACTCCAGGCCCTTGCAAACTGTCTCTCTCCATCTTTCTTTAGGCTCCCTTCAGGTCCTGGAAAGCCACAAATAGGTCACCCCAAAGCTTCTCTTCTCCAGGCTGAACAATCCCAATTCTCTCTCAAATCATATTTCCAGTCATTCAATCACACAATTCAGAAGAGATCCCCCAGGGCAGGGGGTTGGTTTGAGATGGGAACGATATCCCAAAGGTTATTTCAAAGTTCGGATTCAACCAGATGTAAATCCTGCAGGAAGAAGGATTTGTTCTGTGTCAGACAGAAAGGAGGGGGAGGGTTTTTTCCCCTGGGGAAAGGCAGGTTGCTCTGCCCAACCTGTGTCTGCCCCGAGAACTGCAAATTGCTGCCACTTTGATCTGCACCCAGGGGTGGCTCCTGTTGGGGACACAAAGCTCTGACACCTCTGGTGCCCCTGGGACAGCACCACATGTGAGACAAAACCCTCTGTCTGTGCTCATAGAACCCCACACTAATTCCCCATGGTTCAGTGATGACTGGCATGGTCTTTAAAAGGTTATAACCTTACAGAAGATCCTTTTTTGTTGCGTGCCCTCCTCACCGATGGGATGTGATTAGGGGGAGGGATGTCACGGTGCCCTCTGTGAAAATATGTGATGGAAACAACACCAGAGAGAAAATTATACTGTATTTGTGCTACAGCTTTTATTTTCACCTGTGGTCACCTGCCAGCTCAGCTCAGAGAGTTTAGAAGTGCTTTTGAAAGGTGATTTTTGTGTTTTGAAAATTGCATCTCTCTTTGTCTCGTGATGAATAATAAATGGAGGCTTTCTGCCATCACAGCCTTTACACCTCCCAGTGCTTCCCTGGGGTCACAGCCTGGCTCACAAAACCTGATTTCAAGAAATGTGCAAGGTGGGGGATGGAGCTTTTTGTGTATTTTGATGAAGGTTGTAGGGTAGGATTCCTAGAAAATTTAAACCTGAAAATTAAAACCTAAAAATTCCCGGCAAACTTGTGGAAATTCCTCAGGAGAGAACGTGGTGACCCTGAAAGTGGGACACTGCAAATTTTCCCTTCTGAAGGGAAGGGATGGGAGTTTATTTCTGGAAGTCAGAGCCATTTGTTTGGTCACTTCTGCCTCTGTAAAATGGCCAGGAACAAATCCTTTTGTCCAACACTTGATATTGAGATGGGACCAGAGCAGAATTTGTGAAGTAAAACTGCTGAAACAAGAAAAACAGAAGACCAGGAAAAAAACCCCAAATATTTCAGACAGTCTAATCATTTCAGCTTAGATCTTTAAAGATACTTATCTGCCTAATTTTCCTTGATTTCTATCTAAATTAGAGACTTAAATATTTCCTGCCTCAGATCCTCTGGTCTTACCTTATTACAAGGAAGCAAACTTTTGAAGTTTTTTTTTTTAATAGACCTAAAAGGTCAAGAATACCAACTGCTCTGACATCAAAAATGTCCTTATTAATATTTGTTGAAATATTTAATACCATCAGGTAAATGGAGCTATAATGAGAGATGCATAAGAAGGACAGGAACTTCTTTCAAGTCTGGGTTTGGCTTTTTTTTTTTCTTTGGCAAGATTTAGACTGAAAAGAGAGACAGACTATACAGAGAAGTCAGTCTTGCTTATTCATTACCTAAATTTAACAGAGGAATTAATAAGCCAGATTGGCAGAGTAATTAGAAGTTTGAGGATTAGGGTTTCCTCTTGAATTAGACCTAAATGTCTAGAAAAAAACCCCACACTTGAAGTCTTTCAACTCCAAAAAAGAAGGCTTCAGATTTCCAGGACTCAGTTTTGGGAGCACCCCATGCAGTGACTTTTCTTAGAGAACACAAAGAGATCCATGAGCCAGCAAATTCTGCTCCATGTTCCTGGGAGAGCTGGAAAGGAGGTTTCTGTCCATTAGAATTAAAGAGGCACCTCCAGGTGGGAAACTTATCTGGGACAGAGGCCACAAATGAGGCTTCCGAGCTATAAAAATAGGGAAGGTTGCAATGGTGTCGTGCCTGGAATCAGGGATTGGGGCGGATGCCTTTTTTGGGAGCTCTGTAATGTCAATTAGTTCCAGAAACACTTGGGCAGCAAACTTTAATTTCTTGGTGTTGGAGTATCACTGAGCTGAGAGTGAGGGATCCCATGGCCTTATATTGAATGGAAGAGTCAGAAAATCCCCAAAGAAACTTGGGATTTCTCAGGAGTTAAATTCTCAGCATCCCTCCAGCCAGAGGTGCTTCCTGTGGTTTGTCTTTGCACCACTGTGAGATGATTTCCTTGTAAGACTTGAGTGTCCTTTGCCAATAAGGAACCCCCTGGACAGGTGTTTCCCAAATCAATCCCTTAAATTCATCAATAGAAATATCAGTGGCTGCAGATAAACAGTGATGGAGCCACCACTGGAACTGGGGAGGGGCAGCACAGAGGGGGGTCACAGACAAAACCAGAATATCCAAGGAATCCGAGGGTTTGTGGATGTTCTTGTACAGGTTTAAGTATTAAATAGGTCTTTAAATAGGGTAGTACAGGATTAGTCACTGTGACAGAGAGAATAAAGGCCAGAGATCAAAGAATGGTTTGGGTTGGAAAGGAACTTAAAGATCATCCAGTTCCACTGCCATGGGCAGGGACACCTTCCTCTAGCCCAGGTTGCTCCAACCTGGCCTTGGACACTTCCAGGGATGGGGCAGCCCCAGCTTCTCTGGGCAACCTGTGCCAGGGCCTCCCCACCCTCTGATTAAACAATCTTTTCTTAACATCTTATTTAAATCTCCCCATGAATGGCCCCCCTGGAAATTCTAACACACACCAGATAATTTTTGTTCGCTGTGGCTTTTTTTGTTTGTTTTTTTTTTTGCTTGTTTGGTTTGGGTTTTGTTTTTTAAGATAAGTTTTCTCCAAGATGAAGCAGAGACACTGTGGGTTCATTTTGGGGAGGATTGTCCCTGGTCTGCCTTATCCATAACATAATGGAAACTAGGGGAAGAAACCTATTGTAATGTAATTTTAAACCTAAGAACTTTTGAGAATTGTCTGCTGAAATGGCCTCTAAGTCAAACCTCTTGAATTACAAGTATCCTGTGCCTCCAAACCCTCCCAAATTTCAGGATGACAAGCTGAGGTTCTGCATTCAAGCCTGTCTTTGTATTAGTGATGACCTACAGCTTTCTATCCCGTTTCCTGAGGGGAAGTTTTCACAGCATCATCTTTCCTGTTCATCTCACCTTTAATCTTGAATTCAGGGAATATTTTATGCCTTCAGATGTGTGAGACTGGGCTGGTTGTTTTGTTACTGCAGGGATGGAGTTGGCTCCTCTTTCTCCTGCTGGAATAACTCTGCATCACACACACACATTTTGAAGGAGTCCAGCTGGGGTTTAGCCCTCAAGGAGTTGTTGAAAACCCTGTTCTGCCCAAGATTTGTGCTCAGATCATTAGATATCAGCAGAACAAGGTAGCACAAAACCAGGGGATTTTAAACAGCTCCCGGAAATACTCAGCAAAATCCTTTAACTGTAAGAGTGACAGAGTTTAAAAATGGCTTTAAAGTTAATCCATGAGGAGAAAACTTCGCTGCAGAGGAGCAGGACTTGGCTGGTCTGGTGGAGAGCAAGAGAGAAATAAATTCTAATTGTGTTGTTTTGTGGAAGGTGCTTAGAAATGAACTGAGGAGGCTTTTTGTGAAGGGCAGCAGCAGGAGAGTAGCGTGGTAAAGTCTGGGAGGATCCTCTAAATCCTGAAACTCTACCCAGGCACCTCTAATTCAATTATACCTGTCCCTCTGGGGAAAAGTTTAATTACATTACAAATTAATTTTACTTAAAGAACGGTTGGTAAAAGCCTCCGGGTCTTGCATTGATTTATTTTTCCCTTGGTCTCTTCTTTTAACTTTTCTGTTTTGAATTGTTCTGATTAGCTCTCCCTGCTTGATATTCCACATCACTACAAGTGCTTCGGAAAAAGAGCTGCAGGAGCTTCAGAGAGAGGCTTGGGATTTCTTTGGTCTGCCTGAAAGAGCTGATGAGAAATTCTTTGAATTCTTGTGGTGTGATGGATAACAGGACATACTTTATGCCCTGTAATTATCCCCAAATTCAATCAGAGATTTTCCTTCTCTGGATGGAAAGGATTCCAGTGCCAAATAGGAATTCTCCCATACTGCACATGGACACTGCTCACTGAATCAGGGACCTTGGGTTAAATAAGCTGCAGCTCCCTATAAAAGTAATTTTTCATGCAGCCACCCATGATTATCATCCAGAGTGTCTCTTTTCTGATAAACACAGTATTTGAAAACACTTTTAAAATCATTATGGCCTGGGAACATCTTCCTTTTCTACAAAAGACTGAACCATGTTTTTAGGCCAATTAGGTCTTTTTTTATTCCCTTCATGAAGCAATTCCCCTTTTTTTTCTCCAACTAATACTGCAGGTATTCCTGCATGGCTCCCTAATTTATGTCTGTCTAAAACCAAAATCCAGAATGTCTCTTTTCTGATTAACACAATATTTGAAAACAGTTTTTTAGCCCTTATGGCCTGGGAATGTCTTTCCTTGCTATGCAAGACTAAACCATGTCTTTGGGGCCAATTAGGCCTTTTTTGATTCCCTTCATGAAGCAACTCTCCTTCTTTGTCCAAATAAAACTGCAGGGATCCTTAACTGGCTCCTTAATTTAAGTCTGTCTAAAACCAAAATCCAGAATGTGTCTTTTCTGATAAACACAATATTTGAAAACAATATTTTAGCCACTATGGCCTGAGAACACCTTCCCTTGCCATGTAAGGCTGAACCACGTGTTTAGGGCCAATTAGGCCTTTTTTGGTTCCCTTCATGAAGCAACTCTCCTTTTTTCTCCAAATAAAACTGCAGGGATCCTTAAATGGCTCCTTAATTTATGTCTGTCTAAAACCAAAACCCAGAATGTGTCTTTTCTGATAAACACAATATTTGCAAACACTTATGGCCTGAGAACATCTTGCCTTGCCAAAACTATGTGTTTGGAGCAATTGGGCACTTTTTGATGCTGTGGTTGCCTTTGAAGTAGGTGACCAGCTCCCTCTGGATATCCAAACAGAGAATTTGCAAGGAAAAGGCTTTCTGAAGCATATTTATTTATGTCTGCTGAGCATTTCACATCTGCTTGGTCAAAGAAGAGGAAGTTGTGCTTTGAGGTTCTCTTGGTTGGTTTAATGTGTGAGGAGGATGAGGAGGGGAAACCAAAGTGTCAGGCTCAGCACCTGCTCCTAATGACATTGGACTTGGAGATGGGGCAGAAATGGAATTAATCCCTGGGTGACTGACAAAAAAGAGCTGGGAACTGTCAAATTCAAACACGTGGGGTGATGGGATGTAATGGGTATTGGCCTTTGCCAATAGCACAAATCTGAAATTAAATTAGACTATTTGTATCAAACTTTTCCTCCTTCAATCACATCACAAAATGCTTCTGCTTAAGGCAGATTGGATTACACGTGGGGTCTGAATACCAGGAGGTCCAAACAACAAAATTGCTTTTTCAATTACATAGGCAGGGCCACCTCAGAAGGAACTGTGTGTCTGATCCTTCTGCTGCAGCAGCTGATTCACTGAGTCAGTCCCTTCTGCCTGAGCAGTTCTCTCTGTCTGTGTTTTCCTTTCCTTCATCCCTTGTCCTCACTGGGCTGTGATTTGTAGCATCTGGTACCTGCTGAGATGCAGCTCCTGCTGCCAGTTCCGAGCTCTGATCCTGATGGGATCCATCAGCTGTGAAAGGACGAGTGGGGCTCTTTCAAGAGCAGCAGAAGGAAATTGCCTTTTGAGACGGTCTGAGTTTTAAACATTTCCCGTCGTCTTTATTTTATTTCTTTTGAACATAATCAAAGATTTCTTGGTTCTGTTTTGCTTAGAAAGGCCATTTCCCAGCTCTTTTCTCCTATGATATCCTGGTTTTGCACGTGTGTTTGCAGGATGATGATTGAACATTGCACTTGCTGATACCTGGTTTTATTCAGCCTTCTGCTGGATGGGTGACTGACCATTAATCCTTGTTTCTTTTATCCTTTTGAAATGATGATAATTGTCTTGGCAAAGTGCACTGGGATCTGCTGGTGAGAATTACAGTTAAAAAACACTTAAAAGGACTTTTGTTACTCTGTGAAAGAAAATGGGGTGTCCCTGACATGTAACTCTGAAAGGTGAGTTTGGTGGACAAAGAGGGTGAAAATGTCCTGCCAGACTGAGCCATGACACAGGTGGAGGCTGTGCTGTGCTTTCTGTAGGATCTACAACCTCTCCCTATGATTTTTTATCAGCTAATTAAACAAGGTCACCGACTTCAAAGCATTGGTTTGATACCAATCCTTGGGATAGGGAGACTTCCCATGGGAGTCATTCCAGTGACACCACTGGGCTTGCTGAGCTCTGCTGAGTGTGAAACCAAAGTCCCTCTCCAGCTCTCCTGGAGCCCCTTTAGGCCCTGGAAGGGGCTCTCAGGTCTCCCTGGAGCCTTCTCTTCTCCAGGTGAACCCCTCCAGCTCTCCCAGCCTGGCTCCAGAAGGGCTCCAGCCCTTGGACCATCTCTGTGGCCTCCTCTGGATTTGCTCCAACAGCTCCTCCTGATGTTGGAGCCCAGGGCTGGAGGCAGCTCTGCAGGAGGGGTCTCACTGAGCAGAGAGATGGATAGTTGGATGGATTGCCAGCAAAACTATGGATATTTCCCTACTCTGGGATCCCTTGTGTTGGAAACAACTGTTTTCTCACTGAGTTTTTGCAGCTGATGTCAGAAAGGAGAGACAAGTTGGTGCAGGGGTGACCAGGCTTCTCCTGGCAGGTTCCAAGCTCCAAGTGAGATGGAGCTGTGCTGCTCCTTCATGTGACCATGAGACCCAGAGGATGGAGCTGCCTCTTGGCAGGAAAAAGGCTGAGAACTTTGCAGATCTCCTACTTTGTCATGTTATTCCTCCAGTGTGAACACACTGCCCTTATATTCTCCTTTGATGACATTGCTCCTGCTTTCAAGGACAGGAGGTGACACAGTACAATTAATCCTCTCCTGGTATTTCCTCCCCTTGTGCAAATGTTGGCAGAAGTGTCCTTGCAGGCTCCTCACTAAGGTGTTAATAAAACCCTTCTCATGTCATTAAAGCTTCCTGCATTTCAGTTCACTTTATGCCCATGATATTCCAGGACTGTCTTTCATTTAAGTTTTAACCCCCCTTTTTATTGGTTGCTATTTGAAGCTGTGTTTTCCAAGCAATGTCCAAAGACACCCAGCAGTGCAAAACAGGCCCTGGGCCAACTGTGCTCACTCCACATGAATGTGGAGGGTGGAGGGAAATCCAGGCACTTTGGAAGGACCCTCATTCCCTCCTCACACTCATCAGCCAAAGCCACATGTTGCAGGAAGTCCTGGAATGATAAAATCATGGAATGATAAAATCATGGAATACCTTCAGTGGGATCCACAAGGATCACCCAGTCCAACCCCTGGCCCCGCACAGACACCCCAACAATCCCCCCCTGTCCCTCAGAGCGTTGTCCAAACCCTCCTGGAGCTCTGGCAGCCTTGGTGCTGTGCCCACTGCCCTGGGGAACCTGGTCAGTGCCCAACCACCCTCTGGGGGAAGAACCTTTTCCCAAAATCCAGCCTAACCCTGCCCTGGCACAGCTCCAGCCATTCTCTGGGTGCTGTCCCTGCTCACAGGGATCGGAGCTGCCCCTCTGCTTCCCCACTTTACAAAGCCCTGGAATTCAGGATTATTCAGCTGAAAATTCCCTTGTTTCTACTTGTATCCATCCCCCCTTGCCTGTCCATGTGCACCTTGGAGAAAAGTTTGGCTCCATCTTGTCTTTATCATTCCTGGAATGGTAAAACTGAAATTCCAGGAGACTTTGCTGCTCCAACATCCAGGAGCCTCCTGTGCTGCACTAAGAGGGGTGATTGATCTCCACCCTTTGAGGTTTAATTATTTTCTTCATCTCTTCTCCAGAGAGAGAGGTTTGCCTTATTCTATTGGGTTTGTTTTGGTAGTGGAGATGTTTTTTGCCCCCTTTTTTTGTTTGTTTTTAACATTTTACTCTTTCTGCTGCTAATTGGCCTCCAGATCCAAACTTAAAATGCCAAAGGTGGTATTTTCTGTAGCTTGAAGTCCTGAAAACTTCATCTAGAAATTGAAGTCTCCAGCCCTTTGTTTTATCATGGGTGATAAATTTTCCCATCAAAAGCTTCACAGCTTATTTGCCTGTGATATGTGAAGCCAAAGGAAACAGAACTTGTTCTTCCACAGTTATTGGGCTATAAAGGCATAATAAAAATAAATGTGGTAACAGTAGACACAACACCTCTGAATATGAGCCCTCAGAGTCAGCAGTTCTGTTGGGTAGGAAAGTATTTTTATCAGCAGAGGATGTTACAGAAACTCAACACCCCACACCCAAAAGTGCCCATCTCTTGTGAGTACAGAAGGCCCAAACACATCACTGCAAAACATTATCTGTGCAATTAAATTAGACCTTTAGAAAGAGTAGATCCAGAGGTTTCCCTTGAAATTCCTTTATAAAAACAATGAGCATATTATTTAATGCTCAGGCCACCATTCTACAGCACAGCTCCTGAAGGCTGCTCACAGCTCATGGAAATCATGATGGGAAATGCTCCTCTGGGTCTTGTTTGCCATTGCAGAGGGATTTTCTTCTGCCAGGAGTCACTCTGGGTTGTGCAAAAACACCACTGTTCCCCACATGAAGGGATCTGCCCACGGAGGTCTCATGGGCTAATTTAATCTCTTTTTCCCTGTTTCCAGATTTCGCAGAATTTGTTTTCCTGGGGCTGTTCCTCACTGAGATGTCTTTGAAGATGTATGGACTGGGGCCAAGGAACTACTTCCACTCTTCATTCAACTGCTTTGACTTTGGGGTGAGTAAGATGAATCACAGAAGACTTTGGGTTGGAAGGGAACTTAAAATCATCCCTTCCACAGGCAGGGACACCTTCCACTAGCCCAGGTTGCTCCAAACCCTGCCCAACCTGGCCTTGGACACTTTCAGGGATCCAGGGGCAGCCACAGCTTCTCTGGGCAACCTGTGCCAGGGCCTCACCACCCTGCCAGGGAACAATTCCTTCCCTCTAACTAATCTAAGCATGAAACCATTCCCCCTTGTCCTGGCACTCCATGTCCTTGAAAAAAGTCCCTGTGTGGCTCTCCTGTCATCCAGCAGGTTGGGCATTCCAGGGTGGGTGTGGCAATCCATGGGAAATGGTGCTGGGAGTGTTTCTTCTGGTTGCATAAATTAACTGCAGTTAAACACATTAAGCTTCCCCTCCTTATCATGCTTTTTTGAGGCAAAGTGACAGCTGGGGTTTCATTTCCTCGGCGAACTCCAGGGTGTTCCAACTGCTCTGATTGCTGGGAGATTCTCCTTCCCATTTAAATGAGGTGATTGAAAGAAAAAAAAAACAACCAAACCCCACACATCTTCCTGCTCATCTCCTCTGTCAGCCCTTGAACAGCCTGTCCCTCAAGATACACAGGCAGCTCTTTGCAGTGCCCAGAAGGAGAAGAGTAAACCCGGGATTTGTGACAGGAAGGTAATAACTCACATCCAGAATCATAGAATTATAGAATCATGGAATCAGCTGGGTTGGAAGGGACCTCCGAGATCATCAAGTCCAACCCTTGATCCACTACTGCTGCAGTTCCCAGACCATGGCACTGGGAACTGTCTCATCCAGTCTCATCTTAAAAACCTCCAGGGACGGAGAATCCACCACTTCCCTGGGCAGCCCATTCCAATGGCTGATCACCCTCTCTGGAAAGAAATTCTTCCTAATATCCAACCTAAACCTCCCCTGGCACAGCTGAAGACCCTGAGCCCTCTTGTCTTGCTGAGAGTTGCCTGGGAAAAGAGACCAACCCCCACCTGGCTCCCCCCTCCTGTCAGGGAGTTGTAGAGAGTGATGAGGTCTCCCCTGAGGTTCCTCTTCTCCAGGCTGAACAGCCCCAGCTCCCTCAGCCTCTTCTCACAGCACTTGTGCTCCAGACCCTTCCCCAGCCTGGCTGCTCTTCTCTGGACCTGCTCCAGGACCTCAATGTCCTTCCTGAGCTGAGGGGCCCAGAACTGGACACAGTCCAGGCTCAAACTACAGCTCTGAAGTGTGAATAGTGGGGCTGCTTTTGGCTCCATCTAACAAAGGACATGGCGTGTGGATGGTAATTTATTCATTAAAAGCTATTAGGCTCTAATCTGTCCTCACAGAGGATAACTTGGCTCCTCTTATCTTCGGCGTGGGCAGAGCAGGATTGGGGCTGGGAGGTTTCTGTACCAAAGCAGATATGAAGCTCTCGATCCAGCCAGGGGCAAGGGGAGGACAGTTCAGGTCACTGTGCATGTCATCCAGCCCTTCTCTCTAAGATTCAGTCTGCTGGTTCTAGTGTTTGTCTGCCAGAATGCTGGGAGTGACTCTCCTCCCCCAAGGAGCAAAATTCCCACGAGGGAGGAAGAATTCTCACCTTCAGGAAGTGACCTCTCCTCAATCCAAGGCTACAAGTAGAGCCAACTTACTCTCTTCTTGGCTGGAAAGCTCAGAGTGAACTGACTTTGAGATGAAAGCACTCAGCCCAGGGATCACCTGTGTGGGAAAAATCCCTTTTTTAAATTTAGAAAGATGGCATAAACTCAGGGAACGAAGAAAGAAGGAAGAATTTATTCAGCGCGCCGGGTCTTTCTCTCACTGAATTTCCAGGGAAAAAGACCCTTTGGATTTAAATTCCATACATTTTGTGAGAAACAGAGTCTCCAGATAAAATAATTTTTCAAATTAGAATTTATTATATAGTAGAAGCAAGCAGTGCTGGGTGACAGCAGGAGTCTGGCTCCTAAACCTGCCACCCTGATACAGTGTGTGAGTCTGATATTTATTTCAAACATGCCATACATATTCATTATACCACATACATATACATTTTACATTGCTATTCCAGGTATTCAACATATGTTTATTTTCACAGCTTAGACTAATTTGTTATCTCTACGTCAAGTTATAAATTCATATGTTCTTCGAAAAAAGACACCAAATTGCTATTTGACCCAAACTGGTTTGGACATAATTCCTGGCTAGGAGGACAGGGAAGGTGATGGTGATGGTCTGTTTTATGTCTTTATGGGGGTGCAATTAAGTTTTACAATCTGTTTTTCTTCTTTCCTGAGGTTACACTAACCCATTTGTTTCCCATTTGTCTTTTTTGTCAACACGAATTATGGTCTGTGTTTATCACAATTTTATAGTTTCACAAAATCCCACCCGTTTCCAGATCAGTTTAATATACTCACTTTTACCTAAAAAGGTTTCTTTTCTCTGAAAAGGGGCTTTCCCTTTATTCCAATTGGCTGCGAGGCATCCCCTGTCAAAGGTGATGGATCTTCCTTTGTTCTCAGCCCAAAGAGAAAAGGAACCTCGTGTACAACGTGGCCCCAAAAGATTTTAATTTTTAAGAACTTTTGCATTTCCCTTTTCCGGCTGAAAAGGACCCTGATACCCAGTCTCATTTGGAACTTGGATATCTTACAACTTCACAATATGCCTATATATATATATATAAAACCCCTATTTTTATTTCTCATAATATAAACCCCCTATTTTTATTTCTCATTTCACTGCCTTGTTTAAATTCCCTGGTAACAGGCTGATGTCTTTCACCAACGGATTAGGTGAGCTCCAAGCTGGCTGCAAGATTCCTTGGATCCCTGTGTCCGGGATGCTCCTTCCAGAAGCAGCCCTTGCACCTGGCAGTCGGGGACAGGTGATTTAGGAGCTTGCACTCAGCCAAAGATAAACCCCCCAGTGTGTCTCTGTATCACGCTGGGGTTTGTGCAGCGCTGGCAACGAGCTTTGTGAGTGTTTCCCAGGAGGTTCAAGCTGTTGATCTGTTTTTAATTCTTCCTCCTTCGGAGAATCCACAGGGATCCTACTTCTGGCTGTGTTTCTTCCTCCTCACCCACCTTCCAGCCCCCAGAATTAATTCGGCAGCTTCACCCCCCCAGAACATCACACAGCTCTGTAGCCAGTTTAGTCTGACAAACCATCAAGACGAAACCATTCAAATGCAAAAAGCGAAACAACAAATCAGAGCAACATCAGCCTTGGGAGTAACAGTCCAGAGGGGTCTCCTGTGAAACAGGCTCCCAGGAGGCCCCGCTGGGATGCCGAGATAATTAATTATCAGTGTAACATGTGGAAGGTCCAAGGGAAGGGTTTTGCTGATTCACGAGGGATTCCCAAGAGTGAGAAACTGCGGGAGAGAAGTTTTAGCTCCTTCTTTTTCGGATGGGACAAAAGGGATGAGCAACTGCCGTGTACCTGATTTTTTTTGAAGCTCGGGGTACAGCATTTCTTGCGGGTATCAGACCCAGCCCCGGCTCCCTGTTAACATTCCCTCTCCCGGCACAAACCAGCTGCTTGCTGGGTTCTGCTGAGCGTGTTTATGGTGTGTTTTGCCCACCCGGGGACCAGGGGCAGTGGGAGCTCTGAAAGGCCGGGTTAATGTGAGCAATAACAGCAATTGGCAGCGAAACGCCTGTTTTATCTCATTAACTGCGCAGCAACCTGCGTGGAGATAATTGCCCTTTCCAGCTGTGCTTAACCCATTGCTGCTTTGTCCTTTTGCTAATGAAGGATTTCTCAGAAAGTTTTTTTCCATCGCTCCAGGTTAATTCCCTGCCGTCCTTAAACCCCCCAGCCAAAACAAACCAGGACTTAAAAAAATCCACCTCGATTTAGGACGACTTTGTCAATCCCCCGAGGCAGCTGGTTGGATGTGTGTGCTGGAGGCTTTGCCGGGTCTCACAACAGCAATTGCTTTAATTGCTCTCCTAAACACTCTCAGTTGCCAGAAGTTTCTGGTGGATCTCACCCAGAGCTTCACTGCTCTGCTGCAGGTGAAGATTTTTGGTCCTTCTGGTGGGCAGGGAAGGACGGGGCAGTGCCCCCCTGGATCTCTGCACAGATCCACTGTGTGGGGTGGGAAAACGAAGTGCTGGCATTTGCAGTTGAGCCAGTGTTAAAAAAAATACAATAATAAAGCACAGTGTCATTACAAAAAGGTTATTTTAAGGTAGTTTGATTGTTGGAGGAAAAGCAACAAGTTCCTGACTGGGTACAGGAGATCACAATGTGTTCTGCTGCTGGGTATTGCCCTTTTTCAGTCTGGGCTGCAGAAAGTTGGGATAAGGATTTCCAGTGCTCTTGGCCAAATTAGGGATTTCCAGTGCTCTTGGTTAAATTAGGGATTTCCAGTGCTCTTGGCCAACTTATGATTTTCCTGAAGTTTTCCTAAGAAAACCATCACAGCCTGAGCTCTGATTCCTGGGCTTTCCTCAGCCTCACAACAGAGAAATAAGTTTTGCCTTATGTGTATTAATAAAACAACCTTCTTCTTGCAGGTCATCGTGGGAAGTATATTTGAAGTTATTTGGGCTGCAGTGAAACCAGGAACCTCATTTGGCATCAGTGTATTGAGGGCACTTCGACTGCTGAGGATTTTCAAAGTAACAAAGTAAGTCCAGCTCCCTTTTCACTCTCACAGCAGACTTTTAGCACCACATGAAATCTGGATTACCAACCCCACAGCAAGGAGGAGTGGTTTTGTTGATATTTTTATTTATTGTTACATATATTTATAGTTATAAAAATAAATAAATAAATAAATAACCAGAAGTTGGAGGGAAAAAAAAACCCAAAACAATGGTCCAAACCCCTGGTTTTGCTGGCACAAAAGCCCTGTCTGTCCTGGCATCCCATTAGGATGGTCCTGATGGGAGCAGGAGCAGAAGGAAACTGCAGATGCAGAATTGCCCTCTCCTCGGCTGGGCAATGGGGGTTTCTGGCAGCTGGAAATTTTGGGAGTTCCTGAGCCTGTATTTGCATCCACAAAGATTTTTAACAGCCTTTTTTTTCCCCCAGCCTCCTGTACAGGCTTTTCTGCCCTTGGGCAGAGGGTTCCACAGTGTAATGATGGGCTGCAGGAAAATATCCTTTTTTTGCTTTGTTTCTAAGCTTGTTTAAAACAAAAACCTCATTAGTTACCCCTTAGCTCTTGTGGTAAAAGCAACAAATTTCTTATTGACTTTCTAAGTCCCATCAGCTGCTCACTGTCCTTATCTGCTGCTCCTGAAGGGTTTGGGAACTGGAAAACCAAATACCCTGGGTGTTGCTGGCTGCTAAATCCTGGTGCCTGAGCCCCTGTGTTGACACAAATACTCAGAGTTTTGCTGCTGCCTGTGCTGTGTCTGCTCTGGGCACTCCTGGGAGGTTGAATTTTCACTAGAGTTGTGTTTCCACAGCTTTTCTGTTGTTTTCCTGCTCCTGCCTCACGTTAATGTGCTCTGGCATCAGCAAACAGCTCCTGTGCCATTTAGAAACCCATCTAGAGCCATTTCTGCAGGCTTTCCAAGCCGTGGTGTGCAAATTGATGACATATTTAGGTGCCCCTGCTGTTGTTTTCCACCTTATTTTTTTTCCACTGTTGCCTCCTCGGCTCTCCCTTCTTTCCATCACTCCCTTAACGCTCCTTGGCTTGAAGTGACAGGAGGAGGAATAAGAACTCCTCCCAAAAACACCCCTCATGCACAACTGCCTTCAATAAATAAGGCCCAGGTGATGGCACTGGAACAAACCAACCATTGGAAGTCACCAGGTGCTTTGGCAGCTGTTCAGAGGCCCAGGTGGCTCTGGGGGGTTTGCTGGTTTATATCTGTTAAGGATCGTGCAGATCCCAGATTTGTGTGTGATACGGTGTCAGCTGTTGTACTCGGGGAAAAAGGGGGTGGAAACATTAAGTTTCTGTGATTGTCTGGTAAAATAGGTGGGTACCTGCACCAAAAATGTCACTGTAGTTTACCTGTGCACCAATCTTATGCATGGGAAGCTCCTGGTTTTGTAGGAAATTCAGAGCAATGAATCATCAGCAGATAATTTTATCCCCAGCTACTGAGATTTGCTGTGTCTGATTGTGTGTTGTGCTTTTTCAAAATTTTGGCCATTTTTGGAAGGTAAAATCTTATTTTTTTCATGAGTTTTGACTATTCCTTTTAGCCAGCAGGATCAAGGGATGAATCACAAGAACTGTTGAGGTTGAAAAAGACCTTTAAGACCTTCAAGAGCATCGAATTCAACTGTTCCCCCAACACTGTCAAGGCCACCACTAACCCCTGTCCCCAAGGGCCACATCCACACAGCTTTTACATCCCTGCAGGGATGGTGACTCCCCCACTGCCCTGGGCAGCTGTGCCAGGGCTGGATGAGCCTTTCAGTGAAGAAATTTTCCCTGACATCCAACCTAACCCTCCCCTGGCACAGTTTGAGGCTGTTCCCTCTTGTCCTATTGCTCATTTCTTGGGAGAAGAGATTTAACTTAACGAACCGAGCCCGGGGCTCCCCCTTTCTCAGGACATCAGTGACATTGTCACCCCCCTGATCCTGATGTTCCCTTGACCTGATAATGTGGAATTTTCACCCGACACGACAGGAATGTGCTCGTTGCATGACCAGCAGCCACATCCCTGCAGCTCCCACGGGATGATCCCACATTATCCCAGGGTTTGAGCTGCACAGCTCAGTCCTCTCATGACTCATGAGAGCCACCAAAGTGCTGCCACCAGGCACAGATTCTGCCCACACTCTCTCATTGCAGCCTTTGCTGTGAGAACACCCTGCCCCTCAGCAGTTTCCTGTCTCCTTTTTCCATTTCTTCCATAGGAATTTCTCTCTGAAACTCCCTGCCCTGGTTTATTTTCCCTCCATGTTCAGCAGAAGCCAATTGCAGTCCCAGAATCCCAGAATATTCTCATTTGGAGGGGACCCCCAAGGATCCTGGAGTCCAGCTCTTGAGTGAATGGCCCAAAGAGGGGATTGAACCTGACCTTGGTGTTCTTAGAACCAAGGTTGAACCAACTGAGCTAAACTCAGTCCTCCTGCTTTGAATAATCAGTGGGATGAGACCTTTTGATTCCCACATCCCAAATCAGTGTGACCATGGACAGCAGATCCTGCTTTGAATAATCAATGGGATGAGACCTTTTCAATCCCAATCTTAAATCAGAGTGACCACGGACAGCAAGAGTTAAAAAAGGAAATTCCAGCTGGCCTGAAAGGTGCCAGCAGGATCCACCAGGAGGGGATACAGACTGAGAGGGGCTAAAATTCAACAGGGAGGACAAGGGAAAACCAGCTTCATGTGCTTGTCTTTGCCATGGCAGAGCTGAACAGGGACTGGCATCTGCAGAAATGCAGCTCCTCAGAATATCCTGGTGCTCTGTGTCAGGGTTTGGTGCTGAGCTATTCCAGGACAAGGCAGAGCCTCCAGCTCCCATGGATTTTGGGTTCAGTCGTGTTCCCTGTGAGGTGTGAAGCCCTTGGATGAGGCAGGTTTGGTCTGAAACTGCTGTGTCCAGCAGGGGAGAGCTGTGGGAGCAGCAAACCCTCCCTCTCCAAGGAGAGCAGCTCAACCCCTTTTGCTTTGGGACTGACCCTGGGCAGGTTTGGTTGTGACATTTCCACTGAAGATATTCTCCTGAGAGACCAAAGTTTATCCTGAAACCTCTGTCACTGTATTATGGAAGTAAATTTTCTTGAAATGGGAGTATAGGATCCTACTTCTGGGATGGACGTGGTTGTATCACAGAGGAACATGGGGTGGTTCAGTCCTCCCAGCTACACCTGGGGGAAGGAAGAGGGGGAAAACAAAGACAAAGGAAAGGGGATGGTGACTCAAGCTCTTAGCTTCTGTCCCCATCAGCAGATCTGACAAATCCACGGGCTTCCTTCTGCTGGGGACCCACAGCCACACTGCAGGAATGAGCTCAGGGTGTGGATCCATCCCCAAACTGCAGCAGGAGGACACTCAGGGCAGGGATTCAGCTCTGCAGGGCAGCTCTCAGGGCCAGGCAGTGGAAATGAGAGAAGCCACTGGAGAAAAAGAGGAAAAAATTCCCCCCCCTATGGCCTCAGACTCCCAACTTTGAGCAGAGTCCATGTGAAATGGCTCCAAATCACTCCTTTCCTGCCTGTTCTGACCCCGTTGTTCCACAAGAATCCGGGTCCAAAAGGAGCTCGTCAAAGAGCTGCTCAGCTCTTTCTGCATTTCCTGACTCATTAGTTTTCCTAATATAAACCTCCCTGCCTGTTCTCAGCAGGGCAATAAAGCCAGGAAAGAGCTGTTTCCGAGACCCTTCCCAGCACACCATCACTCCACATTCCTGCCTGTGGATGTGCCAGGAGCTGCCTCTGGGCACAGGAGAGACAAAAACAAACCGTCTTCTGTATCTGGCCAGATGTGACTTGGATGTGTCAGTCAGGATTCAGGCTGAGCCTGAATTCCCTCTTGCCATGCTGGAATTATCATCCTGGATTTATTTTCCTCCTCCAAGGCTCTGTCCTGGACACCTGAATTTCCCCCCACCAAAGGCATTGCTGGGCACTGATGTGGGTGTGAAACTCCTACAGGAATGTTTAAACATGTGGGAATTTAAATCCACTGGTTGATACTGCTGTTGGATGGGTTGGAAGGACACACCACAAAGATGTCCTGGTGGAAATTAGGTGTTTAATCCCAATTTGTGTGCTATGGAGAGCTGGATTCACTGTTCCCACCTTCAGTGTCACCTTCATGATGTTGATACTCTTTTGACACCCCTGCTGGTTTGGGACATTTTAGTTCTCATCTGGCTGCTGTGCTGGAGGAGAAGATGCCAAAAGGTCAAAATCTATCCCAGGAAAGGGGATAGAGGAGGAACTAATCCAAACATTCACTGCACACAACTCAGTGTGGGTGCACACACACCAAGTGACCACCTCTGCCCTCGGGATGCTCCAACAGATTTTCCACTCCATGAGCCGTGCTTTCCAACAGCAGAAGGGAGCCTAAAGAGGCTGATATTCCTTGTCATTCTTCTCCTGTTTCATAATAAGAAAATCATAGAGTCAGGTTGGAAAAGACCTTCAGGATCATCGAGTCCAGCTGTTGGCCAGCACTGCCAAGGCCACCACTGACCTGTGTCCCCAAGTGCCACATCTACAGGGCTTTTAAATCCCTCCAGGGGTGGGGACTCCACCACTGCCCTGTGCAGCTGTTCCAATGCCTGACCACCCTTTCCAGGAAGAAATGTTGCCTTAATATCCAACGTAAACCTCCCCTGGGCCACTTGAGGCCATTTCCTCTCGTCCTATCGCCCGGGAGATAATTCCTATTAGTTTCTCACCAAAGGCTCTTCCCCCACTCACGTTCTCTCTTGGCTGCTCTGATCTCCAACACAGGTACTGGAATTCCCTGAGGAATCTGGTGGTCTCCTTGCTGAACTCCATGAAGTCCATCATCAGTTTGCTTTTCCTGCTGTTCCTGTTTATCGTGGTGTTTGCTTTGCTGGGGATGCAGCTCTTTGGAGGACAGTAAGTCTAATTATTCATCCTGGGGCTGCAGGGCTGGAAGGGTCACATCCTGCTGCACTCTCAGTCTTCCTGGGCTGCTGAGAAGTTTATAGGAAAATATTTCTTGTTCCAGTGTTTTACCTGGAGCTGAACTCTTTCCTAAGAAAGAACAACCCTAATTCAAAGCCCCCTTTGTCATCCCACAGTCCCCACACACACCCATAAAGAAACAGGCCTGGGGAAGGCATCACTTTTTATTAAGGGAAAGGCAAATTCTTTCCCTGATATCCAGGGTGACAATGTGTTTATTCACTTGGAATATTTTTCTGCTGGAAAACATGGTGCTGTTGAATCTGATTATTCTCATTAGAAATGCCACTTGTGGTGAATTTTGCAGCACGAAATATCACAGCATTATCATTTAAACTCCAGCATCAATTCTGAAATGAAATAACACGGTTTTATTTGGTCTTTTTTTTTTTTCCCCCTCAGTCAATTGCTATTATATCTTTAAAATATTAAAAAGAAATTATCTACTAAGAGGGTAATTTCAATTTGGGCTTTTGCACCGGAGGATGAAAACTTCTTGGAATGAGTTGTTCAGGAAAAAATCATTTGAGCTTTGGATTGTTCATTTTAACTGTGGCTGCAAACGAATTTCGAAGCATCAGAATTTTCTCTGGGAATGAGATTGAGTTCCTGCTAATGGTCCTGTTGAGCACCTTCTGAGAGACACCGTGTTCCCTGCTGTGCTTGCCTGGGCTGTTATTGCCAGGTGGAACAAATGCTGCTCCCTGACTTGGTTTCTGGGGCGTTCCAGGGGATTAGGAGATGCCTGGGAGCTGCTTGGCCCTCACTGCCCCGCTTTTGATTTCTTCCTTCTCTCCAGGTTCAATTTCCAAGACGAAACTCCGACCACGAATTTCGACACCTTCCCCGCTGCCATCCTCACGGTGTTCCAGGTAAAGCCACACCTTGGCCTGGGGCAGGGTTAGAAGAGAAATTCCTGTGCATCTCCTCTTGCTTATGGAAGGCAAAGAGGTCCTCAAAAATCTGTGGGATTTAAGGAAAGAAGTCCTTCCTTTTCACGTGTTTTGCTTCGCTGCTCAATCAACACATCATTAAAAAAATCAAATTAAAAATCAACGCTGTGGAATTAAGGAAAACTAGAACAAAAGATTTTTTACTAGGAAGAAAAAAAATTGATAAAATAGGTATTTCTGTGCCGTTCTTAAAGTCTGTGTGTGTGCCCAGGCTGTTGTCTCCCAGCCCTGGGATGGCAGCTCTGGCTCGTGGAATGTCCTGCCTGCGATCCTGGAATGAGCCAGTGCTTGACCTGCTGCACTTTTGCCATAATTCAATGAGCAGAGAGGCCTGAGGGAGCTCCAGGCAGCAGGGAAATAATGCAGCATTTGGCCCAGTAATAACTGCAGAGAAGTTAATGCTGGGTGAGAATTGCCTTCCATGAGAGAGGCACCGGCCTCGGGCGGGTTCGGGAGACGGCGGGAGGGACTCAGAGCTCTGGGAGATGCTGGCATTGAAAATCTTAATTTTGCGGCTGTTTTCTTCGTATCTTTTTTTAAAACAATTACTTCAGATGTTTCATTTAAAACTGGGGCTGCTGCTCCATGTGCAGGTCTGTGGAACCCGCCCAGCATTTGTAACCTCGTCCCACACAAATTCCTGGGGTGGACTCGAGCTGAGGCTTCACCCCTGAGCCCAGCTTTCACATAATTTAATTTAGGCTTAATTTAGGTATTTTGTATTTAACCGTCATGGCCCAAAAAGGGCAAAAAAAGGGGCGGATTGATGATAATTTTTGGATTAACACAAAGAATCTAAAAGCAAACGTGTCCTGTGACCTCTTCCTGTGAGTGTTGCTTGTCCCCAGCTGGGGAGCAGGTTCTGCACTGACCTCCAGGATACTGCAAATTAATATTTGCACGGGATTTTAGTGCTCACCCAAGAAAGGGCTTAAAGATACGGAAAGGTATTGCCACCGAGCAGGAACTGAGCCCCAGTCAGGCTCGGGAATGTTGATGGGATTTTGCTTTGGGAATACAGTTGTCCATGAGAATATTTAGCTGAAATATTTCCTTGAGATAAATACCCCGTGGGGTGAAAAAAACCACTGTTGGGTTTAGGACATTTGTCCAGAATGTCAGAGCTGTGAATTAAAACCAGCAAAACCTATCAGCACTGGATTAACTGAGTGCAGCATTTGGATGATAATAATAATAATAATATCAACAATAACAACAACAATAACAATAATTTCATTTTTATATTACTTGATTATTATGATAATAATTATATACAACACATAATGTATTATATATTATATAATATATAATATGCACAATATATATTATTAATAACCATTGCATTAATTATATATATTATATGATAACGAAACAAAACCAATAATTTCATTTTGATATTATTTGGTTATTATAATGATAATTCGATTAGATTACAGATCATTATATTGCTATATTAATAATTATTATATCATATATATTTATATACTTTATATTATAATAATATTTATTATGCCAATCATCTATTATTATATTATAACAATAACATTATTATTAATGATATAATAAATATAATAATATTATTTATTTGTTTTTAATAATAACAACAACAAAACAACAATAATTTCATTTTGATATTACTTGATTATTATTATAATAATTATACACCACACATAATATTATTATATAATATATAATATGCACAATGTATATTATTAATAACCATTGCATTAGTTATATATTATTATATGATATGGTAAAAAACAATAACAATAATTTCATTTTTATATTATTTGATTAATATAATGATAATTATGTTACATAGAATTACATTACTATATTAATAGTTATTATATAAAATATAACTATATACTATATATTATAATAATATTAATTACACCAATTATATATTATTATATTATAACAATAGCATTATTAATTATATAATGAATGGAATAAATAAAATAATATTACTTATTTATTTGTTTAATAATAATAATAATAATAGTAATAATATCCCAGAAGCATTTTGATAAACCCTGTTCTTGGTCCATCCTCCTTCTCCCCTGAACTACAAATACTGGGTCAATGTTTGGGCTTTGGATTCCTTTCTAAAACCTCCCCTTCCACGTGCACATGGGACTGGATCCCAACACCTCCTGAGGAAGTTGCAGACCCCAGAAGGGTTGCACCTTCACCATCTTTGCATCCCTCTTTTGGACACTCTTAACAGCTTTAGATGTTTTTTGTGCTGCGGTGCCCAAACTGCCCCCGGCCCAGAGCAGAGCAGGACAATCCCCTCCCTTGCAGGGCCTGATGCCCCCCATGTGCTCATCCCTTTCCCCTGGGGAACATTCCCGGATGGCATCACACTGCCTGGCTCCCTCTGACCACTCTGTCCTTCCTTTAAGTCACCTCCTCTTCTCCTCTCTCCCACCCCTGCAGATCCTGACGGGGGAGGACTGGAATGCCGTGATGTACCACGGGATCGAGTCGCAGGGTGGGGTCCGCTCGGGGATGTTCTCCTCCATCTACTTCATTGTCCTGACGCTGTTTGGGAACTGTATCCTTCCACGGGTGCCCTTCCTGGGCTGCCAAAGAGACCTTATTTTGTTTAAATCCTCACCCTTTTGGACTTTTTAAAACCGAATTATTGCTTTTCTCCTTCCAGCCCCTGGGCTAAGGCGTGTAGGTGAGTTATCCAGGTTGGTGTCGCTTTTCTTATGGCAACTAAAAAATTTTTATTTGATTTAATTTCATGAAATTTCATTTTAATTGTTATGTTTTACCTTGAGAATGTCCTATTGTGAGTCAGTTTATGTTTTCCTTGAGAATGTTCTATATGAGTTACTTTATATTTTACCCTGAGGATGTCCGATTATGAGTTAGTTTGTGTTTTCCTTGAGGATTCCCTGTTATGAGGTGGGAAAAATAACTGAAGTCAGGTCAGAGCAGGACCTCTGTACCTCGAACATCTTCACAGATGGTTTGTGGTTCATCAGGGGAAGGAAGAGTTGAAATTGGGTTGGTGGGTAGATGAGGCTCCATTCTCTTGATGCCTTTGTCTACAGGGCAGCTTAACCAGCTGTGCTGTTCCTAATGCTGGAAATTATCTTGTCTCCACTTAGTGCTTAAAATTTAATTCTAGATCTAGGGTTTCAGGCTCTGGGAGCATTCAGTCGTGTTCCAGGACTTGGCACATGAAGTGTCTGGTTTTTTCTGCTTCGAGATGAAAATCTCTTGAGGGAAAGAAGAAACTGGGGGCTTTGTGCCTCCCCCAAAATGTCCCAGGGTGTCTGTGGGGAATCAGCAGCACTTTGATGTCTGATATGTCCTGCCAGGACTAAGCAGGCAAGAACACAGTGACGAGGAGATGGGATTTGGGAAGGGAGGATCTATTTTATGCAGCACTGAGGTGATTCCCTGATGTCACATCTGGGTGTGATGAGGAGAAGCCAGAGCAGAGGGGCTGTGGTGAATCTGTCCCTGCTGATGGAATTGCTCCATGGAATTGCAGCCATCAAGCAGGTCCAGGATCCTTGGTGTGATGTTTGCTGCCTGCAGCCTCAAACTGGAGTCAAACAGAGCAGCCTCAAAAATGGGACTTTAGAAACTGTTGCAGGGACAAAGCAGCCCAGCTGGTTTGTTTGCTCTGTGAAATAGGGGTAATAACTGAACCTTGCTGCTCTGCTTGGGGGCCTTCCCAGCAGGGAGAACCTTCTTGCTGGTTACAATCCCAGAGCTCATCTTTTCCTGGTGTTGTTTGGGCTGGCTGGGTACCTGGGAGAGAGGGAGGGGTCATGGGGGCAATACTTGGGCTACAGGCACGGAGCTGTCACAAACAGGGGCTGCTTCAGCTGGAGGGCGAGATGACAGGAGATAAGATGTCTCCAGCCCTTTCCTCTGCCTGAGATCCCTCCATTAGCACGAGGAACAGAGATGGGGAAGAGCAGAGCAGACAGGCAGAGCTGTGCTTGTCACACCAGCGTGTCCCTGTGGGATTTATCCCATTATCCGGCGCTGTCGGAGCCGCAGCAGCCGCGGTGCCCGCCTGGCTGGGCAGCCACGCTCAGACATCCACCTCCCAGCCCCTTCCAGAAACACAGCCTTTGGAAAACTGGGTCAGTGGAGAGCTGGCAGGGAGGGAGAGCTCCAAATCCTCCGGGCTTGGCATTTGAAAATGAGATTAAGCCGTAATCAGCCTTGACAGCACAGCTGAGAGAGAGACGTTTACCCTGCGAGCAGCTCTGAGCCAGCATTTTGGAGGAACGGGGTATTAACTCCCTTCCTCACCTTTAATCCAGAGGGGGCTTCTCCCTTGTCCTTTAGTTTTCATTAAAAGGGAGAGAGCAGGGGGTGTTCAAGGACAGGCAATAAGGACCTGGCTCACCTGCTGCCACTGCCATGAGTTTGGTATTTGCCTTTGCTTGCTGCGACAGCGGGGAGGTGAAACCTTATCCACATTCCCCTCAGATCTCATCCTGGCTTTCCCTTCTGAGGTGATCCAGGCAGTGGCTTTCCTGGCTTTTTCCCTGAGATATCTCCAGTGCCTCTCCCCTCCCCTTTGCCCACAGGCACAGGATGGTGGCACAGCTCCCTGGGGCATTGCTGGGGTGTTTAGCAAGGAGAGTGGATCGAGTTTGGATTCTTTAGTTCTCCGTGAGTCCTGCAGGTAGGGAGGAGTTTGCTGCAGGTGAGTTTCTTCAATCACAGAAAGAGGGAAAAGTTGGCTGACAAACAGTAACAACACCCAGAAAACCTTCTGTAATTTCCTGGAAGGCTTCTTCCACCAACTTCTGCAGTTTTCCAACTTCCCTAAAGAGAAGCTGTGGCTGCCCCATCCCTGCAAGTGTCCAAGTCCAGCTTGTAGTAACCTGGTCTGGTGGAAGGTGCCCCTGCCTGTGGCAGGAGGTGGAATGAGATGATCTTTAGGGTCCCTTCCAACCCAAACCATTCTGGGATTCTGTGATACTTCAAGTGATCAGAGCTATAAATCTCAGACAAACCTATTAATTCCCGTGGGGATTTACATCCCTGTTGGAGAATTAGAGACCCAAACTTAGTCTGGGAATATCAGCAGCTTTCCCAGAGAGTTTGTAAGAGCCTTTCTGCCCCACACAGACCTTTGAGCACCGTGGGCAGGAGGGGAGAACTGGGCCTGGGGTGTGTGGGGAAGGCTGAGGGGTTAAACCTCTCCCAGGGGTGTTTTCCGTGGGGATTGCAGCAGTGATTCCACTAAAGCCTGTGCTGATATTTCATCAGCATTTGGGGAAGGTCAGGTCTAACCCTGCTGTTCAGCAGCTTCGTCTGTGGTGCTGAGAGTGAGCAGCAGGCACTCATTGATCCCCGAGGGGAGGCTGAACTGGGGGACTTACCAAGGACTCAAGTCAGCATTAACTGTGAAAACACAACCAGGAACATCTGAAAATAAAGTTTAGTTTGCCAGGAAAGGAGAGCCCTGCATTGCTCCAGGAGGTAAAACAGTCATTAATGGCAGGGATGCTGCAGAGTTAAGGAGAGGGGAGTGTAGAGGGTGAAAGTGTTCCAACCTTGGGGTCACTTCCCAAGGAGACCCCACAGCCCAGGGAACACCATGAGAACACACTACACAGAGCAGTCTGAGTTCTTGGTCACCTTGATTTCAGGCTAGAAACACAGAATCATATGATATCCTGAGCTGGAAGGATCCTCAAAGATGATTAATTCACCTTAAATTAATTATTAGATTAGATTAGTGTGACTTCATTGCTCTAACTTGGGACTTCATAAAGATCTGTCCACTCTGCCTTGCAGAACTCCCTCCAAAAAGCTTTAAAAATGTGACTTTTTTAAATGCAATATGTCAAGTGTGGCTTTTCCATCCCTCCCCACACAGCTGTGCTGAGACTGAATTTCTTCAGCAGGACTTTTTGGTTTTATTTTCTTCTATCACCGCTGAAATCAGCCAAGATCCTTCTGGGGGCTGACCAGCAAAAGGCACTTTGGTTCCTCTGCTGGGAGAGGGTTTATTTTCACTTTGTAAACTTTGCCATGTTTAAGAGTTTGGGTGGAATGGATCAAATCTTAGAGAACTGGAACTGGTGATTTTGGGTCAATTTGCCAAACCTGCTCTTTTTAACCACGAGGGGCTCTTTTCTCCTCCCAGAGCTGTTCAGGGCATCAGGATTGTTCTTTTCCATGAAGAAGAAAGGTGGGTTGGTGCTGATTTCTGCTGCTTCTCACTGCCCCTTGGGATTCTTGGGATACTTTTTTGAGGGACCACTGCAAGGAAAAAATCCTGAAAGTTTGTTTTTCTAAGTCAGAAGCGTCTCACTTTATGTTTCCAGTTCCGGAGAGTCTGTGTGGAACCAGTTTAATGGAAGTGGTGTGATTGGAGGAACAGCAGGATTTGGCCCATTTGCTAGGAAATGACACCATGCCTGTATTCATTGTTGTCCAGTTAATTGATAAATGGAGGCATCTGTTGAGGGGGAGAAAAAAAAACAACCTGCAGAGGAGCCTGAGAAGAAAAGCAGGAACTGCCTGGAGGTGCTGCCCTTCCCCTGGCCCTCAACTGCTGGGCAGGAGATCCATCCTGGCACAGGCTCAGCCACCAGCTCTGAGCCAGAGCCTGGAGATTGGGTGATATTTGGGAATCCCAGAGCTCTGCAGAAAGGACTGGAGGACCTTTTTCTGGGGGCAGAAACACCCAAGTCTGCCAGACTGTGTCTGCTTGGAAACGGATCAAAACAGCCTGATCTGATAAAAAAAATTAATTATATTTCCAGTGGTTGCTTCTGTTACACGAGACGCTCTGAGCATGTGTGTGTGGGAGGCAGGGGTAGGAAGACAGTTTTATTGCTGAGACATTTATTCCCAGAGTAGGAGGGTTGGAAGTGTTTCCAGCGTGTTGGAAGCACCCCAGAGGAAGAAACCCAAACACCCAGCACAGACCAGCACACCAGTGGTGCCTCAGCCCCCCTGTCTGCAACCTCTGTCCCTCCACCTTCAAACCAGCCCTGAGTTCAAAGGAAATGGGGGAATGAATATATTTTTTAATGAAGTGTTGATTGACTGTGGGAGGGGGTGATAATTCCAGCATCATCTTTTCCTGAGCTCTCTGGGATGGAGGTGCTCCCACCCACAGCACTCCCTGCCCTCCTGGAATGAGGGAAGGAGCAGCTGATGGGCATCACATTTCAAACCTCTCTCTGTCCCAGAGGATTCGTCTCCAAATGGTAAAAACTTCCATCCCATGTTCCATGAGATGGAGGAGAATTGATGGATGACGTGGTTCCCGGCTGGAGAAACCCCAGGGCTCTGCATCCCATCCCCTGTGGGGTTTGGCAGTCAGGGAGGATGCAGATGCATCCTAAGAGATTAATACAACTCTTGCTTCCCACTGTCACAGGCTCCAGGTTTGATGGACATCAGGCTCTGGAGACGCTCATCCCAATGGGAATTAGAGATGGGAATGCCTGGGTCTGGAATCTTGGCTGAATTAGGTTCGGTAAAAGCTCTTGAGAGGGAAAGCAAAGAGGCTTTGAGATCATTGTTTGGGCCAGCTTTGGTCCCTGGCTGCCTTGGGAAGTCTCCTGGTGCCGTGGCCATGTGGGACCAGAGCTCTGCAGCCAACAGTGCCCGAGCCAGCGTGGAGCCTGCTGGGACACGAGGGGTTCTGGGCACAGCCTTGTTTGGGAGAGACCAGTGCAGGTGGTGCACCAGCCTTGCCCTGCTCCTGGCTCCTCTGCCTGCAGAGAAACCTCAGCTGCCTCCTCCAGGAGGTTTCCTGAGAAGTGGAAAGCAACGGAGGGGCACTGAGGTCAAGGTTTCCCAAAATCTCCTTGCAGGTTGATGGCACCCTGGGAGCTCATCACTCACCTCTCCTCCCCTCACAGGAGGGATTTGTGGCTCCCCCAGCTCACCAGCCTCACCCCCTGCCCTCACTCAGCCTTGCCCTGAGCTGGGACAGAGCAGGGGACACCTCAACCCAACAGAAAATCCCACACTGCTTTGGGTTGGGATTAAAGCTCATCTCATCCCACCCCCTGCCATGGCAGGGACACCTTCCACTAGCCCAGGTTGCTCCAAGCCCCGTCCAACCTGGCCTTGGACACTTCAAGGGATCCAGGGGCAGCCACAGCTTCTGTGGGCAACCTGTGCCAGGGCCTCCCCACCCTCACAGGGAGGAATTCCTTCCCAATATCCCATCTAACCCTGCCCTCTGGCAGTGGGAAGCCATCCCCTGTGTCCTGTCCCTCCATCCCTTGTCCCAGGTCCCTCTCGAGCTCTCCTGGATCCCCCTACAGATACCTGGATTAGTTTCCTGAAGTCCTTTCCTGGGTACCTGCAGCTGGTCCCAGCCCCACGTTTGGCTCTTGTGGGGACCCTGCAGTGCAAACACAGAGGCAGCACTTGGCTGCTAAAGCCTTTTGGGTCTCCAGAGGGTCCATACTCCTGAGATCAACTCCATTCTCATGTCCATTCCTATTAGGAGGAGCAAACACAACTTTCCACAGCTCTGGAGTGAGTGACTCTCCTGTCACCAGGTAATGTGCAAGAGAAAAATGCATTTTCTCCTTGGGAGAGTCGTTTCAACTTGGTTTTGCTTTGCTTGCCCTCCTTTCCCAGGCAAAGTTTCCTGATTTACAGTCGTTTCGGGGCCGTTTTGCAGACACGGAGCCAGAATGAATACAATAAAACAACCCAGAGCTGAAATCATTAAAGTGGAAAAATGAAAACACAACATGAATAAATAATCAGAGGCCAACGTTCTGTCTCGGTGATCTAATGCAGGGCTGTGCAGAGGGACCAGCCAGGCGTGGGCACTGCCCTTGTTTAGCTGGGCTGGGTGCAATTTGGGCTGGACTAACAGGCTGTTTCCCTGCAGAGCTCATTATCTGGGGCTGGGGGTGCTGCTCCCGGGCTCTCCTGGAGCTGGGGGTGAGCCCTGAGGGTGGAGGATGACCAGGATGCTCTCCTTGGACTTCAGCAGGACAAGCCAGGATGGGTTTTTTTCCCAGCACTGCAATCCAGCAGTGGCTGAGCTTCATCTTCCCTGCTTACCCAACACCTTTGTGTAGCTCTGGGTATTTATTTTGCAAATATTGGCTTTAAAGTGACTGATTTCCTGCAGCTCCACTGGTTGTCCTTTTAAACAGTGGGGGGAAATGAAGGGGTGTGTGGGCAGGAGTGGAGTGAGGGTTTTCCGGGGTGGAAAACCAGGGGCTGTGGTGTCTCTAGGGGTTGTAAAGCCCCCCTGCTCAGCCCCTGTGTGTGTCCCCACCAGGGACAGGTGCTGGGGAGGAGATAAGGGAATGTCCAGCACCTCCTGGGCTGCAGAGCTCCAGGGAGAGGGAGGGGGTGGGTTGGGAATGATGGCACAGCACTGATGCAGGGGGTCAATCCATAATCCATAATCCATAAGTGGGAAAAGAAGGGTGGTGGCAGCAGAAGGGGGGCAGTTTGCTGTGCCTGCTGGGTGAGGAGTTTTTCCTTATCTGCCTCCCAAAAGACACCCTCCTGAACGTCTTCCTGGCCATCGCTGTGGACAACCTGGCAAACGCCCAGGAGCTGACCAAGGTAGGGATGAGATTCCTGTTTCTTCCAACTCAGAGAGTGGCTGATGACCCAAAATTACACCTGATAATGAGCCTGCTCATGCCATACCTCTGTTCACCAGTTTTCCCAGCAGAGCAGGACCAGGAGGTTTATTCTTCTCGGGGTTTTGTTTCATTCCAGGCTCGTTGCAGTGAATATTTTGTGCCCTTTCCTTTGTTTTATCACAGAGTGGGCAGTGGCCTTTGCTCATCTCACTGCTGTGGGGAGGTGCTCAGGCATTTCTGCTGTTTCCAAGAGCAGAGGAGAAGCAATTCCCAGGTTTGGACTGAGCTGAAGCTCAGGATGAGCAAAGGCGGGGTCGTGTTGCTGCCTTTGCGGTCTCGCACTCGTGTTTCTTCCCTTGCTGAGGTTTGGGGTGGATTAAAGAATTAAAATTTTCCAGTCAACCCCCTGGAACTTGCAGAGGGTGTTTGGAACACCCAGTGAAGGTGTTAAACCTTCCTGCCCCTCACCAGGGTAAGAGAAACCTGAGGCACCAACCTGAGCACAGGCAAATAGCCAGGTCCTGGCAAGAGATGGGAATGACACTGATGGAACTTCAGTGTATGCAGAATTTTGTGTATATATATATATATCTGTATATATACAGATTTATATTGGAGTATCCCCTGTGGAGAAGATTTATATAGGAGCATTCCCTATGGAGAAAAACTGGCAGCCTCAGGATTGCACAAGAAGCGTTTCAAGTGCGCTGCCCCTGATATTTGTATTATTACATACTTTGGATTTGCCATTGTACCACACTCAGATGTGTTTATGAGCAGCATGAGGGGTTTTTCTGCACATTTTGCACATTTTCTGTTTGTTCTCACTGATAAAACCATGAACCCCCATTGCTGTGCTGCTGCTGCCACTGAAACCTGGGAAATAAACTCTGCAACCAGGTTTTTTTGGGTTAGAAAGACAAAAATACTCTATTGCAGTGCTGGATGCATGGGGATTATTCCTCAAAGGTTTCATGAGCAGCAACTCCACAGCCAGGTTATATTCATGGCAGTAATACATATTCTTCCCATGTATATTGCATATTAATTATATTTCGTTAATACATGAATATATGTTAATTATTTCAGTGAACTTATTTGGATATGAACAGGGGTCTTTCCAGGGGCTTTAGTGGTCATTTGGGTACATTCCATTCCCCAAAATTCCCTTTTATGCTCCTGAATCTTCTGATGGATCTCTTTCCCATGGGAGTATCTTGAATATGTGGTCAGGTCATGCTGCACTTCTTTAATCATTCTTTCCTCCAACACTCCATCAATGTTCTCAAAACTAAGACACCTCTCAGGACATATTAATCACTAATATAAGTAAATAATGAAAATAGTAACTGGCACAAGACTTACCAGTCATGGATTTAGGGAGCTACCACAAGGCCACCGTAATCTCTGGCATTTGTCCTGAGCTCTGTATGGTACAAACCCAAGCATCAACCACAGATATAGGGACTATACACTGTTGGTAAAGGAATTTTCCAACATCTCCCACTGCTGCAGAGACTCCTTCTTAAAGAATCATAACTCGTTTGGTAACACTGCCATTGGCATCAGTCACAGGGGCAAAAGCAGCATCACAGGCACCTCAGGGGTTGGGTTTTACAAGATTTCTCTGTTCCTTGTAGTAGAAGGTCATTAACCATGTGCTGCTGCAGTGGGCAAGGATGTTTTCTCTTGTTGGAGTTGTAGGAAGGTGCAGGAGTTCATTCCCCATCCCTGGAAGTGTCCAAGGCCAGGTTGGAGCAATTTGGTCCAGTGGAAAGTGTCCCTGCCCAGGGCAGGGGGTGGAATGAGATGGTCTTTAAGGTCCTTTCCAACCCAAACCATTTTATGATTCAATGGAAGTGTTCAAAAAGGTGTAGATGTGGTGCTGAATCAATCACAGAATCACAGAATCCCAGAATCAACCAGGCTGGAAAAGACCTCTGAGATCATCGAGTCCAACCTGTGACCCAGCCCCACCTTGTCACCCAGACCATGGCACTGATGCCACATCCAGGCTCTGCTTCAACACCTCCAGGGACGGGGACTCCACCCCCTCCCTGGGCAGCCCATTCCAAGGGCTGATCCCTCTCTCTGCAAACAACTTCTTCCCAATGGCCAACCTAAACCTGCCCTGGGGCAGCTCCAGGCTGGGCCCTCTTGTCCTGCTGCTGGTTCCTGGCGGCAGAGCCCGACCCCCCCCGGCTCCCCCCTCCTGTCAGGGAGTTGCAGAGAGTGAGAAGGTCTCCCCTGAGCCTCCTCCTCTCCAGGCTGAGCCCCCCCAGCTCCCTCAGCCTCTCCTCACAGCACTTGTGCTCCAGACCCTTCTCCAGCCTCGTTGCCCTTCTCTGGACATGGATTAGGGGTGGATCTGGCAGTGCTGGGTTGACCTGATGATCCTGGAGTGTTTTCCAGCCTCCGTGGTTCTATGGATACACCTGCAGCTCCACAGCTCAGGCACACACAGAGTTCTCAATTTCCCACCCCCCAGTCAAAATCCACATCCCTGTTGTGGCTGAGCTTGTTTTTCCCAGTTCTTCTTTCCCTCTGTGGAGCTGCAGGAGTGGCTCCAGCTCCCAGCTTTGTCTGGAGAGCATTTCCTGATATCCAATATCCAGCCCAGACTGTGCTCTCAGGTGTCTGATAGATGTTCCTGTGTCTCAGGCCATGCTCCTCATCCCCCTCTCTCACAATCAGCTCAGGGCTGCATTTAATGGCTCTTTGGTTTATTTTTCCTGGGATTTTTTTCCCTTTCAGCAGCTCAGCTGTTTCTATTCTTTCTAACACTCCCAGAAATCTCCAGCCTGGAGGCACAGATCCTCCCAGATTTATGGGGATCCCTTGCATGTGCTAAGAGAGAGGATCAGGCCCGGCACAATTCTTGGATAATGAAGCTCATCCTGCTTCTTTCTTAATCCTTTAAGTGCTTTCTTGTGAATATTTCAGCAGCTGACAGGGCCACTTAAAAACCTGACTTTGTTGATGTTTATAAAGTATAATTAAATATTGATGGATTCAGCAGCATGGCCAAAGCAGAAAGCTTCTTGAGAAACTCTCTTTTTTTTTTTTGCATAATTTTATTTACGATCCTAAAAAAAAAAATCACCAGGGCTTGCAAAAGAAGAGGAAAAAGATAAAAGTAATTCAATTATACACATACCTGGAGAATGAGGGATTTCCTGCTAAGTAAATATGATCATGCAAAAGCAAAAAATGGCCCAGAGATACAATTAAGTTACTCAGGAGTCTGTTGATCTCGGGGGACTTTTTTGACATTTATGCTGTAAATGGAGATCAGTGCTGCACATAATGTGGGCAAACCAGGAGCAGTTGGCAACTGCCTCTGTTTAGGGAAGGCACAAAGCTTTCCAGCCTCAGGACTGAACATTTCAACCGAGATTTCCACTTTGGGATGATAATGTGGATTTATTTAGCGTGGCATTGTGACCATTTCTTACCTGGCCCTTGTGACCTGTAAAGGAATTCTTGGAATTGGAACTATATTTAACTTAAGCTTGGTCATCCAGTGCGTGTTACAAAACTCACCAGCGCTTAGGAATGACTCATAAAAATGAGGGGATAAAGAAGAATCACCTTTGTTTTCAATCTATAAAGAACCTGCTCTCTCCCCTCCTCTTCTGTGCTGCCCTTTTCTTCCCTTCCCAGTGACTCAAACTCTGCCAACCTCATTTCTAGTGATTTCTGGGAACTCTTCTAAATGCCTTTTGGTTCTCTACCCTCTATTTTTTCCCCAACATTGGCAGGTTTTTCTCCCTGTTCACTTATTCAGATGGAATCTACAATTGCCCCCAGGATTTGCTTTTAAAATCTTCTCTCCCCTGACCATCCCACCTTTAATTCCTTTCTTTGCTTGTCTTCATGGCTTTTACTTTCCCTATGGAAGTGTCTTTATCTCAATCCATGAATTTTGTCACTTATGCTCATGGATTGAGATCAATTCATGGATTGAGATAAAGGAGTTCCTTCATCCTCATTAAACTTGAGTGTAAAGCCACCACAACTGACCCTTGATTTTCCTAAATATCTTAAAAGCACAAAGTGGGTTTTTTGATCTCAGTGATCCCTGAGAAACCAGGATAAAATCATGGAATGGGGGATAAGAGGGAAGTGGGAATTTGACATAGAAATGTATGGAAGTGTTGAGAAATTCCCAGAACTAACAGACTGAAGCAGCCAAACCAAGAGTTGAACATCCATGGATCCCCCTCTTCCCCCCCCCCCCCAACAGGGGAGGGCTTTAATTGGTGAACTTATTAAAGAACAGGCAGTGTTAATGATCTATATCATTGTGATTAGCTCCAAAAATGGGGTTTGCCATGTGGTAAACTGGTTAAAATTAAGATTTAGGGCTCTAGAAAACAGAAAGGATCCATAAAAAAGGGATGACCTTATAGGGAAGACCTTTATATGCACTTTTTGTGTAATGAGGGTGTCAGGCTGGGCTGGTGGTGGAGGTGGGATGGATGGATGTTGCCATCAGAGCTCCAGTGAGACCTCTCAGGTCAAATATCAGGCAAAAATTTAACTAATTTTTGGAGTGATCTGCAATTTCTCTGTGGGAAGAGCGACAGAAATATTATTAAATAGTCTGCTAAATAAATATTCATATTTTAAATACTCTAAATAGTATTAATATTAAATAATGTTATTAAATATCTGCTAAAGAGTGGGCTCATTCTGAGTTAGGGATGGCTGAATTTATAACAACAATGGGTGTTTTTTTGCTGTTACTTCACGATGTGGAATCCAGGAGAATTCCTGAGGCACCAGGGGGTATAGAGCAGAAGCTACACATTTTAAAGCCATTTTAAAAACTGTACCTGGTGCTCTTGGTGCAGAGAAAGAGAAATTAAGAGCCTTTGATTTTAAGGCTGTTGGAGATTCCTCAAGAGAGGAAACAACTTGAACATACCTTGGGGGGTGAAAGGAAATCCTTAAAAGCCTTTTAATTGGTTTTTTTTTTCATAAAAAATCTTATATTCTGCAGGCTTGTGATGGGCTAGGATGGGGCAGAGTTAATTGTTTTCTCAGTAGCTGATGCTGGGATTTGGATTTGGGCTGGAAACGGGATGTTTTATTAGTGCTGAGCAGCATTTACAGAGCCCAGGGGAGGAGGTTGGGGGTGCACAAGGGTTTGGGAGGACAAAACCGACCCAGCTGACCCATGGAATGTTCCAGAACATGTGGCTTCATGCTCAGCACATAAAGCTGGGGGAGAAGGAGGAAAGGAGGGATCTTTGGAGTGCTGGAGTTTGTCTTTCCCAGTCACTGTTGCATGGGATGGAGCCCTGATGTCCTGGGCAGGGCTCAGGGATGTGATCACAGAGCTGCCTGTGGTGGGAAATGGGATTTAATTCCTTTCTTTGCTTGTCTTCATGGCTTTTACTCTCCCTATTAATCTGTTTTTATCTCAGTCCATGAATTCCATTACTTATACTCCTCTGGTTTTCTCCCCCATCCCTCCAGGGTGGGTGTGAGTGAGCAGCTGCTGGCCAGGGTTAAACCATGAACCCCCTGGATCTCCAACCAGCCTCCAAACCAGTGATAAATTTACTGCAATTTGGCACCTGAGAAATATTGACTTTGTGTAATTGCTCAGCAGATCATTTTTTCATGGCCTGGCTCAAGTCCTTCATTCATTAGATTTGCTAACGTCTGAAAAAGGGAAAAAAAAAAAAACCAACAAAAAACTTACATGCTAATAATTTTTTCCCCTTAATTTTCCATCTTTTCTGTTTTTACTTCTAAAGGAGAAAACAGTTTCAAAATGAGCTCAGTTGAAACAACACCAAAGTCAGGGCAAGGGGCTGTTTATGCAGACGGAATTCAGGGTGGATAAATCTCTGATTTCCCATTTCAAAGCTGGATGTCTTGCTGCCTGCTCTTGTTATTTGAAGATTAACTCCCTCACAGCACTGCTGTTGAAGGGGAGAGAGGGAGAGACCTGTGGCCTTTCATGAAGTTTGACAGAAGAGCCTGTGACATGTGGTTATTCCCTGGGGGTGTGTGATGCTGATGTTGCCATCAGAGCTCCTGTGCTCATCCTGACATGATTTTAATATTAATTTGTCTGGCTGGAAAGTCTCAGGGCTGTTCACCCTGCAGGACCACTGATGATGAACCAGGCACTTTGTTTTCTGCCCTCATCTCGTTGTTTGAGATCCTGTGGTTTGAATCTGAGTGGTCTCTCTCGTGTCGGGTAGGAGGAAATAAATCCCAATTACACTCTGCAGGCCCTTGCTGTGCCAGCAGAGCTTTAAAATCCTCATGGTGCGCAGAAATCATGGACATAACCCTCTTTTGCTCTATGCCTGAGTCTACAGACCATATTTAATAGTGCTCCTTCTTGTTTTCACCCTCTGAGTCCTCCGTGATTTATCTGAGATGAGTGGAAATATCTGGGGGAAAACTGCTGGGAGCAGGACCAGTCAAACCCGTTGGGTTTTATTGGCTTTATTCTTTCAGAAAAGTCACCCACTGGCAAGAAGTCAGGGAGGATTTAGGAGCCTCTCTCCTGCATTTCAGCAGGACGTGGCTTCAGGGTGGTTTTACACACACAGGGCTGGGGTGAAGGGGGCTCAGGGCACCCCAGAAATGTCCCACTCATGGTCAAAATCCACATCCCTGTTGTGGCTGAGTTTGCCTTTCCCAGCTTGTTTTTCCCTCTGTGGAGCTGCAGGAGTGGCTCCAGCTCCCAGCTTTGCCTGGAGAGTGTTTCCTGACATCCACTATCCAGCCCAGACTGTGCTCTCAGGAGTCAAACGTTCCTGTGTCTCAGGCCATGCTCCTCATCCCCCTCTCTCACCATCAGCTCAGGGCTCTCCCTGCTCTCCTTGCCCAGAGCTCAGGGGTGAGAGGAGACCCCAGAGATGCACCAGAGCTCTGTGAGGGACACGTGCTCCTGGTAAAAACGCATGGAGGACTCCACCAAACCTCACATTTCTCCTCTCAGCTCACACCAAGACCCTGCCTGGGGGTCCTTGCAGGGAGATATAAAAACCTGCCCCGTGTCAGTGAGTTCCCACCGCTCTCCCAGCACAGCAGTGACTGTCCCACACCAGCCATGCCTTGGGGAACTCTGGGGGTTGTTGTGTGCTCTGATTTCTCTTGATTTCCCCCCCCCAGGACGAGGAGGAGATGGAGGAAGCCACCAACCAGAAGCTGGCCCTGCAGAAGGCCAAGGAAGTGGCCGAAGTGAGCCCCATGTCTGCAGCCAACATTTCCATAGCAGCGTAAGCATTCCTTGCTTATTTGGGAACTCCAACCACCTGGGTTCTGTTTTTCAGTGTCACTGTGTGTCTGTTCCACTGGAGCATCCCATGGTACTCTGTGAGCCCTTCTAGACCATCTCTGTTCCTGGCAGGGCTTTAGGTTGGCTGAATATTCAGTGCTGATCACTTAACCATGAATTTAATTAAGGATTTCTTTCATTTGGTGGGGGTTTTTTTTGTAATGCCTCATCTTTTGCCTTGCTCTAAATAACTGTATTTTAGAAGGATCTCTTCTTTTTTTTTTTTTAAGCTGCCCTAGGATAGATTTCACCAGGTGAAGTGTTAACGTGTCACTTTGGGTTTTTAATGACCAGAGAAATGTGAGCACGGAACGTATTAACTATTCTTTCATAATCTCTGAGAATTTAAATGTAAAGGCCTCCTCTTCAATATCAGCCTGAAAAATATGCTTGAAAGCTCTTCCTTTGCTGTTTGAAAGAGTTCTGAGGTGAATAAAACCATGTATGTGAATAGTCACTGGTTTGTAGACAGAAACAGCAATTTGCATTTTATGGATGAGAACATCTGCACGAGTTCTGTGACACCAGAATCCCTGGAAAACATTGCTTTGGGCACCACCTTTCCATAGATCCTGATCTAACTGAAGTGAAGATATGATCTGTAGGTGGAAATACTTGTCCAGGTGTTGGTGAGGTCAGTTCTGCCTGTGCTTGGGATGTGCCCCTGGAAGTGTCCAAGGCCAGGTTGGACGGGGCTTGGAGCAACCTGGGCTAGTGGAAGGTGTCCCTGCCCATGGCAAGGGGGGGAACTGGATGAGCTTTAAGTTCCCTTCCAACCCAAACCATCCTGGGATTCTGTTCTGTGATACCTCGCAAGGATTTACTGAAAAAATATGTTCTTCTTAAAAGTTCATTGAACTCTTCTGGAATTTTAACATCAGGGCAACCAGCACCAAGATATTTGACTTTTACATTTTTAATGAGAGCTGCTGATGTTTTCCAGACCCTTTTTATAGGGGAGACCTCCAAGGGCTGGGGAAGCTCAGGAGTTAAAATAGAAATCTCCTGTTCAATTTTATTGCCAAATCTCTGGAATGCAGCCGGATGTCTCCTTGTTCTTGCAGTGCAAAGCTCTTGAGACCCTCGTTATTGGGAGTTTAATCCACTTCATCAAAGACAATGGGCCAAATGGAGCCAGTCTGTGAAGGGAAAGAAGATTATTAATTTGGCTATTTTATTCTTCTTGCCATTTGAGTTTGCCATTTTTGCTTTAATCAGCTCCTCTTTATGCTGTGTCTGTTTGTTGGTTTTAAATATAACCTTTTCCTTACAATGCTTTCCTGTCCAGTCTTGAAGAGAAGCCAAATGAGGACAGTTGCTCTTGTTCTTTGATTAATTTCTTGGTCCTGTTATTTTAAAATGCGAGATGATGATGAATATTTTCTTCTTCTTTAATCAAAAGCATAGTGAATGTGAAGATTTCTTAGAAATCAGCAGAAAAAAACAACCTACTTTAATGGAGTGAAGGTCTCACACCACACTTTTAAGTTGCTTAGAATCACTTTATTCCGTGATTTTTTCACCTGGTTTTCAGTAGCACAGGGCCAGTTTTGTGACAGCAATTCAAAGTGAATGCAAAAATATGGATTTCTGCTTATTTTGCCTCAAGTTGAATCTGCCCAGACCCCAAATTTGTGGGAGCATTCAGTGAGCACAGTTGAAAGTCAATCATTCCCACACCTCCTGACCCCCCTCCTGGGATTTCCTCTTGGCTCTGCTGTAGGACCAGTGAGATGCTCCCAGGGCCTCTCTCAAATCTCACAGGGCTTTAATTTGGACAAAAAAATTGCATTAAGGTCAATAGGGTGATGCCCAAATGGATGATGATGCAGAGGAAAAGGCAAGGGAGAAGTTTTGTGCAACACAAAGAAGAGCATGGATGGACTGCTGGCTCTTGATCCATGAGATATCTAATGAATCCACGTCAAAGCAATTTGTTTTATACATAAATTCATCCACTGTGGACTCCAAAGGGGCTCAGCAGTGGCAGCTTTCAGGTTTGAAGCACCTTTCCCTTGGATATCTGTGTCCAGTGGTGACACAAATTAGCCCATCACTTCACTTTTTATGCTCTTAAACTGCTCAGTGATCCTGAAGATGGAGCAGATCCCGTGTCCATGGCAAGTCTTGTGGGATCAGATCCAGAGCTGGACATGCCAGGAGTGAAAAAGCGCTTGAAAATGGGATTTTTGGTGTATGGAAATATCACCACAAAAGCAGAGCTTGGGCACAAAGAAGTGAGAAATAAACACCTGTAGAACTGAGTGGTGAGCAAGGACTGGGATTGAGCTCCCAAAGGCCTCCTCCCAAGGTGGCTCCACCCAATCAGTCTGTATTTTTATTTTCTCCTGAGGAATCATTTTTTAGTTCTACAATTTAATTTTCTTTTCAGATGAAAACAAATTCATGTGAAAATTCATTTCCATGTCAGGCATCTATAGCATGGATGGATGTTCTGAAAAGAAAGCAACATTTTCTCTACCTGCATGAGTCAATCTGGTGTTTGTTAGGGCACCACGACTTGCATTCCCTCAGTCACGATGTTCATGTCCCTGGTGTGCTCGTCCACCTCCCACAGAGGTGACAAAGCTGTCCCTGGGTTGAGCCTGAGGAAGAGTCCTCCTGGCTGTTGTGCTGTTTCCCTGCTGAGGTGCTGTGCTGGCTCTTTGATTCCTTTCCCTTGTCAGTCCTGCATCAAGGACTGAGGGTGTGGATCTTCCAGGCCTTTCCATGCTCCGTGGTGACCCTCAGTGCTGTCATTACACCCAGCTCATGGGTTTGATCCCAGTTTAAGAGCTGGACCTGCTGATCCCTGTGGGACTCAGAATATCCTGTGATTCTCTATCTGCTCTTCCCCCTCCGTTTTTCCCGTGCCTGCAGTTTCCCTGCACCAATTACACAGAATCTCGGAATCAGCCGGGTTGGAAAAGACCTCTGAGATCATCAAGTCCAACCTGTGACCCAACCCCACCTTGTCACCCAGACCATGGCACTGATGCCACATCCAGGCTCTGCTTCAACACCTCCAGGGACGGGGACTCCACCCCCTCCCTGGGCAGCCCATTCCAAGGGCTGATCCCTCTCTCTGCAAACAACTTCTTCCCAATGGCCAACCTAAACCTCCCCTGGGGCAGCTCCAGGCTGTGCCCTCTTCTCTGCTCTGCCATTCCAGCCTCCTTTCATAACTGAGCTCCAAAAAAATCTTCACTCTCTTGCGTTGGCTGCAAAACATCATTTCCTAAGCATGGAAACCTGGTTGCTTATTTAGTGTGTCAGCTTGGAGGGTCTGAAGAGGCACCTTCACCTTCACACGTGGAATGTGCTGCTGTGTGAGCCACGGATTGCTTTGGGACTGATGGATGTCCTGGGGATCTCTTTTAATAACCTGCTCATCACTGCAGTGGTGTCGAGGCATCATCTGTCTCACAGTGCTCCCTTACAACATCCTGCACTTGTTTGTAGCTCCTTCATTCCAGGATTTCTGTGGTTTGCCTCCTGCTCCACCACAGGGTGACAGTTTTGCCTGACCACAGTTTGTCTCTTCACCCGGTGAACTCTACCCTGAAGGGCCCTTTTGATTTTGTGGCTTTCCAGGTTTTTAAAAGCTTAAGGTGGTACACATTGCTTTTGTCATTGTTGCAATGTTTGCTTGAAAATATGTGTTTAATTTGAGCCCATTGTTCCATTCTTATTTTTGTGATTTTTTTTTTGTGTGTGTTTGTTTTCTGTTTAGCATTTTCCTTGCTTTGTTGTTTCTGGAGGTGAGTTTTTGGGGTCATTCAGTTTGCCCAGCGTTGTGTTGAAGACCCTCTGTGTCCTACAACATTGAGACCACTCAGCCTCTGGAACTGAGCCACTGTACAGACCAAGGGGTCTTTGGAGCAAACCATTGGTGCAGCTCCTGGGTGGCCAGAATGGAGGAGGGGGGGAAAAAGGGATGATTAGAAGGCAAAGAACTTTGTGGTGCCACTGGAAAGTGGAAGGAAGAGCCATCAGGCTCGCAAAGACCCCAATGCAAACATATCATTTATTCCCTATTTTTGCTCAACCTGATGCCTTAATTCCCTGTGTTTGGGTTCCCCCTCCACCTTTTCTATGCCAGCCAGAGATGCACCAATGGCACGTACAAAAGGGGCTGAGATGAGCACACCTGGCCCAGCCAGACCAGCCAGAGGGACACGAGCTGTGGTTTCCCTGCCACCCAGAGCCTATGGATTTTCCAGTGGCCTCTCCTCACCTTTTCTTGGGAAAAGTCTTAAAATAGCAAGCTTTTTAGCAATCCTAAATTTGTAGGAGCCTGTAGTGTGAAGTCACACTGAGTGAAACCTTTTGCAATCTGTGACTTTGTTTTTATTTTTTAATTCCACATGGTAAGAGATTACAATTGTAGCCAGACCCAAGGAAATAATTCAACCACAGGTATGGGGGGGTGAGTTTTGGATGGGAGGAGAACTTCTCAGATGTGGTGGAGGAAATGTGGTGGACAGTGAGAGAGACCTCATGGATGTGGGCACCAAACCCAAACGCTGTGGAATTACCCAGTCCCATTTTTCCGAGTTACCTGCGCTTCCCAGGACAACCTTCCAGCCTCCAAAGAGCTCTTCATCTCCAGGCTCTGACTGGTTTCTGCTGGTCCTTCCCAGGGCTGTTCAGAGCAGTTGACACTTTAATTGCAGCCCCACAGCAAGTTAGAAAAGCCAGGAGAGAAGCTCCAAGAGCAAAGAGAGGTGGCCCAACCCTTCCCTGTGACTTCTCAGAGCTGCCTGTCCCTTTTGTACCGGTCTGGGGGCGGAGGGGAGGGAGTGGGAATTGCTCTGTTCCTCCAGGACCTTTTCCATCTCAGAGGCTCCATATTTTCCCCCCTGTCTTGGGAACACTGTGGTCTGTTCCCACACCTCTGTTGGGCTGTGGGTGCCCAACAAGGACCCAGCAAGGAGCGTGTGTGAACACCCAGCCCGTGACCCTGCTGTGCTGGGGGATGTGTAGACTAGAAGGGGTGTTCTTTATCTCTTGCTGGCTCGTGGTTTCTTCCCTTCTCTTTTCCCCCTTGGAGTGTGTTGGTGTGTGGGGTCCTGTGATTCCTCCTGTTAGATTTACCTTTTTGTCCTTGCTGGTGGTGTGCCAGTGACTCAGCTCCACCCAGAGACACCCTCTGTGCCCTGTCCCTCGGGGATGGTAAGTAGCATCGAGTGGAACTCAAGTGCTTTGCTTTGGAGAAGGAGGTGACTTTGCTTTGTGGTTTCACACCCTGGATTTCCAGCACGAATTCACTCGAATTTCTGGTTACAAAAAAGCAGCAGTGGCAGCAGAGGAGTGAACCTGGAGAGCTCCAGGGCTTGTGTAACAGGGGCTGGCAGGGTGACAAGGAGACTTGGCAGGAGTAGAGCGTGGCCTCCACCCTGCACTGCCCCAACCAAGGCTGGGATAAACCCCCCAGGTCACCCCAGCCTCCTGCTGAGGGATGTGGAGATCCACTCTCAGCAATTCAACCCAAAATTGCCACAGGTGTTGCACGAGACTCGGTGCTGACTTCAGGCAAATTAGGGCAGCCCAGCACATTCTCCTCCATCCCGAGTTTTTCCACCTGTTTTGCCAGAGAAATTTCTTAGTTATGCTCGAGGCCATTTGTGCTTGTTCTCTGCAGGGTTTCCCTGACATCCTGGGGGTTCAGCCTCCGGCCAAGGAGTAAAAAGATCCCCAGCTTGAGCAACCTGGAAACAATCATTTTCTTGGCCAGCAAGCAGGGCATGCCAACCCCACTTTGACTCCTATTTCATTTGGCACAATAAAAATGCAGAAATACTGAAGCTTAGGTAGCATATTTTACCTGTTTCAGCAGATTATTTGCTTCAAGCAAAACTTTTATGATGCCTTTCATAATTTCTCTTATATTCATGCCAGGTTTCTGAACTTCTGGATTTTGTGTTTTTTATATATATAACCTGGGCCAACATTTCTGTTTAGAATAATCCATTAATTGTAATAAATGTATATTAAAAACTCTGCTTATATGATATCCAAAGGACATTAGATTTTAATTGGCCTTCTGGTTTGCTGGTATTGATTTTTAACAGATTAAAACTCTCATGGAAGCAGGAGAAAAAATGCTGCAGCTGGAAAGGCAAACCCAGGAGGTGAAGGGATTTAATTTTCAGTCTTGGGGACAGTTCTTTGAACGATGTAGATTGATAAAAATCATCTTTTATAGCTACGAAAAAATTAATGCCTCATTCAAGATCTGTCCTGCTTTTCTGTAGATTCCCTGCCAGAGGCAGAATAAACTCTTTTTCTGTGTAATTCAGTGATTTCCATGTTTAGATCCCCCCACATTTATGCTGTTAAGATAAACACTGGATGGAGGAGAATCCACAAAATTACTTGTGAACTGAAAGAAGCTCCTTTCCATTCTGGGCCTGCCCTGATGAAGCTGCAGCAGAGCTGAGGTTTTTAGACACAGTGAGCCATATTTGGCCAGTCTGAGCTCAGGCACATCCCTGTCCCCGTCACAGGAGAGAGGTAGGTGCCTCTGAAGAGCAAATCTGAGGCAGGGACTGAGGAGAAGCTTCCTGCTGGAGCTCGGGTGGATTTTGGAGCTGGGATGTGGCCCCGGGTGCTCCCCCCAGCCCACGTTCTCCGTGTTAAGCTTCCTCCTGGTGCCCCAGAGCCGGAGCAGGAATTAGCATCCTACTCCCACTTGGAAAGAGCTCTTTGCAGCACAGCTGTCAAAGCAATCCCCACCTGGTCCTACAAAGGTCCTGGAGCTGATTCCACGGAGGACTCCCACGCTGTGAGTATGGCACACGGAGGCCCGACGGCCCGACACCATCCTGTGGCTTTCGGTTCACCTTTTAATTTCTTTACCCCTCCCTTTGGTTCCGTTTTTTGGTTCTTTGGTTGTCTCCCCTCGCCCAGAGGGTGGTGTGTCTGTGGCTTCCACACTTTGCCTGGTCTCCTCCCGAGGTGCACGTCTGCATCCCACAGGACACGGCCTGTACGAGCCTCCTCCCCGATGTCTGTTATGGTTTCTCTGCTCTTCTTCTTCTTCTTCTTCTTTTTTTGTTGGGTTTGGTTTGTTTTTTTTTCTCCCCCCTTTTTTCTTTTCTCACTTTTTGTTTTCTTTGTTTGTTTTGTTTTTGCATGTGCAGTTTTGTAAAGCAAACTCGAGGTACTGTATCTCGCAGCTCGTCAGTCTCCAGCGTAAATTCACCGTGAGTTGCTCTCTGTTACAATATTCAGTAAATGGATTATTTATCATTTCTACCTCCGTATTTATAAACCACCCTCTCTCCCTTTCTCCTGGTGCCTTCGGTCCCTCCTTGTTTTTTTCCAAGAATCATTCCCATCATTGTGGAAAACCTCCAGACCAACATCCAGTGGAAGGACTGGAACATTGTCATATGATGCTTGTGATTTGATCGTGAGCAACTCTGTGGTGTTTCATCCATTGACTGTGACTCTTCCTCCCCTTCTTTCCTTCATTTTTCTCTCATCTCCTTAACTATTTCCATCATTCCTTCCTTAACTCTTTCCCCCTCTTTGCCCATCTGCCCTCGTTTGATGGTTTGTCTCGTTCTCACTTGTACTTCTGTTCTCTGTGTTTATTGTGCACTGGGCTGATGGCTTTGATGTTCCACCAGTGTTTGCACCTCAGGTTCAATAGGAGAACCAAAATGCACTCTTCGAGTCCAAGCTGGAGGAGGACTTCCAAAGAAACTCCTGGAAATGGGGTCCAAGTGAAACTAAATTGGAAAACTCTGTATAGACATCCTTGGGAAACTGGTTGTGAACTCTGACTTCTCAAGCTGGAAATTAAAGCTACAGATTATATAAAAATGAGGCACTTGGCAACTCCCATGGACCTGAGGTCGAGCAAACACAGTGGAAACCTTCCCTTCACTCCCTGTGCTTCCTAACAAACAAATCTTGCTGGCTGTGCTGTCAATCAGGGGGCGCTTTGACGCCGCTGCAGGTTTGTAGAAAATATCATTATTCTCGTCTGACTAATACCACAAAACTCCTCGAGAGCTTCTCATCGACCCGTGGGAGTGTCTCTGCTTTGGGTTATCTCTTACCATGTGATGTTGTCTTTCTTCTTTAATGCTTTTGGAGAGACAAGTAAGTGCAATTCCAACACGTGTGGGGTTTGTACCCCAGCGGGGACCAAGGTACGGTGAAGCAAAGGAGCTTTTCCACCAGCTTCCTGCCATCTTCCTTTTTTCCTGGCTGTCTTGGGGGTGTTTGTATTAAACATACGTGTGAGTTTGGCTTCTGTGTGACCAAGACTGAGGTTTTGTGACTAACAAAAGTAGGTTTGATACGTCTGTGCTGAGGTTTGATGTCTCACAGGGCTGGGACGGTGAAAAATGAGGGGATTAAACCAGACCAAGGCAGGTTTGGACTCATTTCTTCCAATGCATTTCCTGGCTGCTGGGAGTCTGGACAGGCAGGAAGGTGCAGAGAGAGGTGTCCTTCCCTTTGGAAAGGGGAAGGAAATTTCCCCTTGTCTCCCACCCTGGCAGGAGGAGGGGGAATGTTTAAAGGTGGTGATGGAGGGGAGGTGCTGCCGACCCGCCCTCTCCCCAACACTTGGATTTGCTCCACTAGAAGTTGCACCAAACCGGTCTGAGTCAATATTTTCCCAATTAAGAATAAAGAATAAAGACTTTGGCCCCTTTTCCAAAGTTCCAGAGGCAGAGCTGCCTTTTATAAAGTGACGAAATCAAACTGCAGGTACTAAAACCCCCTTGGAAGGAGGATTTGCCCCCATTCCGAGGCATTGAGGTCTGTTCCCAGCTTCCCACCAGCCACAGAGACGGGATAATAGAGGCTGCTTTTGCTGATATGACTCACATCTGTTCTCTGAACAGAATCAATTTGTACTGCAAAGAGCTGTCACTGAGGTTTCTCATCCTCTTTCCCATCTCTCTGCACCGTCTGGGCCGTAATTTGTAATTTCCTATGCAAACCAGGGCTGCTTTTGATGGATGAGCTGAGCGGGTGTTTTTTTTTCTAAATGAGAAATAAAGAGCATTTCCCCAGCAAACCCCCTCGTTTGGATGAAATAAATACCTGAACCTCACCAGAGTGTGCAATGTATGAAGTCCCAGAGATCACAGGGCATCAGCAGAGCCCTGTGTGGAGGCATCTGAAGGTTTATTTACTCACATGGTTAGAAATATGGGGGGTTGATTTTAAATCCAAATAGATAAACTGGAGCAACCCCTCCCAGAGCCAGGCAGGTGCTGTGGATTCCCATTCCTTGGGTGAATGTTGGGACAGGTTCAGGATGCTTTTATATCCCTCTGATTCTACCCACTGCGAGTGCTTTGCTGTAATTACACTGAACAGATATAAATGCTCTCATTTCTGGGCACAGATGGAAGTTGGACAGTAATCTACTAATCAAAAAGAGCTTTTAAAACTTGCAAAAAATTCCCTGTTCCTTTGCTTAAACAGTATAAAATACCTTATGCCTTTAATATCCCTAAGAACCAGGATTTGCAAAGCCACGCTCATCTGTTCTGAGAGAACAAAGCTTATTCCAAAACCTTTTGAGCTGGGTTTTCCCCATGTTCTTTCTTTGATTATTTAAAAAAAAATAATTCTAAATTGGTGAGAAATTAGAGACAAAATCCCTGAGCTAGTTTCTTAAAAAACCAATAAATTAAAACCAAGGTGAGTCATTTTCTTGTGCTAATTCCAGTCTTTCGTGCTGCAACAAATTCGTGATACAGGCAAGGCAAGAAGTACAAAATACATTTTTCATTCACTGAGAGGAGGTCATTAAATAGAGATATGCTCTATTTCTTTAAGTAGATCAGCATTTATCTAAAATACATACTGGTAGCTAATTTAAATGTACATAGGCAATGACACACAGCCAAGGGAGTAATTGAGTTGGATTCTTCCAGTAGTGTGGAATTTAGGAGTTGTGGGGTGTTGAATTTTCATGTGAATCCTTACATTGCAATGGGTGATGAAATCCCAACTGGTGCATTCACTCACCTGAGGTTTTCTTTGTGTTGCTGTTGTTGATTGTTCATTTCTAACAAGATCTTGAAGTGTCAGACAGGACAAATTCCATGTTCTTAAGGCAATTTCTAGGATGGTAAATAAAGGGAAAGCAGTGTTTCACAAGGTGGGGAATATTTTTTTCCAAAAGTGCTGAACCTGCCGATTTTTTTTCCAGAATAAAACTTAATTTCCTTTCCCACCCCAGTTCCTTCTTTCCCACCCCAACCACCACATCACATCCCTGCTGCACCATCCTGAGTCTGGACAGGCTGATCTCACACAGAGGGAAATGAAAACCCTTAAATATCCTCTCCCAGGACGAATTTGTCATTTCCCAGCCAAGAACTCAAATTATTCTTGATCTTTATCTCTTGCTTTTTTTATATTCACTGTCTGGGCTTTATTTCCATCCTCTTAGTGCCAAAAAAACGGGGCTGTGACTCCATTCCCTGGCGTGTTTTGTCTTGGTTTTTATCAAAAGCCTGGGGTTTATGGTGGGATATTGAAGTGTCATGGCCAGAATGGAGAGTGGGGCTTCAACACTTGAGAGGAAAGCAATAATTTAAAGTAAATATAATTTTCCTGGGGTTTAGGAGAACTTAATGGCTCCACATGTTTAACCTCAGTGTGTTTTTTGTTAAATCAAGCCATAGCAATGTGGCTTTTAACTCTGATTTTGCTTTTAACTCTCTCACCCCGTTATTTATTACCGAGCCTGAAATTATGTGATCACAAATCATAACTGAAATACCAGACAAACCTCGAGGGCTGAAGAGGGATCTTGTGTCTGAGGACACCAACATAACTGGAGACAGAAGAAATGTTTTCTGGCATTTTCTTTGGATCCGAGTCAGATTTATATGAGATGTACTTTTACTGAAAACAATTAGGAAATTCTTATTATTAGAGCAATGGGGAGCAGTGTGGAGGGTGGTGAGTTGTGGCTGAGTGAAATCATTCTGCTGTGAAAAACTCAAGCAGGAAGCAGTGAAATTTTGGCTCCTTTGACACCAGGAAGCTTCAGCTTGGCTGAGCTTTGCATCCCTTCAGAGCTGCTCAAAAACCAGGGCTCGGCTGTGGCCAAACCCCAAAGCAGCAGCAGCATCGTGTCATTATTTTAATACCTGTAGGAAATTGGGGCCACAGACACCTCAGGGGAGTGGCAGCAAAGTGTTGGATCTCTCCTGGATTTTGGTTTGATACGTTGGAAACTGCTCAGGGCAGATCCCACCTGGAGTTCTGTGTCCAGCTCTGGGGCCTCCAATGTCAGAAGGACGTGGAGCTGCTGGAGAGAGTCCAGAGAGGCACCAAGATGATCAGAGGGCTGGAGCCCCTCTGGAGCCAGGCTGGGAGAGCTGGGGGGGGTTCACCTGGAGAAGAGAAGGCTCCAGGGAGAGCTTAGAGCCCCTTCCAGGGCCTAAAGGGGCTCCAGGAGAGCTGGAGAGAGACTGGGGACAAGGGATGGAGGGACAGGACACAGGGAATGGCTTCCCACTGCCAGAGGGCAGGGTAAGATGGGATATTGGGAAGGAATTCTTCCCTGTGAGGGTGGTGAGGCCCTGGCACAGGTTGCCCAGAGAAGCTGTGGCTGCTCCATCCCTGGAAGTGTCCAAGACCAGGTTGGAGGGGGCTTGGAGCAACCTGGGCTAGTGAAAGCTGTCCCTGCCCATGGCAGAGGGTGGAACTGGATGATTTTAAGGTCCCTTCCAACCCAACCCAGTCTGTGATTTTATGAACTGGTTCTACATTGGCCATATGAGCTCAGCTGCTCCCCAAAGCCCCCCAGAGATGCTCAGCATTATCCCCCTTGGACATCTCAGCTTCCTCCTCCTGCTGAGACCAATTCCCTGTGGCTCAGCACACCCTGTATCTGCAGCTCCCCAAATTGTCTAAAAGAACAGGAAAAGTGAGTAGAAATAACAGAATAATGATAATGTTGGGGGGGGGAAATTCAAAATGTGTCATTTAGTGAACTTTGTTGATCAAAAAATTGGCATCTGTGACAGCCTGAAAGGCATCTCAAATTCCAGTAGTGAGTTTCTGAAGGTAAGGGTGTGATTTACAGGCAGTCTGGGCTTTGACCACATTAATAATTCAGAGTTTTTAGCTAATATGGGGAGAAATATTATGGAAGAAAATGTTTTCTTTCTGAGAAAATGCCATATCAAAAATTCTCTCATATAAACCCAAAATTAAATTCAAGAATAAAAATTGGAAGGGGCTGGGCAGCATTTTCTGCAGGACCAAGGTGTGTGTGAGGCAGCAGCTCAGTGGGAGAGCTCAGAGCATCTCCTGGGGGAGCTCAGGGGGAAGAAAAGGTGCAGGAGCATCCAAGCAGCAACTCCCGGGGTCACTGGCAAAGCAAATTTAACCACTAGTGGTGAGTTCACCTGAAAGAAAATCGGTTTATCAAATCCAAGAGAGACAGAACACTCTGCTTTGCGCTTCCTGCCCCAGACTGGAAGGTTTCCTTGTGTTTTCCAAGTGGAAAATGGAAATGTGGAGAGTTTATGAACTCCAAGTTTATGAACAGAAAATAAGATTTTAGTGGGAAGGTTTTGTCACGTGGTTTTTTTGTTGGAGCTGGATTTTAACAAGAAATTCGCTTTCATGTGTACTCAGAACACACTCTCTCGTACCCACAGTCTAATGTGAGGTATTTTTAACATCAAATTATTATGTTCCTCATAGTCAGCTTTCATTCATTATTTACTAAAGCAAAATTTTAAGGATTGCCATGAACTGAAGCAGTGGTTGGAAAGGTTATGGTAACAAAATCTTTAATCATTCAGGAGTACCCTAAGATTAGAATATGACTAAAAATAGGCTTTCCTTTCCTGAACCATCCACACAGTGACTGGCTGCCTTTTTTTCCTTATACCAACATGAGTCACTGATTCATTAATATGAATTTTATTTGATTCTACATGAATTGTGTGGTTTTTCTTTCCAGCCACGGGCAGGAGTTGTTTGTTGGCTTCTTAATCTCAGCAAAACCAGTGGAGCTGGAATTAGCAGCATTATCTACTACAACAGTTCAAGCCTAGAGGATCTGAAAACTGAATATAATGCCAGTACCCTTAAAAGAATTAGGAATATTCTATAGACAGAAAATATGGATGGGAAGGAATTGTAAAGCAAGAGAATTAACAGCAATGTTTGCACTATATCTGCAAGTCAGAAGTGATTTACAGGGCAATGCTTTTAATGGATCAGAAGGATTTTAAGAAGAAAACAGGGTTTCACATAAGGAGTTGGCTCCATAAATAGTTTTCTTTTTCTTGTGGAATAAATATTTGTTATCGCAAAGGCTCATTTTTTTACCAGTTTGGACAAGTCATGCCTCGTTTGTGCTGTAGATGGGTTGTGTCTGTCCCTACTCATGCAGAATTAAGTGATGGGAGGAGCAGAGGAAATAATTATTGCCCTGTTTTCTGTTTTTCCATCCCTTATTTTGTTGTATCTGCCCCGTATCCTCACAAAGCAGCACGGAACGAAACGACCGTGCTTAGTTTTAAAGGTGACATTCCTGCTGCGCCATAAATCAGCCCCGGAGCTCCGTGTGGCCGAGCGGAGCAGAGCACCGGGAGAGGGGGAGCTGCCGCCCGGGCTCGGTTGCTGTGGGAACTCGGAGAGAACCGAGTCCCGCAACCGCAGCCGGACGGGCACACGGACACTTTCCCTCCAGTTGCTGCTGTTTTGGCTCCGAGAGCCCCAAAGGCTGTCCCCAGAGGGACCTGCCTGCTCAGATGCTTAGCTCCCCTTCCCTCCAGCAGGTCTGATGTGCCCTGGCACGGATGTTCCTCCCCAGGTTGGACACGATAAGGAGCTCGCTGGCAGCTCCGCTTTGTCCTGATTGGATTTTTGCCGTGCTTCATATATTTCCTATTTTTTTTTATTTTGCTTTTTTAGGGTTTTTTTAAGTGTCTTTCCCTGTAGGACGAGGAAAGGATGCAGCCATTGCTTCTGAACCTCCTGCTCTTCACTTGTTAGCAGCCAAAGCCAGCGGGTGGTGAGGTGCTGGAGCCTTTCTGGCAATCGCCTCCGCTCCTCGTGTCAACGTTAAGGATGCAGCTCATTTCTGGATGCTGAGAAATTCCAGCCTGTAATGACAGTGGCTGTTTTCAGGAAGGGATTTTAGCCAAATAGGCTTTGTTAATATGTGCTTTCTGCAGGTTCTGTCAGCCAGGAGTGATGTACAGTGGAAGCTTTAGCACCTCAGAGGTAATTTCGAGGCTGATTTATGTTCTGGGTGTAGCTGAAACACAACTAAAAAACCCCTCCTGGAGTGACACATCTTGTATCAGAGCTGGCAGGGTCTGAGCATCTCCTCTGCCTGGCATCTTCAATCTTACTCCTTCCACCCAGTCTGACTTAGGAGATTTTCTTTATAACTTGGTTGGATGGGCACTGATGGACAGGCTGCATCCTTGAGAGCTGCCTGATGATTTCCTGTGGGTTTTACTTTGGGGAGTCACTGCAGGGAGACTGAGGGCTTTGTGTCCCACCCCTGTGTGGTCCCATGGGAATGGAGCACAGGATGGAACAGGAGGACTGGGTGGTTGCAGATAAACTGAAGGCTCCACTCAGCATAAGGGCACTTTCCAAGGATGAAGGCAGTGCCAGTGGAGGTATCACCATAACAGAGACAGAGAGGACAGGTGTCTCCAGGGATAAAGGTGTTCCCATCTCATCTCCATCTTGGCCTACAGAGATGGTGAAGGGTCTGGAGGGGCCATAAGAGGAGTAGAAGAGGTGACTTGGAGGTTCAGCCGGAGAAGAGACAGGTCAGACCTCACCGGGGTCTGCAGCTTCCTCCCGAGGGGCACCTCCAACTTTGCTCCCTGTGAGCAGGGACAGCACCCAGGGAACGGCTGGAGCTGTGCCAGGGCAGGGTCAGGTTGGATCTCAGGGAAAGGTTCTTCCCCCAGAGGGTGGTTGGGCACTGCCCAGGCTCCCCAGGGCAGTGGGCACAGCCCCAAGGCTGCCAGAGCTCCAGGAGGGTTTGGATGATCCTCTTAGGGCCAGGGTGGGATTGTTGGGGTGTCTGTGCAGGGCCAGGGTTGGACTTCAATGACTTCCCCTCGCTCCTGCTGCCAATCTAACCGCTCTTGCTCATCACTAATTTGCTCATCCGGATGTTTCCAGGTGGGGAAAAGGTGCTGTTAACTGTGGGAAGCTTTGTGGGCTGTTTCAAAGCTCTGGCTGGGGTGTGTGATTTGTGTGCTGACACTTTAACCCTTCAGACTCTACCTGATGCTTCCACGTTTTAGAAATCAGGAGAACTCCTTTCCAGAGGGCTGGTCCCAGGGTGCCTTACGCGTGTGTGGGCAAACTAACCCCGGCGATCCCGCTGGCTTTCCCTGCTCGTGTTCTCCGCCAGCCATTCTCTCTCCATTCCTACAATTCCTTTGGTTCGACCCTCTAATTCCCCATCTCAGCTGAAAATTCCCCTTTTTTTATTTTTTTATTTATTTTTTGGGTTGTTATTCAGGGAATTGGCGTAAATTCAGACGTTCACTTTTCACCTTTCCTCCCTTCCCCTCAGCAAGCAGCAGAACTCCTCCAAATCCAAGTCGGTCTGGGAGCAGAGGACCAGCCAGATCCGGATGCACAACTTCCGAGCCAGCTGCGAGGCCCTGTACAACGAGCTGGACCCCGAGGAGCGGGTCCGTTACGCCACCACCCTGCACATCAGGCCGGACATGAAGACCCACCTGGACCGGCCGCTGGTGGTGGAGCCCCGGAGCGAAGGCAGGAACAACATCAACAAGCTGAGCCCCGGGGACGTGCAGGAGGTGCAGGAGCACCCCAAGGGCAGCTCTGCTGACGGGGCAGAAGCTCCACGGAAGCACCACCGGCACCGGGATAAGGAGAAACAGGCGGAGCAGGAGAAGGGCGACGCGCCCAAGGAGGAGAGCGCGGAGACCGCGGCCGCCAACAAGGAGGAGCGGCACCGGCAGCACCGGAGCCGCAGCAAGGAGGTGGAAGGGGGGAGCAAGGAAGGGAAGAGCGAGCGGAACAGGGGGCAGGAAGGGGGGAAGAGGCACCACCGGCGGGGCTCGGTGGAGGAGTCGGGGGAGAAGGAGCACCGCAGGCACCGCACACACCGACACTCCACCGAGCGCCAGGGCAAGGACGGCAACGGCACCGCCAACGGCGCCCGCGGCGAGCGGCGCTCCCGGCACCGCGGAGGGTCCCGCTCCGGCAACAGGGATGGGGAGCCCAAGGGGGAGAACGGGGAGGAGCCCCACAGGCGGCACAGGCTCAGGAACAGGGCCCTGTCCACGTACGAGTCGGTGGAGAAGGAGAACGGGGAGAAGGAGGCGGAGGCTGGAGAGAAGGAGCACCGGAACCACCAGCCCAAGTGAGTGGATTTTGTTTGGATACACACCTGGGGAACTGCTCTGATCCCTCCTGGAGCCCTGTGTCCAGCTCTGGGGCCTCCAACATAGGAAGGGCATGGACCTGCTGGAGCGAGTCCAGAGGAGGCCACAAAGATGCTCTGAGGGCTGGAGCCCCTCTGCTCTGGAGCCAGGCTGGGAGAGCTGGGGGGGCTCACCTGGAGAAGAGAAGGCTCCAGGGAGACCTGAGAGCCCCTTCCAGGCTTAAAGGGGCTCCAGGAGATCTGGAGGGGGACTTGGGACAAGGGCCTGGAGTGACAGGACAAGGGGGAATGGCTTCCCACTGCCAGAGGGCAGGGATGGATGGGATGTTGGGAAGGTATTTTTTCACAGTGAGGGTGGGGAGGCCCTGGCATAGGTTGCCCGGAGAAGCTGTGGCTGCTCTATCCCTGGAAGTGTTTAAGGCTGGGTTGGACAGGGCAGACTCACCCCTGGGATGGCTCAGGGGCCACAAAACCCCAGATGTGTTTCAGGAAATCCCTTATTCCCCTCCCCATGGCATTCCCTGTGGTCCTTGTGCTCACCCCACCCTCCACCAGAACCTGCAGTCCTGTTTTGCTCCCAAAGCTGATCTCTGTCCATAGGAACCAGGTTTTAAGGAAGGAAACATCCTTGATGTAAATACCCACAGACCCTCTAGGACATAACACAAAGCAGAGAATTTTACAGCCTCTGAAAGAACTTCCTGAGGGACATTTTTTAAAATTCCCCCCAGTCTTGCTTACAGCCCTTTGATTTTCCTTTTCTTAATGCTGAGCCCTGTCAGCTGCACCACCAGTTGTTCCAGCACGTGGCTCCTTCCATCGAGAACAACGATGTCTCCCATTTGGTTTAATTCTTATGTAAGTCAAGTGAGAAAAACAGCACTGGTGGAGCATTTGGAGTAGTTAATAAAGAAGGATAGATTGCCTTTTCAGCTTTATTAGTCCAAGGGAAAAGAAATTGCACTGGGATTCTTTAGAATAGAGTTCATGTCACCGTGGAGAGCTGTGAGTGGCACTGAGATAATAATTTTCCTGTCTATATTATCTTCCTTTCAGATGAATTTCAAAACACTTTGCGTGCTGTTTAGTTTGCTCATGTGCACAGGCTCCCTTTCCAGCTCACTGGAGTGGAGCTGCTGCTGCAGAGGAAAGCAGGAGCTCTTTAGCTGCTGACAGCAATGTTACAGAGCAGTTCAGGAGTGCCAGAGAGAATCACCACATTTAAATAAGGCCCCAGGAGAGCATTAGGAAGCAGAATGTCAGCCTTCATTCAGCAGCCAGCTGATGCTGGGGAGTTAATGTCACTGCTCCGTGCACTTGGGCCTTGTGAACCTCAGTTATGAGGCTCATTAAACAGAATAAAGGGACACTCAGAGGCACAGTCCAGCTTAATGTTGTGTTTGGATGTTGGCCCAGGAGGTCTCAGAGGGAAGGGTCCCATCCTGTGCTATCAGTGAGTTGTGTCCTGCAGGCTGTGGCTTTTCTGCAAAGGGCTTCCATGAAGTCTGTGAAACCCAGAGGTGAAACCCCAATCCTAACCCTAACCCAGAGGTTTCACAGAGGTGAAACCCTAACCCCAATCCTAACCCTAACCCAGAGGTTTCAGAGGTGGAACCCTAACTCCAACCCTAATCCTAACCCAGAAGTTTTACAGAGGTGAAACCCCAACCCTAACCCTAAACCTAACCCAGAGATTTCACAGAGGTGAAACCCTAACCCCAACCCTAACCCTAATCCAGAGGTTTCAGAGGTGAAACCCCAACCCTAACCCCAACCCAGAGATTTCACAGAGGTGAAATCTTAAACCCAACCCTAACTCTAACCCAGATGTTTCACCGAGGTGAAACCCTAAACCCAATCTTAACCCTAACTCTAATCCCAACCCTGATCCTAACCCAGAGGTTTCACAGAAGTAAAACCCTAACCCCAATCCTAACCTCAACCCAGAGGTTTCACAGAGGTGAAACCTTAAATCCAACCCTAACCCTAACCCAGAGGTTTCACAGAAGTAAAACCCTAACCCCAATCCTAACCTCAACCCAGAGGTTTCACAGAAGTGAAACCTTAAATCCAACCCTAACCCAGAGGTTTCACAGAAGTAAAACCCTAACCCCAATCCTAACCCTAACCCAGAGGTTTCACAGATGTGAAACCCTAAGCCCAACCCTAATCCCAACCCAGAGGTTTCAGAGAGATGAAACCCTAACCCCAACCCTAACCCCAACCCAGAGGTGTCACAGAGGTGCAGGGGCAGATACACGTGTTCTCTGAATCCTTCTTTACCATATTTACCAAACCCTGCTCCTCTGCCTCAGGGAGAACCAGTGTGAGCTGGAGGCCAGTGGCAGTGTGAGTGTCCCCGTGCACACCCTGCCCAGCACGTACCTGCAGAAGGTGCCCGAGCAGCCTGAGGACGCCGACAACCAGAAGAACGTGACGAGGATGATCCAACCCCCCCTGGACAAAACCACCACTGTGAACATCCCCGTCACCATCACGGCCCCCCCGGGGGAGACCACTGTCATACCAAGTGAGTGCCTTGGTCTCTGGGCTTGTTCTACCAGGGAATTGCCAGGAAAGAGAAAACTTGTCGAGGAGGGGGCAGCACACCCTGGGTGATGGGGGCTCTCCTGGCCACCGGCATCCTCGTAAGAGGCAGACAGGAGAACTTGTTGATACAGGAACTACAGTCCATGCAGCCTGCAGGTACTCAAAAATGGGTTCCTGGGTCACCTGGTGGCTCTCCTGATCACCAGCATTCTCACAGAGGCAGATAGGAGAACCTGTTGATACAGGATCTATGATTCAGGCAGCCTGCAGAACTCAAGGAGGGTTCCTGGGTCAGCTGGTGGCTGTCCTGGCCACCAGCATCCTCATAAGAGGTAGACAGGAGAACCTGTTGATACAGGATCTATGATTCAGGCAGCCTGCAGGAACTCAAGGAGGGTTCCTGGGTCAGCTGGTGGCTCTCCTGGCCACCAGCAATTCTACAATTCAGGCAGCCTGCAGGTACCCAAAAATGGGTTCCTGGGTCACCTGGTGGCTCTGGAAAATACCCCATGAGGTTCCCTGGAGATGGCTCCCCCAGAGCACATCCTGTTTCTGCAAAACAGAAAGATGAAGGAGCAAGAAAACCAGCGAAATGTAGTAACTGAGGGCTGGGCAGGAAAATCAGCAGCTGGTGCAGCAAAACAGCCCCAGCCTGAGGTGAGCACAGGAGCGGCTCTTCTGCTTTATCCCCTTCCTCCTACTCCAGCAGGGATGGGCTGTGGTTCCTCTGGCATCCTGGGGGCTGAGCAGCCACAGGCCCCTGAGCAAAGGCCAGGGGAGGTGGTGGCGTTGCATTCAGGCCCTCAGGATGGATTCCCACCTCTTGGCTCGCTCACTGTGGAGCAGCAGGTCCTCGTGGCCTCACAGTCACCACAGCACCCTTGGGGATCCTGCTGCTCTGGGTTCCTGCAGGCTGGGCCATTCCTGAGCTTTCTGCAACCCTCTGCACCTCAGTTTGAGCAGATCCTGCCTGACTGAGCCTGTCCTTCTCCACAGCTCTTTGCCTTGGGTCTGTAAGTGCAGATTTAGTTTTCCAGATAGTCCCAAGACCGTCGTGCCCATGATGTGCCCTGAAGTCCCCCAGCCACCGGCTTGGGGCTGATCCCTGGCAGAGCAGGAACAACCTGGAGAATTCTGGAGAGTAGGGATGCCAAGGAAAATTGCAGTGTGAACTCCAAGAGGTCCAATTGAGCCTTCAGGCTGTAAGGACTCCGCTTTCCAAGAGGCACAGCCAAAAGCAGGGTCTCTGAGAGCTTTTTCCCTGTGTTGTCAATCACAAGACTGGTCTTTTCTTTTTTTTTTCCTTCTTCTTTCTCCTTTTTTTTTCCTCTTAAATGGTAATTTTACTATATTGCAATGCTGACTTCCTGCCAATCACAGTTTATCTGTCCTGCCCATTTCCTCACTATCTGGCTGGAGATACAATAAGGAATTTATTGAACATGTCACTCACACACAAGAAACTGTCATTTCCTTGCAGAATAAAATAAAAAGTGATAAAAGCCCTGCACCTGGCACATTCTAAGGGAGTGGGGGTTGTGGACTCCAGGTCCTGGGTACTAATGGATGAGTCTGAATATCTGCCTAAGAAGAGTATTTGCAGCATAAAACATGTTTCAGTTCATATATTGGAAATGATCTTCAGTAAATTATCCTACAAACCCACTGCAAGTCAACTTAGGATGAAAATTGAAAAGTTTTCAGCCTCTGGGAGTGAGGTTTGGAACAATCTTGGGGAAGGAGGTGTGCAAGTTAAAAGCCTGATGGGAGGTGGAGCTCGACACCTTTACCCAGCTGTGACAAAACTGAGCTGCACGAGGCAGGCACAGATCCAGGGGCTGCAGGAAGCCCCTTCCAGGTCTCTTTTCCTAATGCTGGGAAGTTCAGCAGTTTTAGCCCCAGAATTATTAAATCTCATCTATGAATTTGCAACTCTACCCATTCCAAAGCCAACCTTGCTCCTGATCTAGGGCAGAAGACACAGGATTATGAGGCTGCTCAGTCATCCTGCCTTTTGTTCTCTTCCCAAGGATCCCTCGCTGATCCTCTCTCCCTAATAATTTGTGCTGTTTGAAAAGGGTTTTCCATCCCCACTTTGGCAGCTCTTGGATAAATAAGTGCCTGGTTTCTTTGTGTGTCTGCACTGAGCAGCTTCATTTCCTGCCTGCTTGTGATCCACTGCTCATCAGCACAGCAGTTGTGGGGCAGAACTGTGTGTAAGTAGCAGGGATAATAATCAAATGATTGTTCATCACGTTTAATCAACATATCCAAAGGCTGTTTGCTCTCCCAGCTGCGCTGTTTGCATATCCAGCTGTTGCAGGAGCCTCCTGTGGGAACACTGGGGATGCAATTTTAACTCTCTCCTTCCTCTCTCCTCAAATTCCCATTTCAGTGAACAACGTGGAGTTTGAAAGCAAAACAGAGGAGAAGAAAGATGTTGATGACCTGACGAAAAATGGGCCTAAACCAATCCTGCCTTACAGCTCCATGTTCATCCTGAGCCCCACAAACCCGTAAGTTCTTACAACTCTGCTTTTGGGTGACAGGAACTGGTTATTCAGAGGAATAACATCACTTTTATCTCCATCTCTGCCAGTCAAACACATTTGGATATTAAATAATATCAAATATGTGGGCAGGATGCTGCCGTTCAGCTGGGCTTTCCCGGGGAATAAACTGCTGGGGGAAAAGAAACAGAAATAAAAATAAATATTAAAAAAAAATATAAAAAATAAATATAAATATAAAAAAATAAATATAAATAAACTGGGAAAAGAGGATGCTTTAGGCAGATCCAAACCGCCCTGCTGACCCTCAGGTGCGCAGTTTGTTCACCTAAATCACTAAAGGGTGGGAATTTGGGCTATCGCTGGGAACAGGTATCAGGAGTAGCACGTTGGGGAGGTTGGTTTTGACATAATTCTTGCAGGTTCCTCAGCTGGAATTCCTGTTCTTTCCATCCTGGTACCTTCACATCAGTGCAAGCTCTGAACCTGTGGGAAAACTTGCCTGTTTTTCCTCTGCCCAAGCTGAGAGTGCAGCTGGTGGGATCTGTTGGGATTCTGGTGTTCCTGCCGCTCCGGGCGGCTCTGCCTCGTGGGGAGCTTCGTGCTCAGGGCCTGTAAACACTGCCTGTCTCACTCTGGGGGGGCTGCAGGACCAGGGGGGAGCAGCAGGGGTTGTAATAAGTGTAGCACGAAGGGCTGTGAGTCATTTTTAGGGCGTTTGAAGCTTCTGCCAAGCCGGAGATCTCCGGGGAGCAGAGGTGGTTGTTGCCCTCCGGCTCAGGTAGACTCGGTGTAGATCCTGGAGTTTCTCTCTGAGGTTTATGCTCAGATACCAAAGGAGAACTCAGGCCTTTTTTTGGCAGCTCGATTTGAGAGAAGAATGAGTTCTCCCACACCTGCTGCTCCTCAGGACCGTGGCAGCCTGGCTGCCTGTGCCGTCAGTGGGACAAAACGAGCTCAGATTTGACGTCAGAGAAGCATCTGGGGTGGAAGCGACGGTCTGGCCCCCCTGGACACGGGGCAGGCTGAATAAAATCATAGAATCACACAATATCCTGAGCTGGAGGGACCCACCAGGATCATCAATCCAACCCCTGGCCCTGCACAGACACCCCAACAATCCCCCCCTGTCCCTCAGAGCGTTGTCCAAACGCTCCTGGAGCTCTGGCAGCCTTGGGGCTGTGCCCACTGCCCTGGGGAGCCAAATTAGCATTATGAAGGTTGTCTGGCTGGATAAGGACATAGTATTTCCCTAATATTTGGTAGCTCAAGCCTTTTTGTTGTGGAGTGACCACCAAAAATGAGCTTTAGCTGCAAAATGTCTGCTAAGGCAGGGTGGGAAGTGGTCCCCAGCCCAGAAGGGTCTGAGGAGTGGGCTGGGCAGACAGAGAAGCAGAAAGAATTTTTTGTACCATATATCTGCCCATTTCCTCTCACCTCATTCTACAGTTTTGACCTCCTGAGCCCCCCAGTCCAGGATGTGCTGTGTTGTTTCAGTTACCCTGCAGTTTTCTCCCCCAAAAGCTCCACTGAAAGACCACTGAAAGAACCCAAGTTCACTGGGAGAGAAAACGTGTTATAACACAGGGCCAAGGGGGAATCACAAGACAAAGACCAAACTCTAGGAATGTCAGCAACTTGTTATTCCTGCTCTGGGCAAGATGCAGCCCCAGCTGGATGCCCTCAGGTGTTTTGGCTGGTGTTAAGTTCTCCAGAGAGGTCCTTCTGCTTTCCGGGGGGATGACGTTTCACTCTAACGCTGACATCTCCCATCCAAGCCCTGCTGGGGATGCATGACCTGGGTGCTGCCAGGGGGCAAAACAGTTCAGGGAAGCATAAATAAACTGCATTACTTTCCAAGAGGCACCAGCCTCTCGGAGCAGCCGTGGATGCAAAGTGATTCCTCAAGCACCGCTGGCAGTTTACAAACGCTCCCACGTCCCGCTGCTGGTCGTGAATGATGAAGATCTAAAAATAGAGCCTTGTTATTTATTTGATGGATTGAGTTTGATGCAAGAATTACATTACAACAGCTACAAATGTTATTGAAAATGGTGCCTTTCCCTCCTGTGGATTCGTGTAGATGATAATCTACATGTAGATGATAATCTTCCTCTGTCGGATTGATAACCAGAGTTAAGGGATCCACAAAAGCACTTTTCTTCAGGTTATTTTCTATCAAATCTGTTTCCCTGGTATTTGTAGCTCTTTTTCATTCTGAATCCATTAGCAATCCAAAGAGAAGGAATATGTAAGAAGATGTGAAAAAACAGACTTTAATTCTGACTCTTCAGATATTTGCTTAGAGAAAATGGGATATAGCAACTGAAAGACATTCCTCAGATAAAGTTGCTGGGGAGTTAAATATATAATTTGATTCCCAGGCAGAACCCAAGTCCTTTATTCAGCTGACAAATATGGTGCAAATGTAGAGCTCTGTGTGCAGTTAAGGATTTGTGAATTGTGGTCAGATAGAGCCATTAGCTGAAATTTGTGAATAGTTTCGGATTGCTCAGAGATTGAAGCATTTGTCACTTTTCTTGGGCACAATTTGTGAATAAAAAGATTAGGGTAAAGTAATCAAATATATTACTGTAAAGTATTTGTGCAGCTTAGAAAGGGTATCTGAAAGTGAAGGCAGAGATACTTGGCAAGGGAGAGATTGGAAGGAATAATACTCAGCTACAAAGGCAGTTTCAGCTGAGTCTCCAAGTGCCTGTGTCTCAATTTTAAAGGGATTAGTTGATATTAAAAGGATTTCAAACCTTGTTTTGATCTCGCAGGACGTTAACCTGGGGGTTCAGAGGGAGAAGGGTGGGGGAGGAGAGAAACATAATTTGTAGAATCAAGTCTGAAGGCTTGAAAGCTCTCAATGCCCTTTTGACAGATGGAGAGAGAGGGAGAAATAGGGAGATAAATACAGAGATAAATAGATAGGGAGATAAATAGGGAGATAAATACAGAGATAAATAGATAGGGAGATAAATAGGGAGATAAATAGATGTCATTGCTTTGCAGAGAGCGGTGCAGGGATGTTTATATCTCTGACTTGAAATCCCACCACAGCTCTGTTGCAAACTGGAATTTAAACCCGTTGCTCGTGTTTTTTATTGTGTTACCATTGCTGTAACAGGAATCCTAAAGGTGGTGTTCCTGAGGAATCTGTAGAATCGAGTCTGAAGGCTTTGAAGCTCCCTTTTGACAGATGGAGAGAGAGATAAATAGATAAATACAGAGATAAATGGTCATTGCTTTGCAGAGAGCGGTGCAGGGATGTTTAAATCTCACTTTAAATCTCACCGCAGATTTGTTGCAAAGTGGAATTTAAACCCATTGCTCATGGTTTTTTATTTTATTACCCTTACTGTCATCATCATCATCATGGCCGGGCTTCACGAATGAAGATTTGGGGAGGGCTCTACCTACGTTACAAGCACGTTGGTGGCTAAAAAGGCCAATACGAGATAGACACGTCCAGTTGCAAAAGGCACAGCAGAAAGACTCCTTAGATGGTATATTCTGCAATTCTTTCTGCGTTGTCTTTTCTCCTCAAGGGTGATCCTGGTGCTTTCTCAAAGGCATCAGCAGCGTTATAGATGGTGTGTCTCTGGCCCGATTGGAGGCCAGAGTAGACCAGTGATGTTGATCAATATGCCCGAGGCTGAGTTGTTGTTTCAGGGAGTCCTTGTATCTTCTCTTTGGGGCTCCTCTCTTGCGGCAGCCGGTGGCAAGTTCACCATAGAGCAGGATCTTGGGGAGGCGGTGGTTGGTCCTTCATCCTTGAGACGTGCCCTGCCCAGCACAGCTGTGTTCTCAGCAACATGGCCTCAATACTTGTGATTGCTGCCTGTTCAAGAACAGAAGTATTGGTCACATAATCTGACCAGTGGATGTTTAGGATTGTACGGAGGCAGCGTTGATGGAAGTGTTCTAAGAGTCGCAGGTGGTGGCGGTAGATGACCCATGATTTGGAACCATATAAGAGAGCAGACAGCACTATGGCTCTGGAAACACTGATCTTTGCACTTTTCTTCAAGTGTTTATTTTGCCAAACTCTTTTAGAAAGCTTTCTGAAGGCACTATATGCCTTTGCTAACCTGTTGACAACCTTTACTGTAATAGAAACCCTAAAGGTCATGCTCCTGAGGAACCCTGTCCTCATGCCAGCCTCTCATCCCACTGTGCCAAGCCTCCCCTGTGCTTGTTTTGCCCGCAGGATTCGGCGGCTCTTCCACTACATCGTCAACCTGCGCTACTTCGAGATGGTCATCCTGATAGTCATCGCCCTCAGCAGCATTGCCCTGGCTGCAGAAGACCCTGTCCAAGCTGAGTCACCCAGGAATGATGTGAGTACCAGCCAACATGGCCACAGTAACCTTGCTCTGCTTCTCCCAGCACGTGGATTGGCTGTTCCCATCTCCAAAGGATGACACGGTGCAAAACTAGAGCTGGCTTTGGTGACATCCTCAAATGTGCTTGTGCCACTCTGCAAAGAAGTTGGAGGTCAAGAAAAGGTTCTTCTCCCAGAGGGTGGTTGGGCACTGTGGGGACCAGGGACAGCACCCAGGGAATGGCTGGAGCTGTGCCAGGGCAGGGTCAGGCTGGATCTCAGGAAAAGGTTCTTCCCCCAGAGGCTGGTTGGGCACTGACCAGGCTCCCCAGGGCAGTGGGCACAGCACCAAGGCTGCCAGAGTTCCAGGAGCATTTGGATGATCCTCTGGGGCACAGGGTGTGACTCCTGGGGATGGTTCTATGCAGGGCCAGGAGTTGGACTGGATGATCCTTGTGAGTCCCTCCCAGCTCAGCACATTCTGGGATAAAATACTCACAATTCCTGTCCCTTTCTGCTGCCTCAACCACATCCGAGTTTCAGGACTTGGAAATCACTGACATGACTTGTGTGGAGAAGCCTGAAAAGCTGGGACACAATTCAGCAGTGAGAAAGGCTTCCCTGGTCACCAGCCAGGGCTGACACAGAATCAGAGAATCACAGCATGGTTTGGGCTGGGGAAAGCTTAAAACTCATCCCCTTCCACCCCCTGCCATGGGCAGGGACACCTTCCACTATCCCAGATTGCTCCAAGGCCTGTCCAACCTGGCCTTGGACACTTCCAGGGATGGGGCATTGTCCTAAGGTCTCCTGCTAGAGCAGAGCCTGAGGAAGTCAAACCAGATGTGTGGTTTTTTTATCCTGGTGGGGCATGGTAGAAATCTCCAAGAATTCGTAGCAAATCTACTTGTCTGTGGGTGTCAAACCAAACTTGTTTGGATTTTTGGAGATGGTGCTGTCACAAGAAATGTGAGTGTGACACCTTTGACACGAGGCCATGCAGCCCAGGAGAGTTCATGGAGCAGCTGGGTGGCTTATTTCAAGCCCATTCCCATGAGGACATTGGCACAGAGCTGGCTGTGGTTACGTGGACAAGTGGGAGTTGAGAGATCTGAAGATTAAGTATAGACACTGCAAGGTGAAGCCTAATCTGGGACTCATCGGTGTAGATGGTTGTAGTGTGTGGATATCATGGGATATTTATGGCTTCCAGTTGTGCCAGGGGAGGTTTGGTTGGATATTAGGAAAAAAAATTCATCACTGAAAGAGTGGCCAAGCACTGGGAGAGGCTGCCCAGGGAAACAGTGGGGTCACCAGCCCTGGAAATGGTCAAAAAGCAAGTAAATGTGGCACTTTGCAATGTGGGTTATTGGCATGGGGGGATTTGGTCAAAGGTTGCACTTGATGATCTTGGAGGTCTTTTCCAACCTTAATGATTCTATGATTTCGTATCTGTATTGACTGACTGTCCATCCACTGTGTTCAATTCTGTGATACTCCAAAGAGGTGCATCCCATTCCACGGAATTGTGCTCAAATCTAGGAGACCTACAGGCACTGGTGTTGCTTTCCCAGGCTGTGTACCAAGGAATCTGTGTTCACCCACCCCTTGAACAGACTGAGGAGTTGAACTGCTCCAGAGCAGAGCTCAGCAGGGCAGGAGGGGCCTGGCCTGGCCTCCTGCTCCTGAATCTGGTCAGGCTTAGCTTCTTCCAGAGGAAGATCCATGAATCCCCACACCAGTAACGAGCTGAAGGAGCTATGAGCAAAATCTCTCTTCCTCATCCTTAATAAGTGTAGAATCAGGTTTTCAAGAAGGATTTTATCACTTTCTTACTCTCCTGAGGTCTTTAATAGTATTGTCGTCAGCCAGAGAAGATAAACCCAGGCTGCTGCCCAGGGGCTGGTGAACAAGCTCCCTAGGAAAGGATATTCCAATATTTCTATTTGAAATGCCCTTTTTCCCTTGATAAACCTGCCATAAATGTGGGTGCACTGAAGCCACCCTTGGGTGGAGTCAGGCAAGAACTGGGAGAAATGTTGCTGTTTAAGGTAACTGTTTAAAATCAGATTTAAGTTTTGTGCCTAAACTATTTGAAAACCTCCTCTCAGATGATATTTACCCATCAAAGCAAATAAATCATTGCTAGAATAATGTTTTACTACTTGCTCATGTGGTATTTCACTTTAATAATACTGTCCTCAGCTAGAGAACAGAAACCTGAGCTACCACAAAGGGGCTGGTGAACAAGCTCCCTAGGAAAGGATATTCCAATATTTCCATTTGAAATACCCTTTTTCCCTTGATAAACCTGCCATAAATGCAGGTGCACTGAAGCCACCCTTGGGTGGAGTCTGGCAAGGACTGGGAGAAATGTTGCTGTTTAAGGTAACTGTTTAAAATCAGATTTAAATTTTATGCCTAAACTATTTGAAAACCTCCTGTCAGATCATATTTACCCAAATAAACCATTGCTATAATAATGTTTTACTCTTTATGTGTTATTTCAGTGTGTGGCCTCTCCTAACACACATTTCTCTCTCCCATTTAGGCTCTGAAATACTTGGATTATATATTTACAGGTGTCTTTACCTTTGAGATGGTGATCAAGGTAAGAATTTCTCCAAGCAGAAAGATTCGCCTCCTGTTTTAAATTGACATTAATCTACTTCTGGGATGCTGGAGAAGGGGTGGAGCAGGACAGAACTCCCTGGAGAGGTGGCAAGGATGGAAAGCTTTAACTTGAGAACAGCTCTCAGAAGTAGCCAGATGTCCTTCTGCAGTGGCTCTCCTGGTTTCTTTAATCTCACAATTTATGGAGGAAAATAAAGGTATCTTTAGTAGCTGTGGCTGTGTAAGAGGATAAGAAATGCCTGGTGTGTGTGGTTAAAGACACAGGAGCTGACAGACCTCACTGAGACGTGTCTGAATCTTCCCTTCTCCTTTTGGAATGTTAACAGCCACTGATTCCTGCTCTGTCACATCTCAAAAAATTGAGGAGATTTATCTTTTGACTTTACTCAGTAGGGCGACAGGTTTTGCTGAGCCCGTGGGGCAGCAACTTTCCAGGAAGCCCAATCCTGATAAAGCCTGGATTTACTCCTGGGGTAGGTTTTACTGTCAGAGCAAGCTGCAAAAGAGATGCAGAATAAACCCCAGATTAATGTGTGTCCATGCAGAGAACCCTGGGCTGCAGTGGAGACTCCTTGAGCTTTTGGTTCTGGTTTCTTGACTCTTGAGCTTCATTTTTGGCAGAGCTCTTTGTGCCTCTCAGAGAGGAGCAGCTTGGCCAAGTATCTCCACATTGGGAAGGGTCATTTGCTCAAGAACATTCTCCTGCACCTTGGCAGTGTTGATTTGGTACAGGTTTTATTAAAACTCTTCCTTTCCTTGTGTCTCCTCTCCAGATGATTGACCTGGGGCTGTTACTCCACCCTGGCTCCTACTTCCGTGACCTGTGGAACATCCTGGACTTCATTGTGGTCAGTGGGGCCTTGGTGGCCTTTGCCTTCTCGTAAGTACATTCCCTTAACATCCCAATTTCCAGGGAATAACCACAGAGGAGGCAGGACCCGGCACAGAGTGAGAGTTGATCCATAACACGTGTGGCCCCATTTCTCAGTGAAATGCTCAGTTTCTGCCCTTTTTCATCTCGTAGCTGGAGGGGGGGGGAAGAGAAAAATAAACCCAACTAAATTGGTGCTGTTGAACCTCTTGAAAATCCTCCAGCTTTAGGGTGAGTCCATTCACTGCTCCTTCAAACATTAAGCCAAGATTTTTGTGACAGTTTGGCCAACTCCTTTTCAAGAACATATTGTAACAGTTTGTGGCAGTCCAGTGTCTCCGGGCAGTTGTTGTAAGAATTGCTCTTCCTGTGAGAAAGGAGTTAATGAAATCAGCTGATAACTCAGTGAACTCTCTGCAAAACATTATTTCTGGAGTTGTGGGTATTTGTGGTTCACAGACCTCGGGCTCTCTCTCCTCTTTTCTCCTCTCTCTCATTCAGAGAACTTGTATTTCCAGAGTTTCACTTTTAAGGCTTGTTGCTCCCTCCCTCCAACACAGCTCAGTATTTATGACATTAAATAACATTCCCTGTGATTATTTAATATTATTGAGGATTTTCAGCCCCAGATACAGAGGAATTGCCGTTTCAAAATGAAGATTAGCTTTCCCTTTGAGCGCTTTTTTCAGAAGAAGAGCAAGGCAGGTTCCTCAGAACTCACGGAGTTCAGAGCTGGACAATGAAAGGAAAATTTTCCACCTGTATTTCTAGGCCATGGAAAGAGTTGTTTGCAAATGTTTCCCGGAGAAACAATAGGGGATGACCTAGAAAGAGCCCGCAGGACTCAGGCAGTTTAATCTTCTGTTAAATTAGCCTTGAGCAATTATAGGAGCGTTCAGCAGCTCCGCTCACCTGTTTGTCAACACGGTGATGAGCGGGAGGCAATTGTTTAACTTGCTAATGAGAATTAGCAGGGTTTAATTGCTAATGAGAAAAGCGTTCCCCTTTGTCAGGGAACCACGGGAGTGTGTCTTGTCCATTTTAAACTGACAGTCATTTTTAAGCTTCATCCCCAAGCTCCTCTCGTCAGCTCTGCTGGTGGGAAACGTGTCCCCTGTGCAGCACAAAAACTTCCCGGGTCCTTTTCTGGGAAGGGTGGCCTGGAATATTTCTCAGGAATTTTGCGTTTTCTGAGGCGTCAAAATTCCTGTCATGTTCAGATTTGTGGTTTAGATCTTCTATTTTCATAAATGCTGGATTAAAAAAACAAACAAACAAACAAAAAAAACCAACCCAGAAGTGGATGGGCTGAAGGAGATGGGCTTGACATTGTTGGTGTGATTTTTGAGGAGTGACACTTGGGGATAAATTATTAAAGAATTATTTAAGTTTTGGAGACAGTCATGTCTGACAGAAGTTTTTCAAAGGGATGTTGCCCTCCCCTCTTTAAAAACTTTGTCCCCATTCATTTAAAATCAGGTTTTTTGAGGAGCTGAGTGCTCTGTCCTAAGCAAAACTCGAGATGGAATTGCTGGGCTGGTGAATGTCTTACCTGAAATTTAACATCCAAAACCAAGCTGCTTTTTAAGCTTGACTAGACTTGTGTGGGGCTTCTTTTCCCTGCACATGAAATATATTATAGAACAGCTTTCAGGAGCTGGATGTGGCCAGACTAAGCAAAACCTTCCTAAAAAAGCATTTAGCAACTTAACACAGAGCTCCTTGGAATGGAAGAGACATAGAAAAGGAAAATAATCACAGTCACAAGTATTAGTCTGCAAAACAATATTCCCCAAGTCTGCAGTTCAATGAGAATTTCCCTTTCCCATTAGGAATTCAAACTTTCAGGGCAGACTGGGAGAAGGAGAATTTTTTGTGAGAACAAACACCAGGGTTTGCCTTGAAAATCTCTTCTCTTTGAATGAGACTTTCTTTTGAACAAGATTTTTTTTTCCTTTTGGTCAAGTTAAGGATTAAAATGAATAATTTTTAATCTTTTGGAGTCTTTTCATGCTCAGGTTTTCTATGTTGGGCCATGAATATCTAACAGCACCTCATCAGCCTCTAAATAAATTACTTTTACATCCCCTGCCTGTGCTTTATAATAGTGCCCCAAGCTGCTTCTATTTTACCTTCTGAGTGAGAATTTGGAAGGGAATGCATAAAACCTGCCTAGTTACTGTCTCCCAGATTAAAGTGAGACAAACCTATTGGGAGACTTGGAAAAATTGGATTTTTTTCTGTGCTTTTGATGCTTTTTGTAACCTCTGCTCCACATCCACGTCTCAGTAGGAGGGGAGTGTTCATGTCCAGTTCAGAGAATATTTGGAGTATTTCTGGTTTAATTCAGTCACTCCCAGGGGATTATTTGCTCTCTGTTCCAGTCATAAATAATAACAGAATAATCAGGTGCAAACTGAGAGAGTCCTGTCCTTGCCCCAACTCTTTGTTTGGTTAAACTGGACACCCTGATTTTTGATAATCCTGAAAATGAGCTCTTGGAGAATCAACTGGATCATGTCTGTTGTTGAGCTGGATTTTTCTAGCAAACCCTGCCACCCCCCATCAGTGTAATAAATATATTTATTGTGGCTGTGACTGGTTTGTTTGCCAGAACACACAATCATCCCCTGCAAGGTGTGATTTAATTCATGTCCTTGACCTCCCTGGTGTCTGAACCAGCTTCTTGCTGAACAGACACATCACTAAAAACCTTGGATTAAAAGAGCTCCCTGAAATGCTCCCAGCTGGAATATTGCAACAGCCTGTGTTTATTTAAGCACACGAGATGGTATCAGTTGTTGCTGGAAGATTCAACAAACCCAGCTCAGCCTCTCCAACCAGCTGCTGGTCTCCTTTCTGCCTCTTTAGAAGCTGTTCTGTGCTTAACTGGAGTTAAAAAATAAATAAATTCACAAAAGTAGTTCGGAATAAATAAATACAATTGAGAAAAAAAATTAAATTTTTAAAAAAGGTCCCAGAGAGATGCTAGAAACATTAACACTGATGCTGCTGATAATAAAGTAATTAAAATTATCGATTTAGCAATGCATTTCTGAGAGAAATGCCCTTCTTTTCTTACAGAGAAACATGCCACAAACACACAGACTTGTTTGAGCCTTGAAGGAAATAGAAGTAAAGGAGCTTAAAGCAAACTTTGCAAGCAAAAATTGTCATCAAAATCCATCAGCTCCAGGTGTAAAATGTACCTGGTTGGTAAAAACAGCTGCTGAGGAGCAGCATAGAGCTTGTCTGGGTGTGTTGGAGCAGCACAAATGTGGTGGAGATGCAGATTTTCTGATGCTCTTTGGAAAATCAACCAGCATTTGCCAAAGAGTCGAGGTTGCACCTCCCAGAGTGTCAGGTGGGGGAAGGGACATTTGCAGGTTCATTTTCAGGTGAGTGGAAGGGCTGATTAATTCAAATATTTTAAAAGAAATAAATTTTAAAAAATAACATTTTTTAAAGGAAATAAATTAAAAAATAATTAAAATACTTTAAAGGAAATAAATTAAAAAAAATAATTAAAATAAATTTTAGAAGGAGTCCCCAGAGAGATGCTAGAAACAACACCACTGATGCTGATGATAATAAATTGATTAAATTTAGCCATTTAGCAATGCATTTCAAGGAGAAATTCCTTTCTTTTCGTGGACATAAACATGCCACAAGCACACAGACTTGTTTGAGCCTTCAGGGAAATAGAAGTAAAGGAGCTTAAAGCAAATTTTGCAAGCAAAATTTGTCATCAAAACCCATCAGCCCCAGGTGTAAAATGTACCTGGTTGGTTAAAAAAACAGCTGCTGAGGAGCAGCAAAATTTTGTCTGGGTGTGTTGGAAGAGCACAAAGGTGGTGGAGATGCAGATTTTCCTGATGCTCTTTGGAAAATCAACCAGCATTTGCCAAAGAGTCCAGGCTGCACCTCCCAGAGTGTCAGGAGGGGGAAGGGACATTTGGAGGTTCATTTTCATGTGAGTGGAAGGGCTGATTAATTCAAATATTTTAAAAGAAATAAATTTAAAAAAATAATTAAAATATTTTAAAGGAAATAAATTTAAAAAATAATTAAAATACTTTAAAGGAAATAAATTAAAAAAAATAATTAAAATAAATTTTAGAAGGAGTCCCCAGAGAGATGCTAGAAACAACAACACTGATGCTGATGATAATGAATTAATTACATTTAGCCATTTAGCAATGCATTTCAAGGAGACATTCCTTTCTTTTTGTGGACATAAACATGCCCCAAACACACATTTGGACAGGACATTTGGAGGTTTCTTTGCTCCCGAGTGGAAGGGCTGGGGCTCATTTATTTTCCTGCTGCTGTGGGGGGGGTGTGGGCCAGGGAAAAGGGGATCTCTGTGCAGGGGGGGCACTGATGTTGCTGTTTGTCATTGACTCTGCTCTTTCTTTGTCTTCTCCTTGCTGGAATCTCTCTCTAGGAGTTTCATGGGGTAATATGTTATTCCTGTCTCTTGCTGCACTGTTTTGCCTGTCCAACAGTCACCACTGTGGAAACAACTCATGTTCCACTCATTGCATCGACTCCTCCGCCCCTTTCTTACCCATTATCCAGTGAAATTTCCCTTAACAATCCTCATTCATCCCGGTTTTCTTTAGGCAGAGACAGAAAGCCAAGTAGATCAGAGAGTCTTGACCAAAACCACAGATATATCTGTGCCAGAAGGATTTGAGGGGGTGACTCAGTGGGTGCGTCATTGATGGGTGAGTTGCAATTCCTGGAAATCTTAATAACTAGGTTTGAAGGAGCAGGTTTATTCTCTTTTGGAGGATTTCACCTCCAAACAGCAGTGCTGGAAGCTTCAGCACCAACTCAGTGCAGCCTGGGCGATGCCACCCAGCTCTGAAAAGCCTTTGATAAAAGAACAGAGTGTAGAGAGTTTTATAAGAGGCTGGAAGGGGCAACTTGCAAAGGAGGGGGGTCAAAAAGTCCTATTTAATGCCCTGCAAGGAGGTGGCAGTCTTGCTGTCTGCTTTTGGGGCCAGAGCTGTGTCATCTCCCACCTCAATCCCAGCAGGGCAGGAGCTGGGTGGGCTCCTCCACAGCGGAGATGCCACAGAAAGGAGGCAAAGGAAGGTCTTTGATGTGATCCAGGGAATCAGGTGCTCCACTCTTTCTTCCCTCTAGGAAAGCAGAGCGTTTAGAGGCAGGAAAAGGGTGGCTTTGTGTTTGTGGCAGAGCAGGGTGACCTCCTTTCCTCCTCAGTGGAGGAATTCACCCTCTGCCTTGGGGTTTTGGGGCACTCACAGGCGGCGGCGGCTCCGCCCTGCCCTGAATTTTTGATGCCACGACTCTGAGAAGCCCATGTGGTGTGAAATCAGAGCTGCTGGCAGCAGCAACAGAAACAAGGAGCTTCCATTTGAAAGGACTCGTCAATTTTTTAAAGGCTCTTTGATTTATTAAAGGGGGGAAAAAAAGGCTTCGCGAAGCTCTTTTAAAATGTTTTTAATGTTTTAAATAAACAAGCAGCAAACTGCCACAGAAAAAAAACCCCAACACCCAGAACTGGCCTAATGCAACTAAAATTGATCTAATGCAATTTTTTTATTCATGGGATTCTTTTATTATTATTATTTTTTAGGTCTCTAGGCTACTGTTTGCTGTCTGCCTTTATCCTGTGACCCTCTGCAGCTCTTCTTCAAAATTCAGCTCTTCTGAATTTTGTAGTTGTTCTTCTGCAGTCAGCTGAGATCTTGCCCTTCCATAGCAATTTATTTTTGTTGTGAGGAATATTCAGGTCAAATGTGTGCTTGGATACACCTTTTGACTGAATCCTGTTTCCATCTGGACCTTTTATTTTGTTGGACATCTGGCTTTGTATTAAAGCAGTGAAAAAAACCCCCAATATTGGTAGAGGGGCTTCTTAAAACCACCAAAAACAACCCTGAGGGTTTTTATTTGAGAGGCTGAAAGAGTTGCAGGGTGTCCTTTAAATTAAAAAGCAATTTGCATCCCTCCAGTTCAGAGCACCGGGACATTGGAAAAGCTTTGTCCTGGAGCAGGAACCTTCCTGTGACAAGAAATAAGGATGTTTTTCAGGATTCTCTACATGGCTCAGAGCAGAAATCCCATTAACATTTAATTGGCTCACGCTCTTTATTTGCTTAAGTGCCTGAATGGAGAAAGAGAAATCAGCCCTTCTGAGTGTCCTCCTCTGAGGCAGAAGGAATTGGGTGTGACTGGAGCTGTCTGTCCTTCACCTCCCAGCTCTCAGGGTGCTCATCCACACACCCCCCAGGCCAGGGAAAAGCAGGAGCAAGGATTTGCTCTGCCCCACGGAGCCACGAGCCCCCAGAAGGTCTGTTTGACCTCCCTCCAAATATTTTGACCTCCCTCCAAATATTGAGTCCATGGGAGTTGTTCCTTCAGGAGTGGGGCCAACCCTGTGAGACCAGGGCCGAGTTCTGATCTGGAACTTCACCTTCCACAAGGCCTAATTAGTGCAGTTGTTAATTAGTGTGGGGCAGGTGTCCAGGTCTCCTGGAATTGGGAGCACTGGCAGACAGCACATGGGGGTTCTGGGTGAGCCCAGGAGAGCAGTGCTGAGGTTTGTTTTTTGGGGTTGTGTGTTAATCTGCAAACCAGAAACGTGGCCACCAGTGATGGAGAACAAGTAGAGTTCTGGGCTGAGCATCCCACCTCTTTTTTTCCCCTCCTCCTGCCCCAACGTGGCCTTTAACTGTCTCACCTTCACTCTTCTCTGCTTTCCTCAGCTCCCACCTCCCTCAGGGAGGGAAACCCTGGGAAATGTGGAGCAGTGTAAGGGATTTGCTTGGCCTTCCATAGGGGAGAGGGTGGAGGGAGCAGCAGGGGCAGCCAAGGGGATGGGGGGACCATCAGCCCTGGGGACAGGCTGGCCAGGCCAGGTGGGATCTCCTTTGGGATCTCCTGGGATCTCCTTCCCTACAACCCATTTCGCTTTCTACTTCCCTCCTGCCACTGAATGTCCTCCTTGAGAGGATGAACAAATGATTTTGCAGCCAGGGCTCAGACAAAGCCCCCTTGGAGCAGGTGAGCTCCAGGTGAGCTGCGGTGACACAGTGACCACAGCAGGGATGGTACTTGCTGGGAGTTGGGGGAGTTCAAAGCAAACATGCCAAGCCAAGCATGGGCCAGACCTTCAGCTGTGCCAAAACCTGACAAGAAAGCCAGGAAAAGCTCTGTTGGCAGTGCCTGCTTCATCTAGAACAGATTAAAGGGTTTCTAATGAGAATCAAATATTATTTCTTTTAAATATATAACGGGTATTTTGTGGCATTAAATCAGTCCTGAGTATCAGTTCCATCACCTGGATTTACAGCCGTGCCAGCAGTCAGGATCCACCTGGGATGGATTAAAATGGCCCTAAAGCAGCCCTGAAAGATGAGAGAGGGAGAGGATGATACCTCTCCATCCTTTCCCCCCTCTCTCCCTATATTAAATCCTTTGGAAAGGCAATTTGTGTTCAATGTAGATGTCACTGGGATACAACCCAGGGCCCTCCAAACATTCCTGTATCTTACTGTGTTCCAGGACAACTGCAGGGCCTGGTTATTGAAGAGAAGAGAGAGATGAGATGGGTTGTAGATTCCAGTCCAATTTAGGATTGAGTTCCAGTGTCAGCAGTGAGTTCTAAGCCTTCTGGCAGTGGATTGATTGCAAAAAGACACTTTGCAGGGCTGAGCAAGGTCAGTCAGCCACGACCTCGGGTGGTTTCCTGCACTCTGGGTGCTTCTCCCTGAGCACAGCGTGGAGGGCTGGGGGCCAGAGGGTGGGGGAAGCTCTGCAGGCCCTCACAAACCTCCTGTGGGTCTCTGGGGTCACTTGTACCTCTATTTCCTTCCTCTTGGAGAAGGAGCCAACTGGGAGGGCATAGAATAGGTGTTCCAGCATCTGCTCCACGTGTTCCTCATTCACACCTGTGTTACCTCAATACACTCTCAGACCCAAACCCACACTCATGAATAAAACCCTGTGACAGACTTTCATCCCATTTTTCACTTCATATGAACCGAAGGGGAATGTCATTGTTTTGCTGTTGGGTTGGAAGAAGATGTAACTGTGTCTTTTCTTATTTATTTATTTTTGGAAGTGCACGAGGAAAGGAACTCTGTCCTTCCTTCCCCTAAAAACCTCTTGATGTTAACAAGGGGAACCTTCTCAAAGCCTTGCACTCAGTTTTAACCAAACCTAAACCCAGGCTGTGACTTACAGCCCCTTGCATGCCCAAGTGGGAAGCTGCCCCAGAGGTGTTCCAGGCATGTAATATGCTGCAATATTACATGTTCCTGCATGGGTTTGGTAGCATGTCTTCCAAGAGACACTCAAGGATGAGGACCCAGGCATGGAGCAGGAGAGCTCTGCCCCTCACCTGGAAGGCTCCTGTTCCCTCTGGTCACTGCTTGTCCAGGCACAATGTTCCTGCCGGAGAAGTGCACGGAGAAACCTCCTCCTGCCTCACTCCCTCGGGAGGAAGGAGAGCCAAGCGTGACTTTGTCCCTTCTCCTGGGGCTGGGACGGACGTGCTGAGCCTCCTCTCCTGGTGGCTGGAGCAGGAACTGTTGCCTGGGTGTGGAGTCGGGGCAGGAAGGGCCACAGATCCTGGGGGATGCTCGGTGAGTAGCTGGGAAGGGAGAGGAGGCTCCTGTGGGGAGCAGTGCCAGGACCATGTCCTGCCCACGGCGCTGCTGGACACGGCTCAGGTGGGGCTCATCTGAGGCCACAGTGAGGATGGACCCCAAACCTGTAACAAACACCCCAAAGCAAAGCAGTTCCACCACCAAAACCACACTGGGAACCTACAAATATCCAGGTTGGCGACCTGAGGACCAAATTATTGTTGTTCTTGTGCCTTTTCTCCCTTGCAGAGGAACCAAAGGCAAGGACATCAACACCATCAAGTCCCTGCGAGTCCTGCGGGTCCTCAGACCTCTGAAAACCATCAAGCGGCTGCCAAAGCTAAAGGTTAGAAAACAACCCCCAATTTTTCCTTCTCTGGAGCTTTGTGTGACTGATCTGAGTAGAAGCTGATGGACCCAACCCAAGTTATTTCTGCTCCTTTGATTTTGTTGCAATTAATCCCTTTGCCAGATTGGTAAAAATAGCTGTGCAGATGTTTAGCAAATGTCAAACACTTTGTTTCTGTTGCAAACATCATAGGCGACGTTATGAATTGTTGTGAACCCACGCGAAAATAAAACTCCTAAAAAAAGAAAAGAAATAAAAAAAACCCCACCCTCAAGTAAATTAATTTACAGCTCACAAGTGGGATGCTCTTAGAAATGATACAGGAGAAAATGGGGGTTGGAATGTTTGGCTTTCCCTGGAGAGTTTAACGTGAATATTGCAAGGTTTTCCACGGGCTGTCAAAAGAGAAATGTCATTGCTGTGTGAGGAGTTTTAATCTGTTCATCTCTCTGGTAAATAATCCATAGTGCAGGGTTTTTGAGCTGTACCTTTTCACATCTACAACTCTAAGCTACAAATTAAAATAAACGTAGTGACTCGTGGTTACTCATCAAACACCATTTCACCACCACTTTGAGGTACAGCCACTCCCTGGAAGCAGAGAAAGGAAGGAGTTAACAAAATTCAATAATTTCTGAGGTTTGGGAACTCTTGAATACCTGCTGAATATTCTGTGAGAGGTGGGGGAACAGCAGTGGGTGCTTTTGTCTGACAATTCCTGATTTCACATCGAAATGAGGGTCAGCTGTTCTACAGGTTTGCTTTTGTCCTTGCCCACTATTTGGGCTGAAATAATTCTGATTTTATGCATACTAAATGTTTCTGAAAAGATAAGGAACATTCATGTTGAACGAAACAGAAAAAGGTCTTCATTTGGTTAGAAATTTAAAATGTAAAGCTCTGAGGTAAAAAACAAAATAGTCAACGGTAGCTCAGTCCTCCAGCAGGACACTGAACACTTGATTTTTATTGATTTCTGTCTGATTTTCAAGCCATTTTACAGGGTGGTTTTCTAATTTCTAAAGAAATACTCAGAAATCTTTCTCTGAAGCAGAAGTTGAGTTTATCTGGTTTTTGAAGTGAACTTGGGTCCATTTTGGGCCTCTCACTGCGAAGACATCAAGGGGCTGGAGCTCGATGACCTTAGAGATCTTCTCCAACCTAAACAATTCTGTGATTAAAAGTCTTCAAAATTATTTCAATTATTTTTTTCCCCTGGATGTGCTCTCATGAGAAACAATTAGCAAGATTAAAGGGCTGATCAGATATATTCCCAGTGTTTTAATTCAGGGTTTCTGGGTTGTTTCAGGAGTGTAATTTTGGGAATTATTCCCTTCCATTCCTAGAAGCAGGAGCACTATTGTACAAACCCTGAGCTTGGGCAGTAAGATCACTCCATTTCTATTATTAGGACCAACTTATCCTACTAAAATCAAACTGCAGACTACTTGTAGCAGTGCAGCAGGGACTAATAACCAAGTAATAAATGTATTTGAGGAGTTCTTTGCAGGGAGTTCAGAAGTGACACGTGCTGACTGGGTTAGTCAAACTTAATTTTGAGAGACAGTCCTTTAGAAAAGTATTATTCAAAGCATTTGGTTTGTATCTGGTATATTTTCCTTATTATTCAAGTAGTTTTTACTTATCCAGTACGTAAGTGAGTAAAATAAACACAAGTACAATTTTCATTTCATAATTGGCCATGGGAATGTTTGTTTAGGACAAATATTGATCTCAACAAGCTGTGATTGTCTATATAAATTTTATGGGCAAGCCCAGAAGATTCAGTGGCACAGCCAAACTTGCCAAGAAAGCAGGAGCTGAAGGAAGCTGGAGTTATTGCTCCCAGATTTTGAGATGTGTTTGGTCAAACCCTTGGTGAGCAAGTTCCCTGGGTTTTGGGTTGGATGATGAGATTTAGGTTGGATATTGGGAAGAAATTCTTCCCTGTGATGGAATTCCCAGAGAAGCTGTGGCTGCCCCATCCCTGGAAGTGCTCAAGGCCAGGTTGGGCTTGGAGCCACCTGGGCTACTGGAAGATGTTCCTGCCCATGGCACTGGGTGATCTTTAAGGTCCCTTCCAACCCAAACCAGTGATTCCAAGAGTGTATGAAGTGTGCTCAGATGGATGCCAAGCTGTTGGATGCACTTTTCCTCTCTCCCAACCCCTTGACCTCGTTCTCCTCCCTCCCAGGCTGTCTTTGACTGTGTGGTGAACTCCCTGAAGAACGTCCTCAACATCCTCATCGTTTACATGCTCTTCATGTTCATTTTTGCCGTCATTGCCGTGCAGCTCTTCAAGGGCAGATTCTTCTACTGCACTGACGAGTCCAAGGAGCTGGAGAAGGACTGCAGGTACAGCTGGGGGCAGGGCCAGGGTGGGCAGCAACTTTCCTCCTCCAGCAGCAGCTCCCCAGGCTGTCCCTGAGCTGCATCAGCTGCTGAGCACCAAGAGTCTCCTCTAAGTGAGAGCAACACTCCAGCATAGTTACCCTAGAGGTGAATTCTCCTTTTCCTTCTTTAATAGCTGTGTCATTCCTGGCTCTGATCCAGCAAATGCTTCCCCAGATGCTTAAGGTTGCATGGGAGTCACTTTCCTTCCCAGGGAGGTCTAGGGGTGGATTTTAAATCAAGGGGTTTTGAAGGGTTGAAGGGTTTTTGACAGTGTGACTCCTCTTTCCGCCTGTTGCCTTGATTCTTACAACTCCTAGGAATTGGAAAAACATAATGACTAAATAATCAGAAGCTTAGGAAGTCAAAGAGCTCCTAATTAGTGAGAAAAGGGATTGAACATCTTAAAAGCCCTGTCATGTCTTGCCCTTCCAGCAGGCTCAAGGTGTGTCACCTCAGTGTGCATCTTCCTCATTTGCCTTTTTTCTTGGCACCCAAAGCACATCCTCAGCACCATCCAGCTCTGCCCATCCCTCTCCTGCTGCCTTGTGCATTCAGGGCATGTCCCTGGTGGGATCCTGGCAGTCACAGGGGCTGTCACTTCCTCGGAATGATGTAAATATATTTGGAATGATGTAAATATATTATAGAACAAAAGTGAAATCACACAGAAGTGTAGGTTGAAGGGGAGCTCTCCAGATGCCAGGTCCCTTGGCCCCTAAAACAGGACCCCTTTAGGGTTTAGTTCCAACCCTGAAGTAGGAACCAGAGCCTTTTCCCCATCAAGCAGCCCAGTTTTCTGTGGGGTCACACGATTTGGGGACCAGCTGTTAACTGCTGGCTCTGCCTAATGAATGGATGAACAACCTGATTAAAATTTCTTTTATTTCGAGACCTCAGATCCAGTTCCTGTGGCTGAAAATGGCTCAGAAATTGGCCTTGACTTCTGTCCCAAGCCTAGGGGGGCTGCCTCTTTGTCTTTAATCCCTGTGCCACCGGGGCTTCTCGATGCTCCTCAGTGACTCCCAAGAAACGGCTGGTTTGGTTTAATTCCCTCATTTGCTCTGAATCTCTCTTTTTCTTAGGGGTCAGTACCTCGATTATGAAAAGAATGAGGTGGAGGCCCAGCCCAGGGAATGGAAAAAATACGAGTTCCACTATGACAACGTGCTCTGGGCTCTGCTCACGCTCTTCACCGTGTCCACGGGGGAAGGGTGGCCGACGTGAGTACCCGGGGCTGGCAGGGGCAGTGACTGGGGAGGTGAAGGCACCTTCCCACAGCTCTGAGGGGCTTGGAAATGGGAAATGAAAAGAGGCTTTTCTCGGCTAAGCTTTTCCTTCCTTTGTGTGGTCACTGGGTGAATCAGCATTGGGTGAATGTGTATTTTTCTCGCTGTTCCTCTGACAGCTCAGGCAGTTTTCAGTACTTGCTTCAGGCTTTTGGACTTGCCCATCTCTCTCAGGTGTAAAGCTGCCCATGGAAATGTAAGAAAATGAGGGGAGAAAAGTATTGTGACCTGTGCTGAGAGTATGACAGCCCCCAAATGATATTTACTGCTCAGCATGTGACTTTATTTTGGCACACTTTGCTGCTGGGACACGTGGAGTGCAGTTTGTGATCAGGGTTTCCCTGTCCTCCACGTTCAATTATTTCATAAAATATCCTTGTGGGTCCCTTCCAATTCAGCATATTCTGTGAAAATAAAGAATAAACCAGCACCAGTCTCCCTTTTCCAGTCCCTCACTGTGTTCCCTTCCTCAGACATCATCAATACCTCTCTTTGCCCACTCTTCCTTCACCCCTGTTGACCAGAGAAGGGAAGCCAGATCCCCCTGGATCCTCTGCCCTTGGCCAGGGGGGATCAGTGGATCTGTACTTAGCAAATCTCCACCATTCTGCAGAATGGTGACACCAGGAAGGGTTTCCTACAGAAATATCCTCAAGGAAAACACCCTCCCAGCCATAAAGATGGGAAGGGGTTTGACCTGAGCATATGTGGACAACCCTCCACGTTGAGTGAAGGCCAGTGAGTGACCATGAGGTGCTTCACAGTGATTGCTTTGGTTTTCATGGGGTGAAACCAGGAAGGGTTTCCTGTAAAAATATCCTCAAGGAAAACTCCTTCCCAGCCATATAGTTGGGAAGGGGTTTGACCTGAGCATATGTGGACAACCCTCCACATTGAGTGAAGGCCAGTGAGTGACTTTGAGGTGCTTCACAGTGATTTTTGGTGACTTTTCTCCTCTCTCTGCCCTTGATTGCAGCGTGTTGAAGCACTCGGTGGATGCCACCTACGAGGAGCAGGGTCCCAGCCCTGGCTACAGGATGGAAATGTCCATCTTTTACGTGGTGTATTTTGTTGTCTTCCCTTTTTTCTTTGTGAACATCTTTGTGGCTTTGATCATCATCACCTTCCAAGAGCAAGGAGATAAAGTGATGTCAGAGTGCAGCCTCGAGAAAAACGAGGTACCCCCGTCTTCGGAACCCGCAGTTGGCACCCAGGGGGGCTCAGAGCATCAGTGGAAGCCCCCTCCTTCCTCCCTCTTGTGCCATGGGGGGTGGAGAGCAGTGGTTATCTGAGGGTCTGTGCTGTGGAGACCAAACACACAACTGACTGTCAGCTTTTGCACAGAAACAAAGCCAGGGACAGCCCCTGAGTGACCCCTGTCACGTGTCCCCTTGGGCCACACCTCTGCTGCAAAGAGAACGTGGACCTGCACTGGCACAGGTTGCCCAGAGAAGCTGTGGCTGCCCCTGGATCCCTGGAAGTGTCCAAGGCCAGGTTGGACAGGGCTTGGAGCACCCTGGGCTAGTGGAAGGTGTCCCTGCCCATGGCAGGGGGTGGGACTGGATGGGCTTTAAGGTCCCTTCCAACCCAACCCAGTCCTGCCTTCCATGTTTGCTCAAGAATGTGGGTGTGAAAGGAGACAAATCTGTGGCCTTTTAGAAACCAAACTACAACTGTTTTGGCTCCTCTCCCCAGGCTGGCTTTGGGCCTGGCTGAGATGATTTCCCCCAAAAGTAGGTGCCTTGAGAAGAGTGTAAGACCAAGGCAAGACCCTGTGAGGCTTTTCTTGAAATCTCCAGCAAATACCATCATTTTCAGGTCAGGAATGTCCTGAGTTGGACATGTTTTTAATTTAGTTAGTGGCATCTGTGTATCTTCCTTCCCTGGATGTATCTGGTTTCCTTCTGAACTCAAGCAGATTTTCAGCATCTGCAACATCCTTTGTCTGGGCTCCCACAGCCTCAACGACCTGTTGTGCAAAGAACCATCTCTTTTCATGGATTTTGAAACTGGAACCCGATTTTTGATGAAAAGAGATGATTTTTTTATTCAATTATTAATTAGTTCCTCGTTTGTCCACATGACCAAAAAGTCCAAAATAAAGCAGAGTATTTAGGGATGCTTCACCCATGTTATTTTTCAACTGAGCAGAAAGTATTTTTGCAGTGATATAAGGCTTTGAAAATGGGAAAGTTAAGAGAAAATCCTCCAGAATCAAAACTTCTTGTGGGTAGAAACCAATTTTTAAAGCAGTTTTATATTCCTAATAATGTGAACAGAAATAACCAACAAAGGGGGTCTGTGAGAGTTCACTCAGAGCTATTTGGTGGTTAATTCATTGGTTGGGCTCAGTCCACATTTCATGAAACATTCTGAGCTGAGCAGGTGTCAGAACATACCTGAGTTTCACAATAAGTTTTTAAACCCACAGATTACATCTTTACTTTAGATAACATCCCCTTGTTACTACAATTACCCATCAGGAGGAATTCAGTGTTTTCTGAAGTGAACCCATGGATTTAAAACCACTTAGGGAAGGGATTGGGACCTACCAGGAGCTGGGCTCTGGTGGAAGGTGATCTCCTAGGCCTGCAGGGATCCATAGGGGTGTTGGGGGGTTTAATATTCCAGCAACATTTATCATGATTTGGGGATTCGGTGCTGGATTTTACAGGAACAGTCACTTAGAAATACCCCCCTCTGAATTCTCTGCTCGCTCTCCCAACCATATCCCAAGGGATAGAGACTCCCAGCCCTTTTTCCATCATTTTTCACCCCACTTCTGTTTTGTAGAGGGCCTGCATAGACTTTGCCATAAGTGCCAAGCCCCTGACCCGGTACATGCCCCAGAACAAGCAATCCTTCCAGTACAAGATGTGGAAATTCGTGGTGTCCCCTCCCTTCGAGTATTTTATCATGGTCATGATCGCCCTCAACACCATCGTCCTCATGATGAAGGTCAGTGGGATCTCACTGAATCCTGGACAATTTTTGGGTGCTGACTGTGGTGTTGGATGGAGAGGATTTGGACCCTGGGAGCTGGGGGGGTTCATCAGGCACAACCACTGCTCCTCATATTCCTGGCGGGATTCCTTTGGTCTCCCAAGGGAGGCGGTTCAGCTGTGATGGGATCCTGGGAATATTCCCCTGCATGGTGTTGGTTTGGCTTGTAGCCCCTCCAGTGGGGTGGGAACTGGGCTCTGCAGGTCCTGAGCTCCAGCTCAGCCTGGGCTTCCTGCTGCAGAGCAGGGCCACGTCTTGCTCAAAATCCAGTCATGCCAAGGACATTCAAACTGAAAGAGAAGAGATTTAGATGGGATACTGGGAAGAAACTCTTCCCTTTAAGGGTGATGAGGGGCTGGGATGGAATTCCCCAAGAAGCTGTGGCTGCCCCATCCCTGGAAGTGTCCAAGGCCAGGTTGGACGGGGCTTGGAGCAACCTGGGCTAGTGGAAGGTGTCTCTGCCCATGGCAGGGAGTGGATTGAGATGGACTTTAGGGTGCCTTCCAACCCAAACCATTCTGTTATTCTATGGAATGGCTCAATTTTGCAACAGCCTCAGAACTCTGGGATGTGATCCACAGTGCTCAGGAGGGAGATGCAGGTGGAGGCACACTGTGGATGATGTCCCCTCCTCTCCCTTGCCTAGAGTATCTTCACAGTCATGGGGTCACCTTATTCTTAGGGTCCTCTGGAATGAAACACAGTGCTGCACTTGTCCTCTGGTTTTGAAAATGCCCTTCTTCCCTCCTGGCCCATGTTGTGCTTACAGGGGGATGTCCACCAGCAGCTCCAGTTTTGGGGATATCTCCAGCTGGGACAGTATGTAGGGAAGAGTGTCCTTCTGGAGGGACATAAATAACTTTTTGTAACCCCAAATCTCGCTTAAAGTGAGCGCAAAATCCAACAGTAAAATGAGCAGGAGTTTTACAGTCAGGCAAGTCAGCTGGGAAAGGTTTTATTCTGTACATGATCTTCTGGTAACAGCTTTTCTTCCGTCCTGCTTTAGTTCTATGATGCTCCAGAAGCATATGAAGAAATGCTGAAATGCCTGAATATTGTGTTTACATCCATGTTTTCAATGGAATGTGTGCTGAAGATCATTGCCTTTGGTGTGCTGGTACGTGCTTTCCTCCTTCACCTTCCCCTGCTTCCCCTCTCCATGAAACGCTCGTATTTCGTGACGCCCATTTAAAAATAAACGAAAAAAACAAAAAAAAAAGGAAGAAAATAACCCCTGGATCCCTCTATTCCCCCCCCCTTGTGTTTTCATTTGGCAGAATTATTTCCGAGATGCCTGGAATGTCTTTGATTTTGTCACAGTGTTGGGAAGTATTACTGATATTTTAGTAACCGAGATCGCGGTAAGTCCCGTTCGCTCCGTTTGCTCCGTTCATAAACAAAGCTGGGCCCTGTCAAGACATTGCACCTTCTCCCTACCAGCCTGATTCCCTGGAGCTGCCTCTGGGATTTGGGATGTCCTTGGGTGACCTGGCAGCCTGTTTTTCCATCAGCTCTGCTCTTTCCAGGGAGCTGAGCACAGCTGCCTGCCCCAAAGGCTCATGTGAAAGGCTCTGATGAGAACGACAGTGCCACTGCCTCTGCCAGGAAGCAGCTCTTTCTCGTTCAGCAAATCTGTCCCCGGGCCATTTTTTGCCTATTAATGGAAAAATCCTGTTGAATTTAATAGAGGGGAAAGCCCAAAAGGGCTCTGCTGTGTTATGGTGTGAGGTGCTTTGCAGGGCACACACACCCCCTCGTGTCCCCTGGGGCTCCTGCCCGGCCGTGGGCAGGGTGAGGGTGAGAAGTGATGGGAATGGAGAACCCACACAGGCTGGGTTGGGGGAGTGTTTCTGTGCACAAATCTCTGTGGGGTCATTAAGAAACAATTAATTAAATAAACAGATTAAAATTAATAACCAAACAACTTTCCCATAGGATTTCTGGCCAGCCCTACGGGGACAGCTGTCTCCCTGCTAATGAGCCCAGTAGATCACACAACTTGCCATTAAATTATTAAATTCTGAAGGATTTTTCCAGAAGGGCAGCAAATACCTGACTCCAGTCATGACACCCTGACATTATCCAATTTATAAACTGCTCCTCTCCTCTCCCAGTGCATGTTGTATCTGTATGTGATGAATTTGAACTTTACCATAACTTTTTTTCTCTCAGTCTCCTGGGATTTGCTGATAGATCTGTTTTGTGTGTGCTAAGAACTGTGCTCCCCAGGCTTCTTTACAGATGGTGGTGAAGACTGTATCACTGCTCCTAACAAAACACATTTTTACCTACCCTTGGTACCAAAAACCACACAAACCCCAAAGTTTTACTCCCCACACAAGTGTTCATTTAGCAGCTGGTGAATCCTCTCCTAGGCTTTGAATTACATTTTGTTTTCAGTGCAGCCAGGTTTAAATTACTCCGAACAAACCCAAGGTCTGAGTGCCACCTCTCTGAGTGCTGTGGGAAGGCACTGGTTGGTTCCACTCCCTCTGCCATGGGATATGTTTTCTTGCCAAACTTTTGCTGTGGTTTGAAAACTTGTGCAAAGATTCATGAGTGAGCCAAGAACAGAGACTGCCACTTCTCCTCCACCCTCCTTTGGCCACTTTTCCTGGGAAGAAGCAGCACAGGCAGCTCACACAGGGTGAGGAGCCTCTGCTCTCTCTGAGATTGGTGTCTTCTCCTTCAGGAAGGTGTCTCCTTCACAACACCAAGCTTCTTAAAACCCTCATTGTGGAGTTATTTTGCAGCCAGTGGTGTTGCCCATTCCCTGCTCAGTTAACAGGCCACTGCCTCTCCCTCCAGCTCCCACGGGATGGCCTCAGGGAGAGTGTCTGGCATCTGGAAAGTTGGCTGTGGACTGATCAGGTTGGGCTGTGAGGCATCACTGGATTTGATGGCATCACCCCTCCCCTCCCCAGGGATTTCTCTGGTTTTCAGCATCGAAGGCAGCAGCAATTTGGAGTGTGAATTACCCCTAAAACCAGTCTAACTCCAATAGGGCCAAGCTCCCAAACACCTGTATGCCTTCCCATTCTCCTCCCACGTGGAAAAGAAGAGGTTTTTGGTTTATGAGTAGCCAGATCCTTTAAGTCAAGCATTAGATAGGACTTTCTTATGCAGGTTGACACCTTCCCCTGGCACTGTGAAGCTGATCACAAACATCTCTTTAATAGAAAAGCCCAGTACCACTCCAGCCCCTGATCTCTTGGTTCTCTGTCTGTGTCTACAGACCTGTGTGAGCTCTGCTCTCTCTAAATATTCCCCTTCCACAGCAGCCAGGTGGGGTCAGTCTCTTCTCCCAAGTACCAACTGACAGGACAAGAGGAAACAGCCTCAAGTTGCACCAGGGGAGGTTTAGGTTGGATATTAGGAACAATTTCTTCAAGAGAAGAGTGGCCAGGCACTGGCACAGGCTGCCCAGGGCAGGTTGGATGGGCCGTGTGAGATGTGTCCTTTCCCGTGGCAGGAGTGGAATGAGATGAGCTTTAAGGTCCCTTTGAACATAAACCATTCTGTGATTTTATGTTTCTCCCCTTTCCAGTCCTGAGGATGAAAAACAGGCAGAAGGATCCAGCACTCTGCTGCTGTGCCATGTTATTGGCTCCATGATAGGCTGCAGTTAGGGGTATTCTGACCCAAAACACAGCAGGGTCCCACACCTGCCTGGCAATGCCAGGACCTTTCTGCTGCCTGCAAAGTGGCAGCAAAAATATATGTAGGTATATTCTGGCAGAGCTACACTTTAAATCATCTCTGTAATATTTGTTAAACAATTTGTTAAATTTGTTTGTACCTCAATACAATTTAATCCAATTAAAAATGTAGAAAAGGGCTGAAAAGCCTGAAGCAGTGATGAGAACATGGTGTTTGCAGACAGCAGGGACTGAAGGGAGGACCGGTGGGTGCCTCATTCCCAGAGCACAGCCCTGGTGTGTGGCCTCAAACCTTTCATCCCATGGCCTCTGCCCAACCTCTCTTTGTATTCCCAACCTCTTTATGTTCCCAGGTAAGGCAGAGCAGTAACTTAGGCTGGGGATGAGCATCTGCTCTGCACAAAGTGTCACAGCTGATGCTTTCTTCACCCTTCTCAGTGTGTGACCAGGGGTGCAGCAGCTCCATCATGTAGTGGAGAATAACCAGAGAGGAGAACAGGTCTTAACTCCTCACCACCCCAAGCTGTGTCCCCAGCAGAGTGTTCCCTCTTCTCCATCTGCTCTCCTGTTAGAGTTTGGACCTGGCTCCCCGCCAAGTTCCCGAGACCCAGTGAAAAGCCTCCGGCAAAGAGTGAGAAAAAACTATGAAAAAAACCAGAACAGCAGAACTACATTAAAAAAAATATGTATATATACATATATCACAGTTATATACAGTTAAAATACCATGTGCATACAAAAAAGAATCCCAAACAATCCCCCTAAAAGGGGAAGGGAAAAGGGACAAAAACACAAAAGAAACCCGAGGCAGGTAAGCACAAGCAATAAAAACTAGCAAAAGAAAATCTTACTACTCTCCTTGAGATAGAAGAATTGCGCCAAACGACCACCAGCACCCTCCGCCTCCCAAGGCCTACAAGGCCTCACTAGGCCTCACTAGGCCTCATTAGGCCTCACTAGGCCTCGCTAGGCCTCACTAGGCCTCACTCCCTCACATGAGCAGGACCGACAGCAGAGAACCTGTGCCTTTAGATCCACCGGAAGAGAAGAGGGCAGAACCTTCTCTTTCCTTCTTGTTTATACTTCTGCTGACGTAAAGAATTGCATGGAATACTGGGAACATAGGGTAGTTCAGGGTTACAAGCTGGTCTCCAGGAAGGCCTAGACTAAAACTATCCCACCTCCTCAGCTCCAGCCCCTCCTCAGCTGATGGGCACCACAGGCAGAGTTGGGTGGCAGCCCCTGTCAGTCCCTCCCTGTGCATCCAGCCCTCTTGTCACCCATCCCATGGGAGTTCCTGAGCTGAGAGGTCCCTGTGGCAGCCACAGCATCACCCTGTCAGCCTCCATCTGTCCTGCCCCAGGAGCCCTCCAGCTCCCTTGGAGATCTAGGTGTTTTCTAGGTTTTCTAGGTGTCACACCAAGATCAGGCTCACAAAGCACCATTATTTTTTCCCATGACTGTATTTTCCAGCTATAAATGTTCTCCAAGGTAAATAAACCTGCTCACCTGGGGCAGGGGGGGTTGTCTCCTCTTGAGAGACTTGGCTTCCACCAGCCTTGCTGCATCGGTACCTTTAACCCATGGAAAAGTAAAGACAAAAGGAAAAGAAATGTGTTGATGAATTGCTTTGTTTCAATTTTGTAGTCATGCCATATGTAATCTACTTTGTGATTGTAGTGGAATATATATTTTTTTTTTATTTCCTTAGGCAAAAAAACCCATGAATGTCAGTTTTTTGATCTTCTCAGTAATCGAGGGAAAATAGGTGGCTTTAAGGAGAAGGTGTCTTTGTGGACACACCCAGAGTGGGAGTTTGGCAAACTGACATCTATTTCTATGCCTGGAAATATAAAAAAAAACCTCCTGAGAAGTGTTTGTGAATTGTCTCCCAATTTGCATTACAAACTGAAATGCAAATCACTACTGCACTGTGTGTGTTACCTTTAGGATCTCAGAACCTGTTTTGGTTTGAAGCATTTTTTCTTTATATAATTCCCATAAAATAACACCCCCCCTCCCCCGATACCTGATAGTTTCTTTTCCCTCAATGAAATTTTTCAGAGTTTCCTTTTTTGCTTGTCCTGATTACTCATTTTCTCTTTTTGTTTCCCTGTTTTGTTCTTTATTTTCCTTAATCTACCTGCTGAAATCACGCCATCCAATCAACATACAATGCGAAAACCATGTCTCCGTCTGTATGTTGTGCACCTGCTGCTCAAAACAAAAAAACCCTAAATTTGTAAATAACTCTTGCCAATATCCATCCATGACAACATCACATATAGGACACGGTTGGTTTCATTGAATTTAAACAATTCTTTCAAGCCTCTGCTTTTATTTTCTCTCGTTTTTCTTTTGATTTGATAAGTTGTTTGGTTTGGTTTGTTTTTTTGGTTTTCTTTGATGAGATTTCCGATTGCACTGGTGAAAAAGCCTCACTGCAGCACTGCCCCAAACTGGCTTCTTTCTGCACCTCCTTCCCTGGGCTAATTGGTGACGTGAGGCAAACCCAGTTACCAATAGCTCTGCTCCCTGTTCCCCCCCCACACTTTGCTAAAGGGGAGACTCCCACTTGCCTTATTTCCATGGAAAACGGGATGGGACAATCAGGAGGGAATTATGCTCCTGGATGAGCTGGAGAGGAGAAGATTGGCTGGCTGGGAAATGCTTCACTTTAAAACTGGTATCACCAAATTCAGCTCTTGAAGAGTGGGTTTGGTTTCTTTTGAACAAGATGCTTTCTGCCAAAAACCTCAGTATTATAAGGCAGAAACATTCTGAAGTGATGACAGACTTGCTGCCCTCAAATCAAAAGAGAAATGATTGAAATGATAGAAAAAATTATCTTTACTCCACTTAGAAAATTCCCTGTGATGCCAGCCCGTAGAATTATTTTGGACACAGAGTCCCTGGGCTGCAAAACCAAACATCTCAAGTTAAAGCATAAATCGTGTTATGAACAGAGCTGAAAAGTACCAGGAGCCACATCCCACTGGGAATTTAGTGCCTGATTCCAAAGATGCCTTTGGAAATCCTGGCCTTTTTTCTTTGAAAATCATAAATTAAGCAAAAGAGAATGAATAAAGAAAAATGCAATCTAAATATATATATTTTTTTCCATTTTTAATTATCTTGGCTATGGTTAATAACACAAAGGAGACCATAAGCTTATAAAAAATCCTCACTTGGCCACCTGACAACAGCTCTTGGATCTGTAACATCTGCATTTCCTGCTGCACAGTTGCTGTTAAGACACAAATCAGGGTGAATCTTCGTGCCAGGCTGCACAGAAGCTCCATGACCGTTCATGGAGGGTCACAGGGGGGATTTCCTAGGAAGCAGCAAAGGAGAAAATGACAATGTGTGAGGGAAAATTTGCCCAGGGCGAGCCAAGGAGGGAATTTCTGTGGTGGCTGGAAGTGCTACAGATGTGTGGCAGCAGTGAGGATGTCTTTGGAGATGTCATCTGCTGCACCCCTGGCCCAGGCAGCACAGAAGAGTGCTCTGGCATCAGCTGTGCACGTGAAAATATACTGGAAAAAAAACAGTTTATCTCCATTTGGCCAAATTTTGGTCCATGTTCAGGTTAAGGATTTCAAAGCTCACCCTGCTGTTTGTTAGGATTGCAGTTGCTGTTTCACAGAGATGAGTCCAGGCTCCTTCCATCACCTGGCATCCCAGTGAGGTCTTTGGAGAACCACACTGTCCTCCTGAGATGTTTTCTTCCTTCCACTGCTGCTTCTGGGACACTGCAGTGAGTGTAGCAGGAGCTCCAAAGTTCAAGGGAAGGCTGGAGGAGACTGAAATCAGAGCCCACCAGGGTCTGCAGCTTCTTCAAGAGGGGCAGCTCCAATCCCTGCTCTCTGTGAGCAGGGACAGGATCCAGGGAATGGCTGGAGCTGTGCCAGGGCAGGGTCAGTTGGATCTCAGGGAAAGGTTCTTCCCCAGAGGTTGGTTGGGCACTGCCCAGGCTCCCCAGGGCAGTGGGCACAGCCCCAAGGCTGCCAGAGCTCCAGGAGCATTTGGACAACGCTCTGAGGGCCAGGGTGGGATTGTTGGGGTGTCTGTGCAGAGCCAGGAGTTGGACTGGGTGATCCCTGTGGGTCCTTCCAACTCAGGATATTCTGTGAAGCAGGGAACGAGGAGAGATCTGGGCATCACACACAGAAAATCATTTTTCCAGCACTCCAGGCTCAGGATGGAAGGACTGATAGGATATAACTGCAATGGCAGAGTCCTCAAGGCACAGACAAGTGTGGCAAAAATCTTCAAAAATCCTCTTAAAATCAGGAATGAGCTTCAGAGGAAGCCAGGACCCTGTGCAAGGTTCCAGAACACTTCTGGCAGTGCCACGAACATTTAAATGGGAACAAGGCCACTTCCTCAACAGCAGTTCCTCAACAGAATAAGTTAATTCTTGTCGATGCCAGACAAAGAGAAACGCTGAAGCTTCCTGAGCGATCCCATTTTTGCCTTGGTCAGATGCCTCTTCCAGCAGCTCTTTCTGCATCCCTGGGGACAGTGGGCACAGCTCCTGTGCTGGGCAGGAGATCATTCTGCTGCTGAGGGTGCTGCAGGAACAGCCCCAGGCGATGGCTGCACACCCTGCTCTTCATGGTTTCTCTCCTTTTCCATATGGAAAACTTTGGGGCTCCCAACAGAAGAAGGATGTGGAGCTGCTGGAGTGAATCCAGAGGAGACCAAGAAGATGCTCCAAGGGCTGGAGTCCCTCTGCTCTGGAGCCAGGCTGGGAGAGCTGGGGGGGTTCACCTGGAGAAGAGAAGGATCCAGGGAGAGCTGAGGGCCCCTTCCAGGGCTTAAAAGAGCTCCAGGAGAGCTGGAGAGGGACTTGGGACAAGGGATGGAGGGACAGGACACAGGGAATGGCTTCCCACTGCCAGAGGGCAGGGTTAAATGGGATATTGGGAAGAAGTTTTTTACAATGAGGATGGTGAGGCCCTGGCACAGGTTGCCCAGAGAAGCTGTGGCTGCCCCTGGATCCCTGGAAGTGTCCAAGGTCTTGGAGCAACCTGGGCTAGTGGAAGGTGTCCCTGCCCATGGCAGGGGGTGGAACTGGATGGGCTTTAAGGTCCCTTCCAATCCAATCCAATTTGTGATTCTATGAAAACACCCAAGAAAGGGTAAAAAAGATGAGGCTGCCCATGGTGGGACAGCAATCAAGGCCAGTTCGTTATCCATGATGTCTGTTCTCCCTGTTTCCCTCCTGCTTTGCAGTTTGTTCAGGGATTTATCACTCATCTGAGCTCCTGTGGTGGGAAGTGGTGGCAGTGCCCAGACCCTGGCTGGTGACTGGGTACCTTCAGTACCAGACCTTCCTCTTTTAGGAAAACAGGGCCAGGCCAGGGGGAAATGCTTTTCCAAACATAACTTTGGAGCTGCCAGGTGGATCATACCATCCCAAAGCTCTGGTGCCTCTTGTGAGGACCAAACAGCCGTGAGCATCTGTGCAACAGGAAAGCAACCAAAAAACCCGGGAAGAATGGATAATCATGTGTCACATCACAGGGGTGGCTCAGTGGGGGGAGGATCGCTGCAAAGCACTGTGGTACCTGAGAAATATCGCACTGTGGAGTTTCCCCTTCAGCTGCATGTGACTCTTAACTCCTGCCTGGAGGGCTGAGGTGTCGAAGGACAGGTTTTCTCCGTGGTATGCTGGGGGTGGCACACGCAGAGCCCTCCCACCCACCCCCAGCGTGTGCAATTTGGCCTCCCCACAGCAGAGAACTGTCCTTCGAACCGTCCCGGCGTCGGGGACGGGGGATTTGCCTGGGTTGTGAGGGATCCCATTGCACTTTAGGAACTGCAGGAGTCAAAGAGGGAGGCTTAGAGGCTGGGGAATAAAAATTGTACAGACTGTTTGTCCCTCCAAATCCCAGGAAATGGGGCATTATAGGCATAACTACACCGTTTTGAACCCCTTTCCCATTTATCCCTATTTTCCATGTACAAAGCACAGCCTGTGCTCAGCACGACCTCTCAGGCAGCCCAGCCCAAAGCAGATGTTGAGCATCCTGTCAGCTCTGATTATGAGACTGCAGCAAAGTCTGAGCAAGACAATGTTCTTGCTGTTAAGCTGCAGGAACATGGGAAGAGGGAGGGACAGCAGGGTCAGGGGAGAGATGGACCCTGCAGACACTGTCCGTGTGCTCCTTGGAAGAGCATAAGGCTGGAGCACAGGAAAGGTCTGGCTTGAGCATTGCTCTGAAGTTTAAACTCTGTTAGCCTTCCAGGCCTGAAAGTGCTGTGAATGCCACATAAGGCCTGGTCTAGTTCCCACTGTTGGGAAGACACGGTTCAAACAGGCTCTGGGTTAAACCTCTGCCTTGCCCCGTGGAGCTCATCAGCCCCGCAGGGGGAACAGGGGGACAGGGACCAGCTTAGTGATGGCACCTCCTTATCCAGCTGAGTGCCAGCTCTGCCCCACGGGCCCTTTGGTGCCAAGGTGAGTCCCGCTGGAATGTGGTGAAGGGAAGGTAAGCCACGAGTGAAACAAAGCTGAGCTGATGCTCCGAGACAAGCGTTCCATCCCGAGTGCCTGTTCTCCCGCCCTCCAACAACCCAGGGGAATCCTGCTTGTGCTTTGCCTGCCAGAGCTGGCTCTGTTGCTGACTGGAATGAGCTCCGTGTTGTCTGCTCTTTCATGGAACATACCTGTGCTTTTCTCTTTTCTCTTTATTTGAGGACTGAGTCTGATTGACGGTCTGTGCCTAACTCTGAGCTGCTTGTGTTTTTAACCTGAGAGAAACCGAGTGCATGCCTGAGACTGATTTCTTGGACTCTTTGATGGGATTGGTGGAATGCAATGCTAATGGCCCCAAAACTGAGCTGGCATTTAAAGAAACGAATAGATCCAACAAGCCCCCCAATTTCAGCATGAGCTCTGTAGCCAAACGAGCAAGAAACGTGGGTCAGTTCAATGTGACTGGGTGTCTCCTGGTAAAACAATTATACAAGGGAAATACTATTTTTGCTCATCTTTACCAACAAGAGCTCCTTATGATTATATTTTCTGCTCCACTGCTTGCTAGTTTAAAGTGGGATGCTTTCTCTCTTTAGCTCACTCAGTCAAATAAGTGGCTGTGAACAGAGATTCACAAATAAGTGAATTGGGATCAGTATGGAAAGGGGCAATATTTTTTTATCTCCTTCAAATAGGAGGGCAAGAGGGATCTGGCTTTTGCATGTTTTCTTTTGGAAAGAACCCTCTCTAGATTAGCTCATTGGGGCAAGAAACCTCTTTTCCCTGAAGGAAAGAAAAAAAAAAAAGATGGGCTAAGGGGTGGGGAGAATCATCCAAAACAAATGGAAATCTGAATCTGTCTCCAGCAGTTCTTTGATCCACCTGCAAAGGCACATTTAATGGCAATTTGAAAAACCAGCAGGTTCCTAAGGCATCCTCCTGCTGTTGAAAGCTCAACCTCCCCAGCTGACTCGCTGCCATTGATCCATCTCCCAAACAAGTCTTTCTGGTGCCCTTTCTCTTTGATGAACCTGTCCAGTTACTCTCTGTATAAACAGTTCTAAAACCTGCAGGTTGGAAAACATCCTCATTCCTTCAAGGATGTTTGAATCTTCACTGGACAGTGCCTTTCTTTGTTACATTACAGGCTGTACACGCCTGTCTTGGCTTAAGTTCAGTTCAGAGCTGACCAAGACGTCCAAACAACCTCATTCCTTACAAAACGAAAATATGGCACCGTTCCCTCTCCCCGAGTCTTTATGGGGGAGAAAATCTGCCTTTCTCAAAGCAAATCAGACCTCCATGGACAGCGTGAAAGGGCCTTTTCTGTCATTGACCCAGTAGCAGAGGGGAGGGCTCTTGTGGAGAGGGATTTTCTCATTCTTGCTGCATGTGGAGTGATCTGCACTGACGAATGTTTCTTTTGGAAGGTTTTCTGGTGGCCGATTTGCTGCTTAGATCGTGAAGCTGGTAATTTTAATTTCTTTTTTCGCGGGCTGTGGTTTCCGAGCGCGTTAATTTCTGAAGGACACAAAACCTTTACTTTCCGCAGGACAACTTCATCAACCTCAGCTTCCTGAGGCTCTTCAGGGCAGCCCGACTCATCAAACTCCTCCGCCAGGGCTACACCATCCGAATCCTGCTCTGGACATTCGTGCAGTCCTTTAAGGTGAGTTTTAGAGATGTGGGGACTTGGTCGCGCTTGGTGCATCCGCAGCGTCCTCCGCTGGGGATCAAACAGCTCCCCTTGCCAAGGGAATTCCCTCTGCACCACCATTCCATCACAGGACTATTCACTCTGCAGGGAAGCAAACTGGGTAGCACTGACCATCCCCTGAACGCTGCATTTTGGAAGATGAGCCCAAAAGGCTGCTGGTGCAGATTCCAGCGGGTGCACAGAGCTCAGGCTGCCCTTGAAACCACCCCAAAATCCCCATGGCAAAGCCCTGATGCTCAAGCATTTGCAGAAGGAAGTGGTGCCCTGGTGACTGTTATTTACCTGCAGCAGTGGAAGGTCAAATTGCTTTCACCGGGATTTGGGTGTGGTAGAAGGTGGCAGAGACAAACCCCAAACCATCGGGGTTTGGTGACACAAACTGGGAAGCTGCAGAACGCAGGGCTGGGCTTGGATGACGTGAAGGATTTTAAAAAATGGGGTGTTGTTCTGAAGTGCAGGCAGTTGCTTGGCCTGGTTTCCCTTCCCTCCCAGCAAGACTCAGCACGTTCTGGCCCAGGGGCGACTTCTGCTCCAAGTGACCCTAAACCAACTGCCTCACAGCAAAACACTGCTCAGCCCATGCTTAGCTGTGAGCCAGCTCTTTTCCACACCTAAATAAGAGCCCACACGCCCCAAAGCTGGTTATTTTTGTTTTGCAGCCCGTTTCTGCATCGTTTTGGCCTTTAGCTCTGGTTATGGGGCTTGCTCAGGTATTGGAGGGCAGAGAGGAGAACATATAACGTGAAATCAAGACTGATACCGGGCCCTAACACAAGGGCAGAGCTCCAGTCCCTGCCAGGCAGATGTTCCCACTCAGGAGAGTGTCCTTGGACTGTGTGGCCTCGGCTGGATCTTGGCAGAGGGGCTCAGCCCCGGCTCTTTCCAGCACAGCCCTGACCCTCTCCAAGGGTGTGTGCAGAGAGCTGCCCTGAAATGGAGACGGGACACTCCTGCACTCTTTGTCTGTCTGTCCCCCACAGCTGAGCTCTCAGTCTTTGATCCTTGTGCAAAGGGGTCCAGCAGAAACCACATCAGCCCTCTGTCCCAGGGTTCCTTCGGGTTTTGCCCCTGGGGGACATCAGGGGCATCAGGGGGGCATCAGCACCAGCCAGGCAAGGGAGGGATTGTCCTGCTCTGCTCTGGGCTGGAGTGGCCTCACCTTGAGTGAGGACACAATGTAAAAAAAAAGATCTAAAGCTGTTGGGAAGTGTCCAAAGGAGGGACACAAGGATGGGGAAGGGTCTGGAGGGGTCATAGGAGGAGTGGCTGAGGGCACTTGGTGTGTTCAGCTGGAGAAGAGGAGACTGAGGGGAGAGCTCATGGCAGTTCCAGCTTCCTGGGCAGGGGCAGAGGAGGGGCAGGGACTGAGCTCTGCTCTGGAGGGACCAGGGAAGGGTTTCAGGGAGCTGGAGCTGTGTCAGGGCAGGGTCAGGTTGGATCTCAGGAAAAGGTTGTTCCCCCAGAGGGTGGTTGGCACTGACCAGGCTCCCCAGGGCAGTGGGCACAGCACCAAGGCTGCCAGAGCTCCAGGAGGGTTTGGATGATCCTCTTAGGGCCAGGGTGGGATTGTTGGGGTGTCTGTGCAGGGCCAGGAGTTGGATTGGATGGTCCTGGTGGGTCCTTTCCACCTCAGGATATTTTATGATTCTGTGATTCCCACTGGGCCCCCCATGGCTGTATAACCCCTCTCCTGCCTCCAGCACCACATGGGTTAGTCCTATGGCAAGACTTCTCCTTTTTTCAGCTATTACCAATTAAGAAGCATTAATTACCCATTTGTTTAGCCCAAGTGGAAAGCAGCTATCACTCTCAGCTTGGGTGACATAATTACATTGCAGCCTCCACTGATTTCTTGCTAAAACTCAGAAGCTTTTTGTCCTCCTGGGACTGCAATCTGTGCCTGTTTCAGAGCAGCAACTCGTTTCTGGGATGGATATGTTTTTTTTCTCAGACTACATTTACAGCAAGGTCATTAAAAATTAACGTTCATACAATTATGCATAGAAAGTGCCAGGGCCTGCTGGTAGTTCCAGTGCTCGCTGGGAAGCTTTGGATTGTGTTTTCCCTGCTTGCAAGGATATATAGAGAGCCCTTGGAAAGCCCTGGCTGTTCTGGGATTGATGAATTCGTGGCTCCAGGGGGGTTGTTGACAGAGCTGTTCACATTCTCCTCCCAGCTCCTTCACTTGAAGGACAAATGCCACAAAACACAGTCCTGCCCAGGGATTCAATGCTCCTGGGTGCTGTGCCTTTGCTGTCATTAACACCACCTTCTCCTTTCCCACAGGCCTTGCCTTATGTGTGTCTCCTCATTGCAATGCTCTTCTTCATCTATGCCATTATTGGCATGCAGGTAAAACATTTAGCTCTCCTGGTAAAACATTTTGCTCTCCTTCTGCCCACACTCAGCCTGGGTTTGTTCAGGGAGCAGCTGGGTTACTGCCTCCTCAGCTGGCTGGATGAGGCAAAAGGCTCTTCTTGTCTGGTGTCAGGGAAATTAGAAGTGGAAAAAAGGGCTGCTTTTTGTACTCTTCTTGTCATGTTTTAAGTTGAACGTGGCCCTGGGTGTACAAAGAGAGTGGGCAGACACACCAGCTGTGAGGATGAGCCTGTACCACTGCATTTCCAGCAGCAGGATGGGCATCCCTGTTTCCCATGGGAAGAGACGTCCCTTCCCATGGATATGGACACATCAAGAGGCTGAGACAGGGAGCAGCCCAGACACTGCACTTTTCAGAGAAGATATCCTAAAGTTTTGTTGGCCTGGGATGGAGCTGAACTGTTGGGAAGGTCATCTGTGAACACAAAGCACAGTAACCTGGTGTTTTCCCCCATTTGACCTCCACGACACATTTTTATCTCCCTCTTTAGCACAGAAATTATTTTAGCTTTTGAGATCCCTTACACCAGGACTAATTACTTCCCTGCCTTTTTACTCGACTCCACTTGATCCCCCTTTCCTGACAACATCCATGGGAGGATGTGTTTGGCCTGAATCCCTTCTGTTTCCCATGGCAGGTATTTGGGAACATTGCATTAGATGACGAAACCTCCATTAATCGGCACAACAACTTCCGGACCTTCCTCCAAGCCCTGATGCTTCTATTCAGGTAAGAAGGGGGTAATAAAACACCATCTGACTTGCATGTGAGCAGGAAAGAAAGTCTCTGTTTGGCTGCTGAGCCTTGGGCATCCTCTGGGAAAGGTATTTGAGTAAAGCAGCCGTTCCTGCTTCCTCCTCCTCGGCAGATCTGAGTCGACACATCATCATCTCCACAACGTGTCACCCAGGGCTGTGACACCATGTCAGCTCAGGCAGAAGCTTAATATAGGACAGCCCCTCCCAGTATAACTGATTGATGGGTTTCCTGTCATGAAGCTTTTTTTTCTTTTTTTTTTTTTTTTAAGTGAGAATCCCTTAAATTGGTCATTTTAACGCTTCATCCACCACCCCCCCGCCTCTGCTTCAGAGTGCGAGTGTTTCCCTCTGGGTTCATTCCACGAGGAAACAAAGTGTTTTCGAATTCAAACCCAAGCAATTAATTTTTCACTGAAGATTTTCATTTTCAGGACCTGTCAAAACTGAAGTCTGGGTCCTTCTCCAGCTCAGGGCAGTTTGGGGGTGTGTGTGGAGACCCCCCCAGTTAACCCCAGCTCTGCAGATTATGTGGAGCTTGTAACTGGATCTCTTGCCTGGGATTTGGTTTCCATAGTTTCTGTGAAGCCAGATGGAAATGAAATTAGCCCTCTCTAGCTCAGAATAATCACTCAGCTCAAAGCCCTGAATTTTAATAAAATTGGATAATTACTCAGTCTCGTGGCCAGACCTCGTGGTCCCTTCACAGGCCCACAGTGGGACTGAGGGGCAGCAGGATTGGGATGAGGAAGGAATCAGATTACTCTGATATGTGGAGATCCCCTGACATCCAAGCCATTGCAGGGGGTGGTTTATTTTGAAGACAAACCCTTTGGGACTCCGAAACTTTTCCTTTTGGCTGTTTTTCTCAGTAGCAGAAGTTGGAGGGGGAGGAGGGAAATGATGAAAACACCCAGGAGACTGGCATGAAAAAGAGATTTGTGGCACTGTGACCAACCAGACCGTGCTGGAATTTATCTGCCTGATAAAGAAAATCAGAGATTCAAGTGGAGAAGCCTGATTTCATTTCCCATCATCTCCACTGGGTTTAGAGCCAGCACTAGGACAGAAGTGTTTGGCTGCTTCAAAAGGGAACAATCTAAACTCTGTTTACTTAGATTTGCACTGGACATGTTGAAATCAATCTGGTTTTATTCTCCATAAAAGCAATAAAGCTTTTAGCCTACCTCAGCCTGTCTGGCTTCTTTTACCCCCCTGTGATGGAAAGAAATGTTGTTATTCTCCTTTCTTTCCACATCAGCAGGCTGGTAATTCAAATTCCCAGTGTAAATACAGTCTCTCCACCTGGACACAACCTTCCACCTAATTAATTTAGTTAATTAGGCACAGTAACACTGTGAGGTGGCTGCCCCTGGGGTCTTTAAGGGGAAGGGGGTGGATAAACTCACTTCTGCCCTCCCGTCCCCAGGAGTGCCACGGGGGAAGCCTGGCATGAGATCATGTTGTCCTGCTTGAGCAACAGAGCCTGTGACCCCCTCTCTGGCCTCACCAAGAAGGAATGTGGCAGTGATTTTGCCTATTTCTACTTCGTGTCCTTCATCTTCCTCTGCTCCTTCCTGGTAAGTCGGTCCTGATCCCTCCCAAAGTGGGGGTGCTGTGGTGGATCCCCCCAAACACTCCCCACCCCTTTACCTCCTCCTCCTCCTCCCTAATTATAATTTATCCAACACCACCAGGCAGCTTTGCTAAACCCCATTTACCATCCTGGTGATAAAATCCCTTTAATCCCCAAAGAGATCATTTAGTCATTAGTTTAAAGGGAAGGGATTTATCTTTCTTCTCACAGGGGGGGTCTAATATCTGGAATTAAGCACTAATCGGTTTTGTCTTGATTTGTAACACGGGCCTTTGAAGAAGGGGACTGGGGAGGGCAGGGTGAGAATGGCCGAGACAACACCAGTTCAGAAGCTCTTGCTGGGAGCATCACACTCATTTGATGCTCTGTGTTCTGTTTTGTTGGTCAAAGAAATGCAATAAAATCATTTGCTGCTGCCAGAAAAGCTTTTAGACATGAAAGAGTTCAGTGCTTGGGTCGTGCCTGTGCTTTAAGAGGTGCTTTAAGAGGTGCCAGTGCCCTCCCTGAGCACCGGCACATCCACAAACATCCCTCTGCCCCTGGGGGTTTGTTCCCTCTCCAGCACCACTGGGACAGAGGAATGGAAAACCAGGACAGGGACCCAATTAAACTTCAAGCAGGAAGAGATAAAGGCTCTGAAATGAACCAAAAAGCAGCGTCTCGAGCTGCCACAGGTTTGCTCTCAAACAGCAGACTGGCTGCTTTGTGCAGCTAATCCTGCTCTCCTCAGAACCCTTCTGCCAGGAAAAGGAGCTCCACGGGGCAGTTTAATGCTGGGTGTAGACACACCAACTTCAATGGCCCCCACTGGCATCCTTTGTCCCACTGCTGTTGCTCCTTTGACATCCCGTGGATTATTTCTTCAGCATAGATTAAAAAAACCTGGAGCCCTGAAAGCTTACACCAAGTTAATGCTCCACTCAGTGATTCCTTCAGCACTCTTGAGTTTTAGAACCAGGTTTCTTTCCTTGTGCAAATCCCTAACCCAACATCAGATGTTCTCAGTGTTATTTTCAAGCTTTTTATCTAAAAAAAACCCCAACAACAAACATCACATCCCCCCAGAGTCCTTCCCGGCTGGATCAGCCATCCCAGCCAAAATGTAGCAGCAGAACTGGAGCTGTGCAAAAGCAGCTATGTCCCTGGGTCAGAGCTCCTGGAAAAAACCCTGGACCAATAGAGGGGAGAGCCCTTGTGAGCAGCAAAAGTTCCAAAAATAGGCAGTGGAAAGCCAAGCAGCTGGATTGGGCTGTAACTCATTCCTTAAAATGCATTCAGCACTTGACCATGTGGTTCCCCACAAGCTTTGCAGAGCCCCAGCCTTGCCAGGAGAGCACTTTTTTTTATGGTTTGCTCAATGTTATGCCATAGATTGAGGGGAAATTGGATAATGTATTTGGTTTCCAATGGTGTTTCTGGCTCTGGACGTGGAGCTCGACATAATTTTCCCCCCTGTAATTTGTGGGAGAGAAAAAAAAGATAAATTGAAATCCACGTTGAAAAATATAAATTGAAATCTATTACGAAAAATAGAAATTGAAAGTTAAGAATATATGACACAGAGAAGAACATCAATTGAAATTTATAGTGAAAATATGAATTGGAAGTTAAGAATGTACTTAACTTAGGAATTTTAGAAACAGCTGTAGGCAGGGAAGGGGGAACTGTACCGAGCCATGGCTGGAGCTGGGAGCAATGGAAAGGGATTTGGGATCAAGGGGCAAATTCTCAGAAGTTCTGCTGTCTTGGGATGCTCTGGGGACACTGTGCCATGTGGGAGGTGCCTGCAGGACAGGAGTGAGCCCTGCTGATGCAGTTGTAGCTCTTGCAGACTTTGAGCAGCTTATTCAGAGCTGGTTTGGGCATCTCCATCCCTGCATGGGGACTGCAAGATGCTGGGGCTTGTCTGGGCCGTGGCACAGGGGCAGAAACACCCAGGGAGGGGGGACAGGAAGGACCATCGTGGTTGCCCAAAGCCACTAGAGCAGTTTGATGATGTTGGAGCTCATGAGCCTCACACAGGAGTGAATTCACACACTGCAGAGGCAGGAGCCTTGCTGGGGCTCTCAAAGCACAAGAAGAAGTTCAACAAGTGCTGGATCCTGCCCCTGGGATGGGGGCAGATGTACGGACAGACTGGGAATGAGAGGCTGGAAAGCAGTGCTGGGAAAGGGCCCTGGGGGTCGTGGTCAGTGGCCAGTTGGCCCTGAGTCAGCAGTGCCCTGGCAGCCAGGAGGGCCAAGCCTGTCCTGGGAGCACCAGGGAGGGGATTATCCTGCTCTGCTCTGCTCTGGGGTGGCCTCACCTGCAATATTGGGGCAGTTTGGGGGGACACAATAGAAGGAAGACATTGAGCCATTAGGGAGTGTACAAAGAAGGCAAGAGGATGGTGAAGGGTCTTGATTTGAAGCCGTGGGAGGACACTGAGGGCACTTGGGGTGTTCAGCTGGAGAAGAGGAGACTGAGGGGAGAGCTCATGGCAGTTCCAGCTTCCTGGGCAGGGGCAGAGGAGGGGCAGACCCTGAGCTCTGCTCTGGGGGGACCAGGGACAGGACCCAGGGAATGGCTGGAGCTGTGTCAGGGCAGGGTCAGGTTGGATCTCAGGAAAAGGTTCTTCCCCCAGAGGGTGGTTGGGCACTGACCAGGCTCCCCAGGGCAGTGGGCACAGCACCAAGGCTGCCAGAGCTCCAGGAGGGTTTGGATGATCCTCTGGGGCACAGGGTGTGACCCTTGGGGATGATCCTGTGCAGGGCTGAGGGTTGGACTGGATGATCCCTGTGGGTCCCTTCCAACTCAGCACATTCTGTGACTGTGAAAGACTAAAGCTCTGGGGAGTGTCTGATCAGCCTTTGGTGCTGATGTGGTGATTCATTACAGCTTGAGCTCATCTGTACTGGTACATCCCAGCAAGATCCAAGACCCCTCCTCCCTCCAGATCACACAGGGATATGAATTCTTTTAAATTGCACAAAGCCCAAATTCCACTGCCTGATTTTCTTTTAATGACATCCATATTCAGTTTAATTGTGCCCCACATTGAGTTTAATTGTGCTGACAGGCTGCTTGGCCACAGCCCTCCCTGCCCAGCGTGGCACTGACAGCAGCAGCTCAGCCTCCCTGCAGAAGACAGGAGAGAGGCAGAAAGGAGCCTTGTGCCCATCAGGTCTTTTTATCCGGCCCAGGAGCATCTCTTCCCTTCTGCTTTTCCACTCTGCTGGCTGCAGCTCGATCTTTTCCCGTTGAAATCCTTGTGATTCTTCCCTTGGCTTTAATAAGAGCAGAACCCTTCTATGCCAGAGGTGTTTGCCAGGCTCTGTGTTAGTGGCCATCAGGGACAGGAGCGCTCTGTGTGTCCTGCTCTTCAGCTTTCTGGGGATCTTGGAAGGTTTCAATTGTTACGAGTCTAAAATAGCACATTTAGGCTGAAGAATGGGTTTTCTTCTGGCCGTTCCAGTCTCCATGTGGAAGTGCTGGAAGAGTTCCCACATCTGGTTGGAGAAGCAGCTGCTGCAGCCCCTGTGCTACCCTGGGCTGGTGTGGGGTGAGGGAAGGGCAGGGAGAGGGGCAGGGAGAGGGGCTGACCCTCAGGGCTCTGGGTTGGGTCACACTGGAGGGCAGCACCAGCGACTGGGACCTGGAAAAGCACCCGCAGTCAAAGTCCTTGGCAAAGGGACCTGCAGGGTGTGCAGGGGAGGAGCAGCAGCAGCAGCACCCCAAGGACCCAGGGCTCTGTTTGGAGAGTTTATTCTCTGGGCTCAGGCTGCTTCTTGAAGGAAGTACAC